AAGACTACCAACATTATATTAGCTACAAGAGGTAACACTTTGCCTCTATATATCAGCAGTTTCACTCATGCCTGGCTTATGTAGTTTCTAGGGGAATCTCATAATTTATTATGGGAATTAAATGCTAGAGCAAATTACTGGATTTACAATGTTGTTTATGTTTGGTTTAGCATGTTGTGGAAAGAATAAATAGAAATATCTGCTTAGAAAGGTTTTTCTTATTCTTTCAAGATTACTGCAAAAGTTGATAAATAAATAAAAAAGCATATAGATTGATATAATGCCAACACAATTCAGCCTGTTTCTAGATAGGTTACATTTAAAATTTTATTCAGTTAATATTTACAACTACTATAGGTCTTAAGTTTGAATTAATAACTCATTATTTTTGCTAAGTATGGTAATTAAGCACAACCAAGAAATAAAGTACTTGTATGTGCAACTTTTTTGGGGACCTGACTTAGAATACAAATCAGAATGTTATAATTAAAATATATGTTATGATATATGATATATGACAGTGATGGCTAACCTTTTCCGAACCCCCAAAATGCAATGTATGCACGGCCCGTGTGCATGCACCTCACCCCCCACGCATGCGCCCCCTGCATGCATGTGCATGCAGTCCCCCACACGTGCCCCGCCCCCCACATATGCATGCAGAGACCCAAAGACTAGCTGGCTGGTGGGAGGCGTGCATGCCTGCACAGCAAAGCTAAACTGGGATGTTGGCTCACATGCGCTGTGGGCCACCTCTGGCATATGTGCCATATGTTTGCCATTAGGAATATATGATATGCAGAGAAGGGGCGGGTTTCAAAACCCATTCCTACTGGTTCACTTGTGGGCACCTGCGGGCCGGTGGGCGGAGTCTCCCGCCATCGCTGCTACTGGTTTGCCCGATCCGGGGCTAACCGGTAGCAACCCACCACTGATGCAGGGGATTTGTGGGAGTTGAAATCCACACATCTTCAAATGGTCAAGGTTGAGAAACATTGGCCTTGAATATAACATCCTATTTTTAATAAGCTTATATAAGATTAAAGTCAGTTTTGTATAGTGGTTAACATGCCAGCCTAGAAACCAGGAAACTGTAGTTCTAGTAGTCCTACTAGATCAGTTACGGTACTCTCTCTAGGTGCCTAGTTACCTACACTTAACTAGATCAAGAGTGGGTTTAGCATGTTTGCTGGAAAGCAAAACCAAATTAGCAACGGGGAAAGAAAAAGTTAGTTCTCCCTTGTAATAGCTTTGGGTTACGGTAAGTTTCCCCAGTGAATCATGTCATATAACTGACTCTTGTCTTCATATTATATGAACAAAGTACAGTATTTCAGATTTAGCTTCCAGTGACCAATCTGATACTTATTTCATCTGCTACTGAATTATTTATTTTTTCTTAGAGCCCAAGGTATTTTCAACAATTTTCTCCAACATCATAACTAAGATTAATAAATATGTTCTTTTGTGGACTGCTAACTGGTTAGAAAAAGCAACAAAGGAAATTTTTCAGCATCAGGAATTAAGCCACAGAATCCCTTAAGTATCTGTGTTGGGACCAATGTTTTTTAATGTTCATAAACTGTCAGACTTTTTGCCATGCACAGCAATTGAAAGTCAACCTCATACTCAATATTTTATGCCATTGAGTGTCATTATGGATTCAGGCTGCCCTAAAAAGTTGATAAATAAATAAAAAGCTTCTAGATTGATATAATGACTCTTACTGGCTGAGGTTTTTTATTTCCATCTCATTAGCTTCAGCTCTTATGTAAATAATCTGAGGTAAGATGTAAGCTGTTCCACTTTGCAGATGATAGTAAACTATTCATACTAATCTATGGTACTTCCATACTGAACAATAAGTGAAATTCTACTTGCTGCACTTGAAAATAAGAATATACAACAAAATCTCAATATAACAGATTTTGGAAGTCACACTTGCTTGAATTTATTTCATTTGGGTTATATTATTATGTGATAATATAAAAGAACATAATTTCTGTCATCTATATAACGACAGATTAATTTCTGTCATCTATATAATGACATCATCACAATGATGTAATCTCTGATCTAATTATTGGGAATAATAGCTATTTCTTCCCTCCACCAAGATTCATTATATCAAGATTATACCGTGTTTCCCCGAAAATACGACAGGTCCCGAAAATAAGGCCAAGCTTGATTTTTGGGGTGGGAGTAAATATACGCCCTCCCCCAAAAATAAGCCCTAGTGAAGGGATTGGCATGGCCAGCACAGGAGACAGCCCTTTCCTTCCCCCATCATCTCAGGGCTTCTCGCTCTTTTTTTTTTCAGTATTTTTTTTTTTATTTTTTTAAGACAAACAAACATTTAATACGTCAATCCTCCCTTCCCTGTGACATCTCGGTGTTATCTTCTAGGCATCTTCTCGATCTTCCATAAGTTTCTTCTATCTTCATCTTCATCCAAACCATTCTAACATTTCATTGCTAAAACAATATTGTAATCATCATTTGTACATAATTATATCAATCATTTATATCTCTTTTCCAACCAACTATAAAAATGATTCCATGTTTTAAAATATTCTGATTCTTCCTTATCCTTAATCATCAAAGTTAATCTATTAATTTCTGCACAATCTAAAATTTATTAGGTTCACCACCTTCTCCAGAAGGTGGAGTACACCAACTCTGTCAACTCTTATCAACAGGGTAGAAATCATGGAAGATACTGGTATATGTCATCATGCTGCCTCTCAGCTGCCCTTTTCCTGTTCTATTCTTTTGCCCTGATTTAATACAATTCTTTAATATAATAAATAATTGTACTAAATCAAAAATAGCTCAAAGGAAGTGTCACACTGTATATAGTTAACCTGTGGAATTTATTATTCCACAACACAGTGATGGCCTGGTAGTTTTAAAAGAAGACTGAATAAATTAAAGGATGGCTGTTCTATGAAGCAATTTTGATCTTGAGTTTCAGTGTAGTCTCTGAGCAGAAGGGGCAAAACCTACAAATACTAGTTTGAAGGGGAAAATGGTGAGAGAGAGATTGCGAGTACTGGACATTTAACTGGTCACTGTGAGAAAAACAATGGATGGTCTTATTATTTGCTTAAGAATCAATATTATAAAATTCACTCCATTGTAAATCAAATTCATGCAGAAGCTTATCTGGTTTTAGTCCAGAATCCTCTCAAGATACTTTCAAATATCATTGCAAATATCTCTTTCAAACTTCTGTGTGTTTTATAGAATATGGAAAGCTGCCTTATACAAATTATATTTATACAATGCACTATAGTTGTCTTAATTTTTATTTAATAAACCTCAAAGGTTGGATTCATACATAAGATGGTTTACAAGCCGCTGGCTTCACACAACTCATTAACGCCTTTGTAAGCAAACCATGCTCTTTTTTTTCCTGTAAACCATTCTCAGATAATCCATGTAATGCAGCATAACTGATCTAACTTGATTGACATATTACAAAAAGCTATAGTTTTTAACCCAAGATTTTTAATAAGCCAGCAAGAAGGAAAAGCAAACATGTGTTGTCCCCGATTCAGGTCTGAGCCTGTTGCCAAAGCTGATGAAAAACACCAGACATGAGGTGCAGATTTTGTTTCCTTTTATTGAAGCTTCAGCAAAAGGAGTCTTAACCTGCAAAATGCCAGGACCCAGAACAAAGGATTAAGAGAGCTTTATACAATTTTACTAAAGCTGAAGGCTGGAGAAGGTGGGATATATAAGAAATATCATCTAATAAACATTTTGATAATGATCTAACAATTTGTTCTATTGGTCTCTAGCTGTCCCTATTCCTAAGCCTTGGCTAATGAATGCTCCAGAAAATTATCTAATACACATTCTATTTGGTCCAGGCCAGGGGTGGGTTCTACTTACCTTTACTACCAGTTCCCAGCGGAGCCAGTGCGAACTGGGGGCAACCCACCACTGGTCCAGGCCATCCCTATTTCTAACTTATAGCTGAGGTATGCAGGATGTCTAACTCTTTGTTACTGTTTATAAGTTCTCTAACCGCCTAGAATGGATACAAGTATTACACCTGCAAATTCTAAACAGTCTTTGTTCTTTTCCAGACAGACTCCACAAATACAGGCGTCCCAGTTTTCTTTCATGCCATAGCCTTGGTTTTCTTTTAGCAGATAAGCTCATCACATGGTTAGTGTAAAACATAGTAAACATGGTTTGAACTTTGAAGATATCAAGGATTAAACATAGGACTTCTTCCCTGCAATACATACACTATATTATTGGATTCATACAATAGTCTTATTTATGGATCACTTTAAAATGGTTAGCCCAAGGAACCAGTTCTGAAGGTTTACATGATACGCTGAACCACAAACTAATCCTGAGGACTAGGATCCACTCAACATGCTAAAATAGGTTGGCCAGTTTAATGCTTACTTATAATTAAACAGCCAAACGAGCTCTATTCCTTTCATTTACAGTTGAAGCAAAATGCCCAGAACTGCATCTCTTACCCTGCTCACCACTTCTTTACCCTCCTACCATCGGGAAGGAGATACAGAAGCATAGCCAGCCGCACAAACAGGCTGAAGAACAGTTTTTATCTGTGGGCTGTCAGATTCCTGTATGCAAAATAACATCATAACTACGTAGTACGATCAACTTGCAGGGCCGGCACAACGTGTAACATGTTCACACTGGTGCAATAAGACTGAGTATTTTGTTAATATGATTTATTGGGTTAGGGATTTTCTGTCTTCACTGTGAGTTGTATTGTGTTGGGGGTGTGTGTGCCCTGAGGGAGCTCAAGCAATCTCATTGTACATATGTTGTGCACTGACAATAAAGATTTGAATCTGAATTGATAGGAAGAGGCCAATCTGGGAATTTCTGCTTCAAATGTAAAAGGAGAGGAATAGAGCTCGTTTGGCTGTGTAGCAACCACAGGTAATAAGGCAGACCAGCTGACAAATCAAGTTAAATCATCAAAGGGCTGAGCAGGTCGCATGATTCCCAGCCATCAGAGTTGATGAACTAAACGTAGCTTTTTCAATCACCACAATGAGAAGAAACCACGCGCTCACATGATTCATGTGTGAGAATCCAGCTACTATTAAAGATCTGAAAGATCCCTTTCAGCTCTGAACGACCTCTTCCCTGAATTAAGCGGGCCTGGGGGGTGGGATTGCGCGCTTTCGCGCCCCCTCCACTGGTTGCTTTCTGGCGGGAAGCGCCCCTTCTTCCCTCAGTCGGCTTGTTCTGCGCGCAAAACGACAGTCGTCCGCTCGTCGGCGTCTGGCAGCACCAATCTACCTAAAGTCGTCATTCCTCGTAGAAGCGGCGGGCCGAGGAGGAGGCGAAAGTTGCTCCGGACCGTGTGACCGTCGGGAGGACCGTAAGCCATCCACGCTCCTCTCATCCTTCCTTCCTTCCTTTTCCTCCTCCTGCCCGGAGGAGAAGCCCAAAGAGCCCCAAGGCTATAGAAAGGCAGCTGTCCGCTCTCCAAGCTCCCTAGACGGCCGCTTCTTCAAGCGGGTAAGTACTTCAAACGGGGCCGGCAGGCGAACCTTGTCGTCGGGGAAAGCGGGGTGGGGAGGAAAGAGAGGACGGAGCAATTTAGGAACGGGGCTCCTTCGCTTTTCTGTCATTGCGAGGGATTCGTACGGTGACGGCTGGGTTGTCGCCCTTCGAGCGCCCCGGACGGTTCACTCAGCCGTACGCTATGGAGACGCCCTAAGACAGGGGTCTCCAACCTTGGCCACTTTAAGCCTGCGGACTTCAACTCCCAGAATTCCCCAGCCAGTCCGCCAGGCTTAAAAATGCCCAAGGTTGGGGAATTCTGGGAGTTGAATCCGCCAGGCTTAAAGTGGCCAAGGTTGGAGACCCCTGTCTTAGGGCAGTGTTTCTCAACCTTGGAAGCTTGAAGATGGGTGGACTTCAACTCCCAGAATCCCCCAGCCAGCAACGGCTGGCTGGGGGATTCTGGGAGTTGAAGTCCACCCATCTTCAAGCTTCCAAGGTTGAGAAACACTGTCTTAGGGTGTCCTAAGAGAGTCGCTCCAGGCTGCCGGTGGGATTTTGAGCAGCGTGGTGAGGTGGACGAGGGGAAGCTAAGCAGAGCGGAGTGCCATATCTTTTGCAGGGCGATAAATACCGTAGGGAGTGACTTTAGTCCGGGTCTAACTGGGAGCCAGGTAATTTGAAGTGAGTGGGCTGATCCTGGAACAAGCAGCATAGGAACTTCATTGAAATATCCAGCTTTTCTCAACGCTGGGGTCCTTTGCTGTATTGATCTATGGGAACAAAGTCAGACTACTGGATGGAGTTTATTGGGAATTGTGGCGTCCAGGTTTGAAAAACCATCATTTAATTCTTTTTTTGAAAAAGGGTTTGTTTGTTTTTAATGTTGTCATTTTAGAATTCACTGCAGTGTATGAGAAATTTGTACGAAGTGTCGTATTTGTACTTTATAGAATACTATACAGTAGTTATACTTAATTAAAAGCAGAAGATTCAGCGAGAATGCAAAGGTGGAGTAACTTTGGTGATAATATTCTGCCTATCCCAGCTAAAGTTAGTTAGATTGCTACAAAGTAGTGTAGGTGAGGGCAAGAAAGGGTCTAATTTTCTACAATGGTAATTTTAAGATTCCTATATAAGTAGTTAAAATGAAAAACTCCAAATACATGGTAGCATCTCTTTAAAGACTCTGCAAAGATTTCATGCACAGCATGCACTTGTTTATCTTTCTATTGCCTCAATAACTGAAGTTACTCTAAGTGGCTTACATGCCTGGGTTCAAATAAATATTAATAGCTAATCTTTAAAAGGTTGCAATGTGATGCCTGTTGATATAGGGATGACTCGTATTAAAGATGAACAAGTATCTGTTTGATGGAGGTTGTTTCCTAGGAGTTATTAGGAATGGCCTATTTTTATAGCCCTAAACCTTACTCAGTGCCTATTGATTTAGGACCAGTTAATTTCTGAATACAGATTTGAAGCTTAATGGTGAATGTGTATCATAAGGATCAATTGCATTTTATTTCAGTAAGACTTGCATAACATCCTATATGGTAGGGTCTGTAAAACCGAACCCAAATGAAAGTGGAGTTGCTCAAAACATGTCTCATTTTTGTTTCTATAAAGGGTAGCAAATGGATAATGAATAAATAAAAATAAACAGTGGGTAGTTAAACTGAAATTCACCAACTGCAGTTTGGATGATTTTTGGCAGTCAATTTAAAAAGTTTGAAAACAGGTTAATGGAAGATCAGCTCTTAGTATTGATGTCCATTTGCTGTGTCTTCAATCACAAAGTATTCTTTATGTATTGATTGCTGTGAATTTATAGTGGAAGGAAGTTATTACCTCAATACACGCTTGAGAGTTTCTCAATGCATCCAGTTCACTACTCTGTGACGCAGAAATAAAGTAAACATCTGTTATAGCAGAGCTACTCTGATGTTCCTATGACTTAAAATACAAGCCCACAACTTTTCCTCATCCACCTATCCACTTAGGAATGTTTGTATGTTCTGTCACAGGATACCCCAAATTTATGTTGAACTAGATTGGTTTTCATGGATTGCAATGCTATAAAAATATTTAAGGTGCTTCAATATTCTTAGCATAGCGCTAAACTTTAAGCCATGTTTTACAAACCATATTATATAACAATGTAATAACCTGGTCTACACAAGTTAATATCACCTATATTGGTGATTGGTTTTGAAATTGGTTTTGTACTATGCAGATATTAAATGGCTGAAAGTTTCCTTATTAATTGTACCATACAGAAGTGTTATAAGTCATCTTGTAGTTAAATGTGTTGCTTTTAGCTAGCTTAGTGATCTCTTTTATTTTGGTTTACACACAATATTTTAGGCTAAAATATTTTTGATTTAGTATGTTCTCAAACCTAGAATTAGAGAATCTTACATTCATCCATTCACAGTGAACGAATCTATCGTAATCTATGGATTGTTGTATATAGTATATGAGCTATATTGGGTTGCAGTATTTACAAATTACTGTATTGTATTGATGTCCATTTCCTTGTTTAAAGATTTGACCTATTTCAACTTTTCATAGTGACTATAGGGTACAAATCATTAGTTCTAAGAGTTGACATCAATTTGATGACACATAATCATTGATTTTGTCAGAACAAGAAACCTCTGTCAAAGATTTTGCAAAAGATGCAGACGACCTGTAATACTGGAAGAGGGTAGTGAGAATGATTTGGACCTATTTTTACGAGGAGAAATTAAGGGAATGCATCTTTTTAGGTGCATGAAGACGGATCAAATAGAAAATGAAAACCTGTCTCTTTTGTTCCAGAGTGAAGATCATGAATTAATGTTAAATTGCAGGAAGGAGATTCTGATTGAATATTAGAAAATTTAGCAGTTAAATCAATTTCTAAGGGAGGTTGGAGCTCTTCTTCCCTAGATGTGTTCAAGCCATCTGTTGAGGGAGCTTTAATTAGGATTACATCATTAATAAAATTGGACTCATTAACCTAAATGCATCCTTCCAATTCTCTGATTTCTTTAAAAATGGATACTGCCAAGGAATAGCTATGCTATATTCAATCATCACTAATTCTAAGAGATCATAAGCAGATATTCTTACGTTTTTATTCTTCAAAACTTCATTAAAACTTCAGCAAAGATGAAATTAATATTCTGCATGTAACAGATGTTAGTAGAATATTATGCATGCTTTGAAATGATTTCAAATTTAATGCCTCTCCAGTACCCACCTTTTTGTACAAAATCAGCAACACTGCTTATCAAGAGTAGAGATGTAGGCATTTGAATGCATTGCCCAAGATATATACTCATTTAACAACAGAGCAATCAAATGAAATATTGGCTTGCAATAAAATAATTTTTCTCTAGTTGTTAGAGTGTTATTTTCTAACCTCTTAAGATGTTTATAATATTTATTTTGCTTGAAGTTTTCTTAAGCAGGCACATTGTATATATAAAATAAAAATGGCAAATTTGTTTTCTTGGATAGTCGATGAAGATCTGTGTTGTTGTTAGGGATGATCCGTCTGTCATTCTAGAATTAATGTAATTTGCAGTTCCATTTTCTACAAAATGCAAAAGTCTTAGAAGTGCTTTGAAATGGAGTTGTTGCTTAGTGATGAAATTGTGCAATTGACTACAGTAAAGATTTCCACCTTTATATTGTGTATTGTTGAATTTTGATTGCAATTAAATTTAACTCTTGCTTTGAACACACAATCATTTTTGCCACACAACTACACTTAATAGTTGTCTTTTCCAGCATATTGCCATTAGTGATCCTGCCAATCACCTCCCTTTTCTGAAGCAATTATATTCTTCATAAATTCTTCAAAATCAACTTATATATCTACCTATTTATTTTGCTCATTATGAGAGTGGCTTTGGAAAATGCCCTCTTTGAAAAAAACCATCCATCCTGCTCCAAACTTAGGAAAGAATATCTTTTAATGGAGAACTGGTTTTCTCTGTGTCTGGAATTATCTCCAAATTTAAAATGCAAGGAATAGTATTAGACAAGAATGCTGATAATATGCAAAAATTAATGCCAGTATTGAATTAATTCTGAAATTACAGTACGTATTAATTACTTCTGTCTAAGTAAGTAATGAAAATCAAGATTTTTATAAAGTAGAATATATAGGAGAGGAACTTTTAAACGAGTCCCAGGCAATGCAGTTTTCTTCCCATAGAGTTGATTTGACTCCCATTCTCCATGTACACAGGATAACTGCTGCATGAACAGCTTCACTTAGGATTGAAATCCCATGGGCATTTCCATTGCAGCATTCCCATGGTCAAGTGATCAAAATTCGAACACTTGGCAACTGGCATATATTTATGATGGTAATGATCTTTTGCAACCTTCGGATAGGGAAAGTCAATGGAGAAGCCAGATTCACTTAATAGCCATGTTATTAACTTAACAACTGCAGTGATTCACTTAATAACTATGGCAGGAAAGGTCATAAAATGGAGCAAAATTTATTTAACAATTGTCTTGCTTTGCAACAGAAATTTTGTTTTTTACTTTTAGCATTAAATTTTATTTTATTCAAAAATTTAAACTACAAATCCTGGATATAAATGATAACATCAGAAAATTGACAAAATAGAAGTGAGTAAATAAATCTACCGTAGTTAGTAATTCATAGTGGCAGCAACCCCCAAAAGTTGAAGCCCCACAGCTCAGGGAAAGGAAGGTGGTTTAAACTTTTCTCCTAAATGGCAACAAAGAGCAGGTCATCTTCATATGAGAGGTAGACTTTTCCACAATTCTGGGTTTGTCACAGAGAAAATGAGTTTCCTGAACCCCATTGCATTGCTTCAGGGTGTGTGAAGATGCACACCATGTTTCTCAACTCACACATATGGGATGGGCAAATTTTTATCTAGAGAAGATGTTCCCAGATATAATTCTGAGTCAGAATGAGTTGTACAGCTGAGGTTCATCAAGTTATTGACAATAACTTGCTCTTCTTTTAACTCTATTGTATGACTTGAAACTATGACAACAATTTCAGCAACACAGTTCTTCTCACACAGTAGAAAAGAAATATAGAAATATATTGAGGCAGTTAGTACATTGTAAAGATAACACTTATGGGAATGCAGAAAAATAGATTGAAAAATCATTATTTAATGTTTCTGTCGCCTCTTCAAAACCCCCATTCTTTAATAGACTCTACAGCCCATTTAACTGGGGACATAAGTGGAATTCTTACTTCACCAATGTGTTAATTTTTTTGTGTAGAACTGCACCATACAATGGCTGTAATTGATAAGGTAGCTTGTTTGACTACAATGGAAAAAATATCTTTATTGAACCATGTACAAAAGCCTCTATAGATCATTCAGATAAATGTTCAGATAAGCTTGGCCACAAGAACATTATTGTTTCAGTATCAATAGGGAACAGGGAAAACATTTTGTGCACAAACTGTTCTATATGTAGAAGAGCTACTTTCAGGTGCTTTGTATCTGAAGCAAAATGAGTGTTTCGGATATATTGATTCTTACTTGGAATATGATAGAGTAGCTTTGTTCAGGCATGGATAGAAATGCAATTGTTTGAAATAGAAGAGTTTTGAGAGAGGAGGAGAACAAGGAAGATCCAAAAATGTTAGCCGTTAGGGAATGACATGTCATAGACGGAAGACAGGGTGATGGGCAGGCTGATAGGATCTGCTACACTGGGAGTTCCTATGTGAAGGAGAGAGTTACACACCAACCTTGCTCCGTTAATAATTTCTGTCCAGATTTCCCCCCACCCCCACCAAAATCTAAAACAAAATAAACATTCCAGGTTTTGCTTTGACTGACCTATGGCTTATCAGATTTCTGGAAAATTATGATTTATTCCAGGTTTCAAATAAAAAACATTTTCCATTCTGTGCCCATCCTGCTCCAAACTTAGGAAAAAATATCTGGCATGGATAATTGGTTTTATCTGTGTCTGGAATTATTTTCAAATTTAAAATGCAAGGAATAGTATTAGACAAGAATGCTGATAATATGCAAAAATTAATGCCAATGTTGAATTAATTCTGAAATTACAGTATGTATTGTAGTCTAAGTAATTAATGAAAAACAAGATTTTTGTAAAGTATAATTTTATTATGAAATTCCTAGCAATTTCTAAATTCTGTACGCTATATCAATGTTCTAGATTGGTCATTGTCATCTGCCCCTATTGTGTGAGCCTTGATACATGTGTTACTTTAGTTAATTCTGGTCTAGAATTAATGGAACTATTTTTCAATATTCTAAAACAAAAAATAGCTAAATACAGTTATATATCCCAAATATTAAAGATTTATATTGTGTGAAAATGGCAACTGTCTGATATTTCAGATTCTTTATTTTTTGCATTTTGTACTTGCTTTTGTAGCTTCTAAGGAAAGCTAATTTTGGAAGGATTGTCTTTTAGTATAAAAATTACTAAGCATTCTTCTGTTGCAGCTTTTAGAGAGTGATATCTCTATTCTGTTTTCACTTCTACTATTTTCTAGCTACATGTTTGTGAGGGTACATATGGAAAATTAGAAAGCCGTCTATGATTAAAGCCAAAGTTTCCAACCTGTTAGGATTGGTAGGCACAGATACAGTGTTCAGAAAATGTCAGGCTATCTGCAGCAAGGGTGGCTTTGAAAAGTCAAGATGCCAGCAATGAGATTACGACGCATGTCAAAAAGGAGCAGGGTTTTATTGCGTGGTATTAATCACGATCTTGAGCTTTTTAATGCCCCTGCAGACATCCCTGGAACATGTAGTGGGATTATTGAAAAGTAAGTGCTGGGGAAAGACAGACAGTTCCCGTAATTTTGCATTTATTAGAATATCACTTGCCTATGACTTTATTCCATCCTCCATAAGATCACAGGTTTAAAGGGAATAGAAATGTGCCAATTTACTTTTCCTCTGGGATGCTGGTTTTATCTCAGGTTTAAGGGACAAATTTGAATTCTGCTCATAGGATCCTCATGTTCAAATTTCCTACAGCATTGCTGTTTACCTAAAAGCTAGTTGTCTATATAGGATATATATAATTAATTTTTAAAAATTAAAAATAGGTTCAACTATTTTACAGAGCCTATTTTTATTTTTATTTTCCCTCATCAAATAGAAGTTTAAATGTTTAGGTGTTATATTAATATTCTATTCTTTTTCCTGTTTAACTTCTCTTAAAATTAGGTCACATTTCAACTGCTCTAACCATCACTTGAAAAAAAGGATGGAAAAAGCCACAGAATTTTCATCAGATGGCAACTCTTTGATTAAAGCTGTTTATCACAGAAGACTTCGCCTTACAAGATTATTGTTAGAAGGTGGAGCCTACATTAATGAAAGCAATGACCATGGTGAAACACCTTTAATGGTTGCTTGTAAAACAAAGCACGTAGACCATCAGAGTGCTAGCAAATTCAAAATAGTGAAATACCTTTTGGAAAATAATGCAGATCCAAACATACAAGACAAAGCTGGAAAGACAGCTTTGATGCACGCCTGCTTGCAAAAAGCTGGCCCTGAAGTGATTTCTTTGCTCATTAGAAGTGGAGCTGATTTAAGTTTACAAGACCATTCAGGAAACACAGTTCTTCTATATTCAGTGAATTCGGAGGACAAGGAAACTCTAAAAATTATTCTAGATGCTTGTAAAGCAAAGGGAAAAGAAGTTATAATCATTACCAAAGACAGATCTCCATCTGGAAAGAAAAGAACTAGGCAGTTCTTAAATGTACCTCCTCCTGATGTTGATGAATGCCAGTTTTCAAGTTCTTGTACTTCTCCGTCAGAAGTAGAAGTTAAAACAACCTTGCCCCCTCCTACAGATTCAAATGACACAAACGAGTCTCTCTTTAATTTCAAAGAACTGAGTCATCCTGTAAGAAAGGAAGGTGCATCTGAACAGCATTCTCCTTCTAGAAAAATACACACAGGTCCTCAAATGCCAAACACCAAAATTTACTCTGAACCTTGGATGAAAACTTCCCCTTCACTCTTGAATCAGAACCAAATATCTTGTTTACAAGAAGAGCTTCATGATATAACTCCAGAAGAAGAGTTATGTTTCAAAATCAATAATCTAGCCCTGTCTAAGAGATATATCACTAGGCATCACAGCATTGATATTAAGGATACCCTTAATTTCTTGAAAAGCTTTGAACAAACTGCCTCAAGAAAGATGTCATGTGATGAAATAAACTCTAATTCACTTTTTGGTGAGACTGGTCGAAGTGAAATCCCTTCAGAACAAAATATGGATTTGACCCATATGAACTTCATTTCCACCCTGAAAAGCATTGTTCAAAGGAGAAACCTGGGTGCAAACCACTATAGTTCTGATTCACAGTTAACTAGCTTAGGCCCTGTTACAGAAGACAGCAAATTACTTCTAGGGAAGAAAAAGCTTCTTTCACCATCTCCATCACTATCTTCAAGTTCTAAAGAATTGATTGAAAATATGCCTCCAAGTTTCTTAAGCAGGAGAAATCACGCTATTCTAGAGAGACGGGGTTCAGATCATACTGCCCTGGCTAGACCTAACTTTCTCCCCCCCTTAAATGTGAACTTTCATTCCCCAATCTCTGATCTCTATAAGATAAATAACATATCTTCCTGTGGACAAAAACCCCTAATTCCAGCAGCACCAGCTTATCCCAAAGACTTCAAGAACACAACTCTGTTGACAAGAAGACAGTCATTACAAACAGAGCAGATCAAGCAGCTGGTGAACTTTTAGCAAATGATAAACAATGATGAGAAACGTGTGTCTGTTCCCTCAATTTTTTTTTCTTGTATGAAAATTAGCTGCTCAAGCATCTCTGTTAACAATTACATCAGGCATTCGTTTTTTCTAAATTGATGTTGAAATGAAGCTGCAAAAAGAACCAAGTCCTGTTTGATTGGGGAAATATATGTCTATATATAAATGGATCACACATGTAAACCTTAATGTTTATTTAGCTTTAGTTTAGCATGTTGTATGAACCCAGCCCATGGTAGCTTATGAACAGTATCTGTGACTTGGCAGCTTATTTGAATTCATCTGCAGTGAGCTACGAAATACCGCTGCCCTCATCATACATTCCATTATAAACATGAAATATTGGATATTCTTGCTTAGCATAAGTATTTTAACTACAAGTTGTTCATAGAACACTTTTAACATTAACAAATGTTATGCAAGTGTTTTTATACAATCTACTGCATCCTTCTCCAGTGGAGCTTCCCAGACATGTTAGTTAGACTATCCATCAGCTGCTCATCCCCCTGTTGTCATGTGACTGCATTTTGGGCACTCAGCAGCTGACCCACATTTATGGCCATTTGCAGTGGCCTTTAGTCACATGAATGCAATTTATGATGTTTTTGCTGAAAATCAAGTATTTTCTTGTGATTTTTAGCAGAAATGCCCCATAATGAACAATGGGTTCACTTAACAATTGCCACAAAAAGGTTATAAAATAGATCTGGTCATGGTGACCCACTTTATGTCTCACAAGTTATCACCTAATTATGGCAGGGTCCATTATTATAAGTCAAGGATGACCTGTATAATATATTCACACGGGTAATAGAATATCATTAGGGAAAGAAAGAAAAGGAGATCTCTATGTGCAGATAGAGATAGCTTAGCTTTCACATGTGTCACTTACAAATTTAGAGATACTAAAAAAAAACAAAGCCACTTCTCTAAAAATTGTTGAGTAATATTGTGTTTATTAGTCCCTTCTCTAACAAAGATCTTGATCAAAATGCATTAAGACTAATCCAGACTTTTCAGTAGGACCAGTTTAGCCATTAACTATTGGGAATATTCATATAGTCTGATTTTTTTCAGATGGGTTAGGCTTCAGTTTCTGTAATTATCTAGCCAATAATCCAGTCTGAAAATTATGGAAGTTGAAGTCTACCACATCCAAAGGTTGTTAGGAGCCCTAGTGATGCAGTGGTTAGAATGCAATATTGCAGGCCAACTCTATCTACAGCCTGGAGTTCGATCCTGGCTGTGGCTCAAGGTTGGCTGGCTCAAGGTTGATCCATCCTTCCGAGGTCGGTAAAATTAAGACCCAGATTGTTGGATGCAATATGCTGACGTAAACTGCCCAAAGAGTGCTGTAAAGCACCACTGGGTGGTATATAAGTCTTAAGTGCTATTGTCAATTGCTATATTGGATATTTGGATCTACAGTGTCGTTGCATGGGAACGATAGCTTTCACGTACAGTTAGGCCTTGCTGAATTTGGCAGGTGCTCTTTTTATGTTTCCGCTACGTGTTTTAAGCTCTTTAGACATCTGTTATGAAAAATAACTTTGCTATTTACTCTTGTTCTATGGGAATAAAAAGGAAATATGAACACTGTAAATGTCAGAATTAAACTTTGTGCTGGAACAATTCCTGTGAAGAAATGTCAGACCTCAGTGCTTAGCACTAACAGGTGCTTTAAAATTGTTTTGAAGCTTTTAGTCTCTCAATTTCTGAAATAAGATCAGGATTTACAACAATAAAAGTATATACCTAGATTTAAACCATGGAATTATTGATGGTGTTTTGTTCTAAAGTTTTTGGTACACTCAATACTAAAATAGTATTAAAAAGACTGCAATTTTATGCAATTTTTACAGATTCTTCTGAGTATCAAGATCTTCATTTAGTCTTTGGGATTATGAGGTGGCTTCTTCTAATCTGAAAAGGGATTTTATTATGGTATCTCACTACTATTACTATTGTAATTACTATTACATTACTATTACTATAGTATCTCATTACCATTACTCTAATAGTATCTCCCCATTGTGTTGTCCTTATACAACTCCCATTACTTTTCAGACTACTATCATTAGCTGCACTAATTAGGGGAAACTAAGGAATGAGAAAGCCAGATGAAGAAATTTATATCAAAATTAGTTAATCCTTAAAATACCAAGAGACTTAACTGCTTTTCCTAAAAGACTGTCTATACCTCTAGAAATAATTCTTCCGGAACTGTCCATTGTTCACTATTGTATGCTGTGGAGTAATTTCAGTATGCAACCAATAATTATTGGGAAATTGTTGTCTTAATGTAATTAGAAAAATCTAAAGTATACAGCCAGTAAGAAATTAGTTTTGCTAATAAATTAGCATGTTGATTTGATAAATGTACCTTGAGCTGCATTATTATATTTATGGTTTAGTATTACGCATAAATCTTTTCTTTATAAATTTTCATAAATCAGTTCTTTCAGGTCCAATTCCATGATATACAACCTGCTCTAGATGATAAATTTATGTACAAGGGGTCAGTCAATCTGTCTTAACAACATGAAAGTAATTATATATAACATATGCTGGTAAGCACTGAAACAGCTTTTTCAGAGTTGAATAACAAGATTATGCAGTATAAAATCATTGTAGACTTATTACAGTTTCCTTTATGTATCTTCTGATACACCCACAGCCACAGGCAATGTGAAACAGATAATGTGCACTCTGAAACGATTAAATTTTTTTGTTTCCAACCTCAATACAACTCTGTTGGGGAGTTATAAGATAACATGAAAAGGGTTTATGCAAAATATTTAAATAAATGTAGTCAAACTTCAGTAAAAGCCTCTCTGATTAAAAAATTGGATAATGGAAAAAATAAAAAAAGGCTAATATCCAATTTAGATAAATTACATTTGAAAGGGGAGGCTGTTGTATTTACTCTCTGCAAATATTCAAATAGATTGGCTCTGTACTGAATGATAAAGGGAATAGCTATTTTTCAATGATACAGTAGTTTCAAACCACTATTTTAAAATGGAACCAAATCAAAAAATTTCATTTGTTACAATTTCATTAAAGTATTAGTTATGAATTGAGGCAAATAAAAGATTTCCTACCAAAATTTCCTATGTTTCATTTTACTCTGTTAAATTTTAATTATAGTTGATACCTCTTTTACTGCTAGCTTTATTTTTTCTTTTAGATTAAGATCAACTGTAAGAGCAGTTTCAGTTCAATCATATATCATTCCATTTAAATGACAAAAAGTAATATACATAAAATAAAATTTCATGAAATATTTATTTTCAATTCCCTTTGGGGTATTGGGGGGAAATATGTATTTGTGTTAAAGACTTCGGTTTGCTTGGGTAAGAACCAGTGTTTTCAGAAAATGTTAAACATTACTAGCCAATCACAATTTATCCTAGCATATTATACCAGTGGTTCAGTATAATATGGGAATCCAGGATACTGACATAATTTATTGAACCAAGGCTTGGGTTAGATAGGAATGGAAAGACAATGTGTATATAATATTTGTACAATGCAAAGACAAAGAGTCATTTGTGGAGAGATCATTTAGGATTGTAGACTATATGTCTATGTGGACATTTTTGTCCTAGGAAATTAAATACAAAAATCGAAATGGGATATAAAACTGAAGTCTCCTTCAAGTCAAGCTTGACCCTTGACATGCCCATTTTGTTTCCTTGGGAAAATATAGGGGTGATTTATATTGGAATTGTTGAAAAATTAAGCTCTGCTTCTATTGTTTGTTTTAAAGCCAGTCGGCTATTAGTTCTACTCTTTGCATAGGTATGTTCTGTGGAAAAACTGAACAGCAGAGGAGAAAGGTGTCTATGACTATCTTCAGCAGACTATATATTGGAATAGAAAAACAGACTGGTAGAAATGTCAAAACTGGCAGAGATGTCAAAACTGTACAATCTCTATATAAACTAAAATAATTGATCTAAGACTCCCCCATCTGCTATAGTATTGGTTTTTTCTAACAGTTGGAAATTCCACAGAAGGAACAGATTCCAATGACAAATCAGCTTTCAAACGTTTGGGAACTATTTTGAGAGGAGGAAAAAGGTTTCAACAGCTTTGATGCTACCCCACCCCCAAAGCCACATTATAAATATCACTAAGAATGCACTAAGACATTTAAGCATTGACTCTATATTTTAAAAATGTTCAGTATATGCTTCTCAACTCCACGCTTTGGATTCTTTGCAGCAATAATTGCACAGAAAAATCTACAATGATATAAAACTGAACAGCCTAGATTTAAATTATTTTGGAGTACATTCTTAAATTAATAAGGAGGCCCTTCTACATCAGTTCGCTCCATATTAAAAAGCACCCCCACCGGAATAGATTTAACTGTTCCTATGAAATGTATCTGTGGAGGACCCATGAAGGATGCCTCACTAACTACCTAAGATGGAGATGGACAGCAATTAAGTCCTGTGGTTAAAAATAAAATGATGCCTATATATCTTAGTGAGTCTCTTGTAATAGCTGGGAAAGTAACTGTTAACAGGGTAATTACATATCTTCAAGGATGATTTGGCAATGTTTGTGTTTCCATATAAAGTACAGCCTTTATAATAGTAGCCCATATGCCACACACACATTACATTTCCTCCTAAATGATGCCCATTAACATCTCCAATTCATTTTCGTAGACAAATTAATGAAGGAAAGTGCAGAGCCTATAGGCAAGGCTTTTCCAGTTCGTGCTCGCCCATCATTGGATTTACTAAGGCTAGAGATAGGTACCAGACTAACTTCAATGTACCATAAGATGATTTATATGACCAGTTAATAATAGCACACTTTCTATAGTATTAAAGGAATGTTTAGTTATAAATTATGGTATATGTCTTGCATTTTGTGTAGAATTGTTCTATAAATTTTCTGCTTGTATGAAAAATATAAGAAGTATTAGTATCTCAGGGAAACTTGGAATCTGTTGCTAAAGAATAATAATGTATAATAAAAAACTTTCTAAAGAAAAACCAAATATTATTATGGCTTAGATTGTATCAATCTATGTTCCAAGTCAGTTAAATATGTAGCATATTGTGATACTGTGACAAAATTTGGGGCAGTATCAGTTGTCTGATTAGTAATCAAATTCTATCTGCTTATTTTTTACTACAGTCCTCCACGTTCTTTCCTAATGGTCATGTTGGCTAAAGTAGATTGAAGTTGAATGTGAAACACCTGTAGACAATTGTTATCTCCTCAGTGTAACATGAGGGAATGTTACACTGTAGTTAGTACAGATACGGGGATATGTAACTACAGTTACATATAGTAGTAACTACTGTAGTAACTACAGTTACACTGTAGTTAACTACAGATACAGGGATATGATATCTGCATAAGCAGAGAGAAGGTAGAGCCCAAGGGAGAAGTTTCAAATGCTGGAGTGCGAGTAACTTTAGAAGAAGGTTTCAGTAAAGTTTTTAAAAATTCTTCTCACTTTTAAGACTCTCACTCTGTAATGAGGATAAATAAGCTTTGGAAATCAAAGTAGATTTTAAAGTTTGACTTTTTAAAAAAATCAACTTTGATCTTAGTTTTGTCTTTATTCATACAATGGGAAATAATTTCTCCCATAACATCCCTCCAATTATTTTCCTGCCCTCCAAAATTCCATACTATTCAAAAGATCAACTTTTGTGGAGGCAGAAGATGAAGGAATCTGTGGAAGGGAAATTGATGAAAACATCCACTTCAATAACTACAATTGTGTTCCATCAGTGATAGAAATGTACAATTCAATTTAATGCATTTTTATACTCAGTCTAAAGCCTAAATACATTGTTGACTGAGCTGTTTTATTTGTCCTTTTTATATTCCTATGGCTTTTCTGAATTCAGAATTTTGTGGCTCCAAGATATCATAAAAAACTCTACATTTATCAAAGCTGTGTCTGATGAAGAGTAAATCATCTACGGAATATTCATCATCTTTTCCAGTCCAAATGGTTAACGTGTACCTGGAAGAAGAGTCACCAAAGTTGAATTATTTCACAGATATCTAAAATATCTAACAGATATTTACCTATCTACCTATCTAAAATAGGTATTGTAATAAAAGTAAATGCCAAAACTTCAATTGTATTATAAATGTTATTTTCACATAATGATGGTTCTATGAAATGAAAGCTTTCTGAGGAAAGTGTTTCACTGAATCCACATATTTCATGATAGTCACATCAAAATTCATGAATCTACTGAAATAAAAAGGTGAACTGCCTCATTAATATAATGGTTGGTTTCAGACAATAATTTCCATCTTCATAAATCATGGGTCATAATTTAGCTTAAAGTAGTAGCTTAAAGCTGTAAGGAAGATGAGGTTGCATCATTTGGGCAGAGAAGCTGAGGTTTCTTTGTGTTTGTGTTTACTAGTGATAAGTCTATTTTGGTGCATAGTTAATGGATTTGGTATATTTCCCCATGCAAAAATGGTGGTACCTTGCTATTAGTTCTCAGAATCTATAGTCAGATTCTGAAAACCATAAAAGAGGACTTGAGGATGGCTGGTTGCCCATTGATATAAGGTACAACAAGAATAGTAAATGAAAATGAAACACTTCTGTATTAGCTTTGTTGAAGCAGACACATTCTATTTTGTTAATTTATTTTTAATCATTTTTAAAGTCTTTTACAGATTATTACAAAATTCAGTTACTGCAAACCATACCTGTCTGATTGCTGTAGTAACCACAGAAGTTCAGATTTTGACCGACAAACCAAATCAGCTCTTACAGCAAATGTGATTGGCTGAGTACGATCTCTACATATTTCTGCCATTTCTTGTACCATGGCTAGACTATAACCTAAAGAAGGAACAAATCCTGTAGTACTCAGATATGGAAGCTGAATTTCTAATAGTTAAACTGTCCACCTTTAATTAAAACCCCTTTTTTTTCTGGAATAAGGAATAAGGAATAAGAAGAGATAAGGATGGGAAAGAGAAACTTTGATTCTTGCAAATTGCTGTTCTTCACTGCATTTAAAAAAGATAAGGTGTAATGTAACAAAACTGAAAATATCCAGAGGACCCATTGTTTTTGTCAAAACAATGAATGTGCATCACTGCCACTCCACAAACTGTCCCTTTTGTACGTGCAAGTGACATCACAGTGACATGATAGCTTGTGTCAATTCAGTACAATCCTGCTTATATTATTTTAACTCCCCTTGCCTTCCTACAGATGCTGCTGTGTATAATATTTTTCAAAATATACTATAGGTGAAGGCTTTAATTGTAATGCCTTGCTGTAGCCTTTGAAATTAATGTTACAGTTGTGAGGTCAAAGAATCATTTTGACATAAATATCAGCCATGTCAGATTTACATGCATCTCTTGAAAATTGCATGAGTAAAGGAGATGGGGAATCATGATTGTAGTAATAGTTTTTCTGTCTTGGTTATCCTCCATGTGTTGAATTTTAGTCCTCTATGTGCAGTGACCTCAGTATAAAAGATCACCTTTTATATAAATAGCTACCTAAAAATGTCTTGCCCTGATTGCAGGACAAAATGAATTGCACATTATTATCTATACATGAATTTAAAGCATTAGCACAGGTTTGCATTACCTGTATTGCATTTTGAATTAATTCTTCCAGTAGTCCATCCCAAAGATAAAGTTACATCTGGAAAAGATGATATCACTGTGTCCAGGAATCCCTTTGCATCTATCGGATGATTTCCTTTTGGTCCTAGGAGTATGTCTGCATTAATCCAAACAGGTTGCCTAAAATGCAGGTCTCCAAGAAGCTTCATTGAGGGATTCACAGCTTCTAGACTATAAACAAGCAATACATTTTAAAGTATCTGGTAAAAAGATGTATATTTTTCACTAATTATCAAAATACTGGAAATGCAACTTTGGCAGAAAGAAATGTTTGGATTTTTTTTAAGTTTTAAAACTGAGGAAAGTGTTAATAGTAAAATTGGGTGGTTTAAGCATGCAAATGGTTAAAAAAAATCAGGACAATTCTCCCCTTTTTTGTAATTTGTAATTTTTCTCCTCTTCGTGCCCACATAGCTCCCAAAATTTTAAAAAAAAATCCCAATTACTTTGCATTTCATATGTGGCAATAAATCTTCAACACCCATATATAGGAACTTGTTTACACCAAAAATTTAACAAAATGGCACAGCTAGGTATGTTGCTTTATTGCAAACAACAGAAAAACCAATGACCCTGGACACTATAGAGAGATAGCAAGACAGAGAGATGTACGCACACAATACCAGAATGTTAAGTTTGATGCTGGCAAAGGAAAGAACAGGGATTTCTTTTTATTCATGTATACTTGTATTATGAATTTAAATATGGGATTTCAATTCTAAGATGCTTTTCTTGGTTTCTGGCTTCCATGTTCGCTAATTCTTCATTAAGAGAGAGAGAGAGAGAGAGAGACAGACAGACAGACAGACAGAAAATAGTTTAAAAAAATTAATGGAAAAGAATTTCAGGTTTGTAGCACCCTCTACTGATCAGGAAAAAAAGATTGTTTGAAATAACTGAAAATTTTACTATTATTTTATTTCATTTTCTTTATTAAGTTTTTATATTTAAGTTAGTTATATGGAGCTCTGTAGTCCTTAAGGTGACAATTTGTACACCCAGTTCATACACATTCAAAGGATTTTCAAATCCATGAAGCATAGTGAAACTTCATATACATATTAAGTGAGACATGATTACATATATAGAAACATCTTTTATTTGTAATGTCATTCTAATTATTGCCAACTTTTTATTTTGAATTATTTCAAAATACATTAAATAATAGACAAATACTGACAGTTGGGGTATTTACTTACCTAAAGAGTTAAGCAGAATGACCACAGGTAAGCAAAAAAGCAGTGGGAATAGGAGCAACTTCTGACTTTCTGCTAGCTTCCCCATTGATTTTGCTTGTGGGAAGCTGGCAAGAAGCATTGAAAATCATAGTCACGTAACTGTGGATGCCCATGGCAGCACTGCCATGACCACAAGTTTGCGGATACACCTTACACAAAAGAATGTTATAATAAAAATAATCCACATTTACAACTTGTGAATGGAAAGACAAGAATTGGATCAAGTGAAGTAACTACTACATGAATGTGTATGTAATATGTGCACAGAATCATTAAATGAATTATTGTATTGTAAAATATATTAAATACTTGCCATAAGACTAATTCTTCCCAAAATTTTGGCATTAGCCAGCTACCTTATTTTAGCTTTTTATTACTAGGGTTTCTTTCAGCACTTTAATGATAGGTCCTGCAGGATAATACTAAAAATACGATTCTTGGCATACTTATGCAATTGTCATTACACTTCATAATGTATGTGTTGGTAATTGATCAATAATTCCTTATTCAATAATATAGTGATTATTTAAAGTCTGAAATGTATGTGTGTATACTTTCCAAATTACCTTTTAAAATCAAGCTTGATCCCTTTGTTGGTGTTTTTAATTTCGTTTAACCATTCTTTGAGTGTATTATCACTATTTGTTTCAGGCGGATGAGCCATGACTGGGTGATTACCATAAAGAAGGACATCTGCTTCTATCATGTGAGCAGCACCTATTAATTTCCAAAACAAGAAACAAAGAAAAAAAAATAGCAATAATGTTGTCATATCTAAAAAGCCATTTGTAGCAAAGTGTTTATTTTCTTCTACTTATATATCACGTGAGAACTAATAAAAGGAGCTATGTGGCACTCACAACTTATTAAGGAGTCATGAAAATAAATCATTAAAGAATCATCAGAAAATTTGCATCTCTGGAATTTATTTTCCCCTTTTATGCCCTGGGGTAATTATATGAACTAAAGAACGTAAGAATAATTTTTCTCTTTCATGAATATGTATACATTCTAATCTCATTACTTATGTTGCCTATTGAGAAAGCAATAGAAAAACTTAAAATATGAACTTTAAACATCTATTGCTTTAAAATATGAAATAGTAAAATAATAATTGCTTAGAGGGAAGCTTACTGGGAAAAAAATCCACTGTTCTCTCTGCTTTGGGTATCAAATCATTTAATTTCTGTTTTTAGAACAAGCGGTTTAGTTGCTTATGTCAGGCCCAAGTCCAAAAACAACACAATGAAATCCAGTGAAGTACAATTCTTTATTTGCTTATCCTGAACCTCTTCCTTCTTCTCCTATCCAGTTCAGAACTCTGCAGTCTCTTATTTTGGGCTTATATGTACTCTTTGGCAGTGAGTTCACAAAGGAATGCCTTGCTTTTTGAGCCAGTCTGCAGTTTGCTTTTTCTTCCTTGGAAGACTGCTGTGGTAAGGGAGTGAGTTTGATGCACATTTGCTTTGGAACAATTTTGGATTAAGTCTGATCAATTTGAAATATGAAATATATAATAGAGGGTGGATTTTCAGAACATAATTATCAATAAATTAGTGAAATTAACATGTTATGCAGTTCCAAATTGGGATTAATTTTGACTCAATGGATTGTGTAATTAGAGAAAATTGGATTGAGTGAACCATGTTTACCTTAACCTTGGCTAAAATTATTATGTGAATATGCCACATTGCCATCTGAATTTTTTGCCTGGAAAAAGGTTAATGGTAGGGTATATAACCATATAATACATGTGAATGAATAAATATATTAAGCATTTTTTGTCTAAATGCACTGAATAAATGCACTGCACATTTTCAGATTTCGTTTCAAAGCATAAATATTTTTTCCTGATGGTACTGCCAGGAAATTCAGTATCTCTATAACAGATTACTCTAAAAAAAAAAAAAAAAAAAAGCTGATTCTTCCTTAAAAAAAAACTTGAACCCTGCCATTGAATCAAACTAAATTCAATCTCTTGTGATTTAACTCTGCTTTTTTAGAATTACTGAAATAAATACTGCTTTATTATATTATGAAGTACACAATAAGAAAAAATAAATTTACTTACCTGGTTTACATTCAAGTATTATTTTCCAATACTTACTCTGTATTGCGTCTTTCATGTGTTGCTTGCTGTTTGCTCTGTGATACCAAATGATTTCAGCTCCATCTCTTGTTTTAATTTGCTTGGTATTCAGAAAATAATCTAATATATTTTGACTCCAAAATCCTATGTGGAAAACAGTGGCAGGACTAATTTCATACAAGGGACTTGGTTGTTTTATTTCTGTTCTATTTTCTATTAATTTATTATTTACTGCCTCAGAGAACAGGATCAGAACCAATGGGTTAAAATGACTTCCAGATTGTATGAACTGTCAGCTGGTGGAACAGGCTGTCACATGATATAATGAATTTTCTTTCACTAGTGGTCTTCAAACAGAGGTTTAGCATCTCAAACTCAGCACTTTTAAGATGGGTGGACTTAGCTACCAGAATTCCCTAGCTGGAATGCTGAAGGTTGAAGTCTCTCCATCTTAAAGTTGCTAAGTTTAAGAAACAGTGTGCGAGCAGATCCTTCACATCCTCTAGGACAGGATCTTGTCATTATAGGATCCATGAGATCTGCAGTAGAAAGTTTTAATCTCAGGAACAACGAATGATAGTTAAAACTCTGCTTTAGCCCTGAAAACACAAAGATAGCTGGAATTTGATCTGTTTCAAAGTGAGCAATATAAACCAGGAGAACGAGAGGGAGGGAGATGTCATAATCTCCCTCTGGGCATTGGATGATGAAAATTTTGCCCACGGTGGAGACGGAGAAGAGAAAAGGCACCATTTTCCCTTGCTCAGCAGCAGGGTATGGGCAGTCAAGATGAGTTCACTGTGGTCCCCAGGTGTCCCTAATCCCTTCCTTATTAATGTTGGGGTGGAAGTCTGCATTTCAAGGGGTGAAAGCATCTTGCATTTCTTTCCAGTCTTTGCTGGGATTATTGCAATATTTTCAGTATATAATAAGTTGTTCTGCTATTTGGGGTATTTGGCTTTAATAGCCCAATATAAACTAATAAATAAATGAGCCTGATTCAGCGATCAGGTCGTAAGAGCAATTTCAATGAGATCGCACCAATTAGCTAACCAGAGCTGCTCTGGAGTAGCTCTACACACCCTCTAGGGCAGTGTTTCTCAACCTTGGCAGCTTGAAGATCGGCGGACTTCAACTCCCAGAATTCCTGAGACAGCCAAGCTGTCTCAGGAATTCTGGGAGTTGAAGTCCGCAGGTTGTAAAAGGGTCACATTTGCCCAGCCCTGCTCTAGGGGGCTTCAAGACCAAATCCAACTGCAAGGGGGAAAAGGGAGAGCTGGTACCTTCCCCTTCGCCAAGCGCGGACCCTCCGGCGCCCGGTCCTCCTCCATGTTCGTCCTCTTGCATGTCCGATCTCGGGTCTTATTCAGACCCGCTCCGGCGCCCGCAGAGTTGGCCTTTGCTTTTTTGAGGCGTGCAACCGGTTCTCTTCGCGGTATTGACGGGGCCTTCCGGCAAGCGCTCCGCATCAAGGCTCGCCGAGTCCGACTTCCGAGTGCTTTTGCCCGGCGCCCGCCTCCCCGTTTGCTTCCCGCAGAGCGATGGCGAGACTTGCTCTCGAATTTGCCTCGCTGCTCTTACTATTCTAAGTTGACCACCTTGGAAATCTGCGTTAAGGGGTTTATTATTCGCGACATAGCTAAATCAACAAGGTTTACAAATGATGGGTTCGTCTTGATGCCAGCTCCGAACTGGCAGAATTGGCGCCATCTCTATGATGCATCCGGGCTTAAATCCCGGTTCAGCCGGGAAGCTCAAGAGGGATACGCGCATGGCAGCCGCCGCCTTTTACAGATTGACTTTTATCAGAGTTTACTCCAGTTTTATGGAAATGTAGAAACTGAACTCTGAAGTAGTTTCGTTTGCCAAAAATTCCATTTTTGTAAAATGTGCTTCATAGTTTATGAGGATTAGTAAATGATGATCCCTGCAATTAAAACTGTAACCTGCATCTTTGAGAAAACCTCCCCATGCTATTGGTAGGAGGGCGTTTTGCATGCATGTTTTCCAGTTTGCTTGTTTAATAATAGTAATTGAGAATGAAAAGTGCCAGATACTGTTGTTGCAAAAGAATCAAGGGGCCCAGGATCCTATTGCAAATATTCGATGAATACTCCAGATGACAAGGGAGTTCAATAAAAATGTCTTATTGATTTTATAAAAACTTTCAACTGTGATGACAAGGTGTGGACAGTCCATGAAAGCATGTATGTATAAGGCTACCTGCCTAGGGAATAAAACATACTGTCTGATGATCAGGATATAATAATATTGGCTATCTAAATGGCTCAAAAGTGGGAAAGGGGTGGGCTAAGATTGGATGCTCTCTTAATTATTTATGCATAATATATCATCATATATGCCAGATTTGAAAAACAATTGTAATTAAAATTTCTGGGAGAAACATCAATCACAGATATACCAATGCCTCTTGAATGGCTAGAAGCAAGGAAAGTGAAAGGAATCCATTGCTGACCATGAAGAAAAAAAAAGTGTACAAAAACTAGTGTCTCCTCAATATTAAAAATACCTAAGATAGTTAACAGGCAATGGTAACTCAAGGCAAGTAGCTGAAGAAGAAGTAAGACGTAAGAGAGGGACAGTGATTCTAGATCTGAAAAAGATAGCTGGTACTTGGGACAAACAATGACAAATCTAAGTAAAGAGCAAAGACATCACATTGACAACAAAGGTACATATTATCAGAATTTTGATGCTGTAGAAAACTGAACACTGGATTCCCCCCCCACAAAAAAACCCAATACTAGATGAAGTAAAATTAAACTATTTTCTGAAAGCATTAATAATAAAGCCAAAAATAAAAAAAATCAAAGAAATTAGAAAAGAGGGCAAAAGAATACAAGGTGGCTAGATGTTATGATAAAAATTTACAAGAACTCAAAAGTTATTAACATAGAAAAATATTTATCAGGTTATCAGCAATGACTGAACAACAATATTTTATTATGCTGTAATGCTGATTTATATATTAGTTTCCATGGTTTTTTGATATAAACATTCAGTAATGTGGACTTGAAATTAATAGCCCCTGTAAATGTTTATGCATAAAGTTAGGATGTTTTGTGGAATTTAAGGATGGATAGAATTATAATTTGAAAAGTAAACATTTTATGAAAAGCAGCAGTCCCCTCTCCTTAGCAGTAGTTCTAACATACTGCTATGATAGTGCTATTTCAAAATGCTCAGCATGATTTGCAAATAAAGTCAATGAATAAGCATGGTAAGCAGCAGAATGCTGACTTCCTGACAGCATATGCTTTAGTGATATGCAAATCATTACACAAAGTTCAGTTGTGATCTCTTACTTATTCCTGTTTTATTTTGTGGTCTGAGTCATTAGTCACACAAGGCAAAATCTTAAAAGAAAACAAACTTAAAAAGTGGTAAACACTAGTTCATTGCTTACTTGCCCAATTAACCCTGGCTTTTTCAGGTCACAAAATAAACAGTCATATAGCAGGGTCATATGTTATGCTAATTTTACTTCGAAGATTTGTATGTCTTATATCAAGTACTAAGGCACAACAAATCCTACACACCAGACTGCAAAATCAAAACAAACAGAAATAACAGAAATGTCAGAATTAATCTAAACTTTAAGTATACATTTTAATTTATTAAACACAGATTGAGAATTTTTTGCCAAGGCTTGAAAGGCCCCAGAAACATTTAAAGTTGTTTTGAATTTTAAACATGCTTTAATCTTCAGCAAACCATTGGCATCATAAGATAGAGAGGACAAGAATTTTTCCTTTGACTACAGTAACCCTAACCCAAAAAGAGAATTAACCCTGTGGGGCATGATATTAAATCTGCTTCTAAAGCATTTTTTAAAAAAGTTTAGCATAACATTTATAAATCCTTCAGCTGAATGAAATATTTAAAATCATAAATTTGGGATAGCTGGAAAAGAAAAGGGAAGATACATTAGGGTATTTATTTCATATTGCTATAATTTGGAACCACAATCTGAGCTACCTCCTTATTCTAATCAATAAAGAATCACAGTAATGTAGTTACCTTAAATATTTAAAAACAGGGAAATATATAATGCCCTACTCATGAATAGAAGGATGATTTGAAACAATATTTTGAATGTGCAATGCTTAATTAAAGCTTTAATTAAGGTTTTAGGTTAAAAACAAGAGACAGACATTTGTGTCTTTATTAGGAAGTAGCAGCAATCCTGGCAAATGATGAGTATTATTAACAGTAATACGTTTGAGAAGAAAATGCTGGGGAACTGAAGTCCAGAGCGAGTAGATAATTCAGTGACCAGAAGAAGCACGACCAATTACTATGCAGAAGTTGTAGATTTTTAAATGTTCATACCAGTAAAAATATAGTCAGGTTTTTTTTAAATACAGTCATAAAAGTATTATAAAAGTGTTTGAAGAAAGTACAAGAGACAGTAGGAAATAGCCTATAGCAGACCTAACACCACACAAGATTAAAGCAAAGAGAATGAGAGAAAATGGGGAAATACGTGGTTAGGCAGAGAACAGCTGAAATGTTTACAGGTGATCTGGAACATTGCCAAACATCACTGGGTCAGAAGAGTATGTGACTGTGCCAACTATGTTTGGTAATTTCAGCTCAACCTGAAAAATATTTTGAAGAATAAACTCTTTTGCTTACCTAACACATTATGAAATATTGCAAGGTAATCATAATGATTGAATTCATACACAGTGCTGATTTATTTAACTTCATTTACCAAATAAATCATAGTTCACATAACAAAACCAAATAAACCACATAATGATAGAGCTTTCACCACTAAGTTATGATACCATCCATGCTTAGCAGAAAATTATGCTGTTGTGACATTTGCTATTCCCAATCCTAGTTCTAGTCATTTTGAGTGATAATGTCTAACAGATTTGTACATACCTTGAGGTCATAATTGGATGGTCCCACATATGAATTGCAGATGAATTATAGGCAACAAGACTTGCCATAAAAAAAAGCTGTCAATGCCTAAAGGGCCTCTATCTAGGGCCATTTAGCTTTCTTTTCCATCCAACTGTCATATCACAATAAGCCTAAAAAGAATATTCCAATGTAGTGAAGGAACACCTTTATTTAAAGGAAAATACCAAGATTCCTTTAGGTATGTAAAATTAGATGTGAAGTTCTTGCAATCTCACATTTTATTATCTATGCTTTCAACACAGTCATAAGTTTGCTTTTTTATAGGTTATTCAACAAGTTTTCAGTAATATGAAGTAAGATATCACTCCCAATTTTAGTGAATAGAAAGATCCATTAAATTAACTGAAATATTAAATTAAAAGAAACATCTAATTTAAACTGAATTAGTGGATCAGACTTAAGACTTCAGTAAGGCATTTGACAAAGTAGCCTAATTCTTTGTAAGCTAGAACAATGTGGGATAGACAATACCCCCACTAGATGAATTCACAATTGGCTGATCAATCACACTCAGTGAGTAGTCCTCATTGGAACAATACCTACATTGACGGAAGAATGTGGTAGAGTACCTCAAAGGTTCTGTCTTAGGCTCAGTACTCATTAACGTTTTCTTAAATGATGTGGATGAGGGGATAGAAGGGGAATTCATTAAATTTGCAGACACCATGCTGGGGGAAATAGCCAATACTTTGGAAGATAAACTCAAGATTCAGAAGAATCTTGGTAGACTTGAGCATTGGGCTGAATCCAACAAGGTGCAGTTCAGTGGTGAGACAAGTAAGATTCTGCACTTAAGCACAAATGCATAGATACAGAATAAGTAGTGTCTGTCTTAACACTAGTTATGTGAGAGGAATCTAAGTGTCCCAGTGGACCACCAATTAGGTATGAGCAAGCAGCGTGTTGCAGCTGCCAAAAATACTAACGCAGTTCAAAACTGCTTCAACTGAAGGATAGTATCAAGATCATGTGAAATGATAGTACCGCTTTATACTGCACTTGTGAGACTACACTTGTAATACTGCATCTAATACTGCATCTGGCCACCATGATGCAAAAAAGATACTTAGACCCTAGAAAGAGTACAGAGAAGAGCAATAAAGATAAGGGTCTGTCTAGTTTATTCTAACAAAGAGAAGGCATAGGGGTGATATGATAGCAGTCTTCCAGAACTTGAGGGGCTGTTATAGAGAAGAGGGAGGTCAACCTATTCACCAAAGCACCTGAGGGCAGAACAAGAAATAACGGGTGGAAGATCATTAAAGAGACAGCCAACTGAGTACTAAGGAGAAATTTCTTGACAATGACAGCAATTATTCAGAAGTTGTGGGTGCTCCATCACTGGAGATTTTCAAGAAGATATTGGACAACCATTTTTTTTTTTTTTTGCAATTATATAAAGTCTCCTGCTTGAGCAGGGGATTGGGCCCTTCCAATCCTATTTTTCTATGTTATTCTAATCAGTGCTATCAAAAGAGCTGCCAACATTTTCATGAATACCTTTTTAAAAACAGATAAGGAACTGATGAAATTTAACTGAACTGAACCATTAAAAGAAAAGAAGTATCTAAATGATCTAAATAGAAAAAAAATGTTGCTTCTGGATTGTTAAAGCATCATGAGCTTAATTTACAAAATTTTTGATAATCTTTGTTTATATAGTAATACTTATATTCTAAAATAAAAGCCTAATGTTATTATTTATAAAAGGATCCTCCAGAGAACAAAAAGTTATTATAACAGAGTAATGCTTGGTGCTATACAAAATTGTGTCTTAAGAAGTCATGTTTATACATTATGGATCAATGCTTCAAACATTTAACATTGTCTGCTGCCATCATACGCTCAACAGTAGCAGAACAGAGAAACAAATGCATATTATGTAACATTTAGTCTACAACAAATGTACAATTCTTGATACAAAGGAGTACAATGTTTTCATTACAATGGCCCATGGGACTAATTTATTGTAGTCTTCTACACTTCTGTGCCTTTAATCTGTAATTGTCAAATATCTGAGCAATAAATTGCCTTTGTAACTGTAGTTCATATATGCATCTAATGTCAAGGCATTTAGTTATAATTAGAATATATGTTTGCCGTTATAGGAATATAAGTATAAATAATTCAAAGACACACCGACATATAATTTCCTATAATACACAACAAACAGCAACATTATGCAGGCATTATCAAACTTGATTTAGGTTATTTGAGCAGTAATCTCAATCATTTTTCTGGTACATAAATGCTTACTTATTTGAAAATAACCCATTACAAAAATAAGACTTCTATAAAGAGCCTCAAGTATTTTATGGCAAACTGTTCATTGATATTCAAACTAACACATTGTTCTCCCTGAACATAAACAGGGATACAAGAGGTCTCAAAAAGTAGAGAAAGGAGCATAGACAGGCTTCGTGCCTGATTTACTGCTACAGGATGACTACTTTAAGGGTCATCTGACTTCTTATTTCTTCTTGGAAAATCCAAGAAACAACTGTATATCTGAGCACAGAAGAAAACAATATTATTAAGTATTTAATATAAAAAGTATTAATTTTATGTTCATTAAAGCCATTATAAATATATAACAAAGTCAGCCATTAAAATGGGAACTCTCAAGTTCCAGCAATAATATATACTTTAAAATTTACCAATATTAAAAATGTATAACTTTATAAAATGATCACATCTGTCAAAAACATACTGGTTTCATCAGAAAGATAATTATACTTGTAGAAACATTTTCAAGATAGGATAATTATGCCAATATTCTAGTAATTAACAGCTTTTATATCTGAATTATGCAGCAAGAAACTTCTACTCCATTTAAATGTGATATTTTTTAAAAATCACACAAAATAGTTAAGAATAATTCACTAGATTTACCAGTTATTGCAAAGAATATTATCTGTAAAACAGAGATAATTCCTTAATCACACATGCTAACTCTATTCCTTCCTTGCCTTAATTGTATTAAATGTAACATTTCAGAACATAAAGAAAGTGTACAGTTTAATTAATTTTCTGTTTAAGTAAAGATGGAAAAACAAGTTTTAATTAAATAAAGCTCTCTTAGAAGACTGCTAAATCATTGGCATAAAAACACTTGAATATTTCATTGATAATGTAATGTTAACTGCTTTGGTATTGGTCAATAGAGCAATTCAATTCATTACATTATAATATACTTGCCAGTTATATTAAAAGAGACTCATTAATGAAAAATATTAATTCGATTTCCAGTGGTAAGCTTGTAGTATTGGATAGCCAGCCATGAATTACTGGAATCAAAGCACTGTCCAAATCATTTAAGTAATGCTGTGGAAGAACCTGGCCTCCAGATCCTGCCTGATATTCTACCTAAAAAAAAAACCCAAAAAATTACATTAATAATTACTAATTTATTACTAATTTATTGTAAATAATTATAATTAATTACAGCTGCTGCAACATTTTAAAAGCTTACCATATCGGCATCCATAGAGACTCTGAGGCCTATCTTGTTCATTCCATTATTTTTCAGTGTTTTGAGATGCTTTCCAAGTGCAATATAAGAAGCCAATGCAATTTCTTTAGCAAGCTGATGAACACTATCGTGTAGCTCACTAACATTTGATAGATAGAATACCTAAAGTATTAATTTAAAAATTAAAACATTAATGACGGTAGATTTCCCTTCAAAACTAAATAAGATGATACAGCTTCTCTTGAGCAGTGCATTATATGTTCTAATCACTAGAAATAGACAACCAATAGAGATGAGATAAATATTTAAAGAGGGCGACAACGGCAATAAAGGACCAACATCAGATAAAAACAATTAAATTTCTATAATGAATTGATTTAAGATTCAAAAGAGGAAATTATGAACTTTCTAATTGGCCCCCCTCACCTTGCTCTTTTATACTACCGTATTTTCCGGCGTATAAGACGACTTTTTAACACATGAAAATCTTCTCAAAAGTCGGGGGTCGTCTTATACGCCGGGTGTCGTTCTCCTGTAACCAGGCAGACCAGCCCGAAAGGCTCTGACCAGCCTTAAATGGCTCTGACGATCTCAGCTGAGTTCCCTGCAACTCAGCTGGGATCGCTAGAAACCACGTAAAAGGGAAAAAGTTTTTTCCCTTTTACTCTGACGATCCCAGCTGAGTTCCCTGCAACTCAGCTGGGATGGCCAGAGTCATGTAAAAGGGAAAAAGTTTTCCCCCTCCAGCTTGCTTACCTCAGCTGCTAGTCGCAACGCTTGCCTTGCTTTGCTTGCCTGAATCTATTCAGGCAAGTAAGCAACTCCCTGCCTGCAATCAAGCAAGGAGTTAGTTGTGGACTTCAACTCCCAGAATTCCTCAGCCAGCAAAGCTGGCTGAGGAATTCTGGGAGTTGAAGTCTACAAGTCTTAAAGTTGCCAAGGTTGGAGACCCCTGTTCTATTGGGTAAGTTTTTTTCCCCTTTGGGATCTTTAAAAAAAAAAGTCAATTGGGGTTTTTTTAGTTGTTCTTTTTTAGACCTAGCCATTTAAAGTTTAGGAAGTTTTAAATTTAGCTTTCATATAAAAATAAAAATAAAATAAAATAAAACAATATTTGTGCAGCTTTCTGAGATTTAGTGTGTTTCTGTAGTGTTTCACTCCAACTACACAAACACACAAAATCTCACAAAGCTGTATGTGGAATTTTGTGTGTGTAAAGTGTGAAAGTTGGTTTTTTGGACTTTTTGTGGCTGTGTGAGGTTCCTGCTTGTTGCAGGGGCCATTTTGGGTCTAGCACAGCTGCTTTTACATTGTGGGTGAGCCAGTTGTGTTGTGTTGTGTGTGTTTAGAGTGTGAAAGTTTTTTGGGGGGGCTTTTTGTGGCTGTGTGAGGTTCCTGCTTGTTACAGGGGCCATTTTGGGTCTAGCACAGCTGCTTTTACATTGTAGGTGAGGCGGTTGATGTTTTTTAATTTTTATTTGGTGTGCATTGGAAGAGGGGCAGTCTTATATGGCGAGTATAGTCCAAACCCCACATTTTAACAGGAAAAGTTGGGGGTCGTCTTATACGCCCAGTCGTCTTATACGCCGGAAAATACGGTACTGCATTTTGAAGCATCCCCAACTCCCATACCACCTCTCCCATCCCCTGATAATCCTTACACTGCTATTAGTATAGTTTTTAAACATGTTTATAATATTAGAAGCCCAGCTACAATTGATAAGGGAGCGGAAAGTAACGAGATATTGAGAGTTCAGACCCTGGACTTTAAAGAAGGTATATACTAGAGTTGTCAATTTCCATTTTTGTTTAGTATCATTTACCCCTTTTATTTACCATTAAAGGGCTCATATTTAGAATACAGAAATACTGTCTTTCTCAAGAAATCAATGGACAAAAATGCTTATAATACAATAACCATTACAAGAATGAGGGTGGCAGAGTCATATGAAGAAACAAATGTGAAAAATCAGAGTAAGGAACATAAATATAGGAGATGTTCAAATTATGAAGCGTTTCTTCTATTGGCACTGTATCAGAGTGAATAATGTCAACTTTAAAAATGCAAAGCGATTATCTTCATTTATTTATGGGGGAAAATACCAATGGCTGAAAGTTTCAACTTTTTAGATTTCATGTCCAGGTATTTTGGTGCTTTTTGGGGGTGGGAGAGGATGTAATTTAACCTTTTTTAGATGAGCGATCACTATAATAAAGCCTGAGCAGAATCTTCCCAAAGAAAACTGTTTAATTTAATGAACAAAATGAGAGCTGAGAGTACAGATGAAAGCAGCTGCATGGTTAATTCAGTATTCTTTCACATTCAGAGGACATTTAATATTTTACCTAACTTCATTTAATTTGCATAGGCTTTTCTTTAAAAGCAATGTTAACTTACTTCGGTACATTTTACAAGTTTTCCATCCACTTCAAAACATTCTTCTTGAACTATTTTTTCACTCCGTACTCCTTCCATAGATTTCCCATCTATCGGGCTTTTAATTCTATGATGCAAGGTTTAAATTATATTATTAGGACTAATCAGGCTGTTCTGATATCCTCAGAACATCAGAAGTTAACTCCAAAAGAACTTACTCCAAGCGTGTCTGCCCAGCTAAAGCAAACAGGGACCTTTGGACAGCACATATAAGTTGCTGGAGATGAATTACCACTTTAAGTGGTTTTACCACTTAGGTAAAACTGCCTAAGTCTTAGGCCCTAAGACAATATTTCATACAGGACAAGAAAAGTTAATAGTAAACCACTGCTATATTTTACCAAGGAAACCACATGGATAGATAATATACAGGTCATCCTTGGTTATTGATAGCCCTATTTAGCAATTGCTTGAAGTTAGTGCAGACTGAAAAAGTAACTTTACGACTGTTCCTTGAACTTAGAACTGTTACTTTCCCTGCAGCCATGTACAGGTAGTCCTCAAATTACAACAGTTCGTTTGGCTCTTCAAAGTTACAACGGCACTGAAAAATGTGACTTATGACCATTTTTCAGTTATGACCTTTGCAGCATCATCATGATCGTGTGATCAAAATTTGGATGCTTGCCATATTTATGATCGTTGCAAATGATCACCTTTTACGACCTTCTGACAAAGTCAATGGGGAAGCCACATTCACTAAACAACTGGGTTACTAACTTATCAACTGCAGTGACTCACTTAACAACTATGGTGAGAAAGATCGTAAAATGAGGCAAAACTTACTTAAAAATGTTTCACTTAACAGAAATTTTGGGCTCAATTGTGGTCATAAGTCAAAGACTACCTGTAATTGTTATTTGTGTGCTACGTAATCGCCACATATTTACAACAATCATCATTGACCCACAGTTATGTAATTGCTATTTGTGTGCTGCCCAGCAACAAACAAACAAAATCAATGGAGAAGCTGGAAGTTAAAATTGCAAGTTATGATCACGTAATATTCTCATTAAATGATTGTGGGTGATTTGCTTAATAACTGCAACAGAACTGATATCGTATGTCCAGCACGGCCATGTGATGTGTTACTTAACACATTTTTGCACTATTAATAAGTGTTTCGGCCAATTTCCAAGTATTAGGCATTTTACAAAGAACGTTGGCATTTTGCAGAAAAATCTTAACACATATGATACTTCTGCTTAGTAGAATACACAATAAATACCTCATGTTTGTTTTCTCATCATTTTCTATCCAACAAATGTCTACATATTCTCTGAAATCTCCTGAATCCACTTTCCCACATGTAATTCGAAAGTCTTTTTTTTCACTCAGAGCTTGACGCAAGCCCTCCATAGTTTCTGGAGTGATCTGTACCATTATTCCATCTATGAAGAAACACAACCCTTTTAATAAACATATAACCCAAGTTATGGATTTTTTAAAACTGAAACTGCATTCCTATTGTTGAGATTTACCAGCTGAGAGACCACAAGATTTGGCAAAACTATCACAATGAGGCAGACGTCATTTTGACTAATGCCACTAGCAAAGATTATCAATAAAACATATAAAATGCAGGATAACTTTTGGCAAAAGAATATTTTTATCTCATAGTTTAAAGCTTTTAATTCATAGTTAATAGCATTTCAATCATGAAATAATAGATTTATATGGTTTAATGTCAGTCACAACTGAACAGATAACATCATCAAATTATATGATCATCATGGGGCTCTCTCTCTCTCTCTCTCTCTCTCTCACACACACACACACATACAAAATGTATTTTCTGACCTGCAGTCAGACTGTTTTGTTAAAATTTCATCCAGCACTGCCACTTTACACATATAAAAAGTTCAATTCTGCTTCATTACATTAAATAATGTAATTTATTGCATTTGAACCAATCTTTTGATTCTGGTAAACATGATAATCCATACCTTCAACAATACTGGATTTAGCAAGGAATCCAGAAGATGTTTTTAGTGCTCCATTAAACACTACAAAACTTGCACCTGTAACTGAATAAACAGCTTAGATTTAATTGTTCATCCTAGGTATAATATTTCACATAGAAAGCTACATATGAAATTCTTTCGACTCCTTTAATTCTTGACAAGTGCATCACACTTTGATTATTTCTCCTCAGATTATGCCTATGTAATTCAGAGTAAGTAACAAATGCCACTAAGTTAACTTTTCTGAACATGGCCAAAGCTGAGACAGACAGGAAATGATTTGCATGCAAAAAAGTCTACAAACCATAACATTCAGCAGCTATTCTTAATCTATTGCAAATTCAGAAAAGAAATGTTGACCCCAAATGACTCCTTATACAACATCTAATACCATCAGCATTAAGTAAAGTTTTGATGCTGAAGCTTCAAAGCTAATAAATACAATTTAAGACCAAGAAAACTTTTTCAATGATATTCTACATGTATATTTAGTATAAGGATACTTATACTATAAGTATAATTATACTTATAATAAGTATAATTATAATAAGATAATAACTTTTATAATATATTTGGTATAGATATTTCTTTTCTTCAATTTTTTTTTTAAAAATGAGTCGTACATCAGAAATTAGAAAACAGGAGTTATATATTGTACAGCAATATTGTACAGCATGATACTTACTTTTCCTAGGATGTCCAGTGGCACTGTTCGCTTGTGTTTGATATATTCCATCCTCGTTTTGTACACAAACTAAGTGGGAATCAGCTTGAGAATTAAAACCTGCTCCAATGCTAATGACATGTTCGTTAGAAGTGTTTATTACTTTCATTACCTAGAAGACCAATATATTATATTATATTATATTATATTATATTATATTATATTATATTATATTATATTATAATTATATATTATTATTATATTATCATAATATATTGCTATACTATGCTATACTATGCTGTACTATATTAGTTGCAATGTCATGAATATTGTTACTTTTCCTGATTGAACATGCACAAGATTAAACTCAAAATATTGATACGGTAATATTCACTTACATGTAACCATTTCAATCAAATAAGCCTTTTCCTCACTTATCCAGTGGCCTCTTTTTTAGCACACCAGAATTCCCCCAAAAAACTAATGCTGCTACTTCTCTCTTGTACAATATTGATTAGTGCCTACACTGCAAATCTCTTTTCTCCAGACTTGCTGTGAGTGTATAGAAGCAATATTTGGTTTCCTAATATTTGGGAAAATATTATTAATAGAACAAAAATAACATAGGCTAGATTTTTCTCCAGTACTATGAAGCCTTCTTTACATTTTCACTTAAATAAAATGTATATTATCAAATACAAAGTTTACAATATTTTTGAAAGCAGAATAGTTATTTGGCTAATAATTTACTACATTTTATTTTATCCATTCTCAAAGGAGTCAGGACAACAATTCATCGTTCTCATCTATCCAAACACCCTGAAAAAAATCATCTAGTGAGAATATGAGCCTATATTCTGTCTATTCAGAAAAAGCATGAAATGTTAAAAGGAAAACAAAGCTTTTACAGAAATCTCTGGTATGTCTCCACTGGACCACAAACTTGCTTCAAGTTCAAATCCTAGAATAAATGTTTATAAGTATTGCAACAGGGGTTTTGCCATTTAGAAATTTAATGTTTCGCTGCAAGAGAACAACCCACTTCAAATTCTATATATTCATGAAGCTGCTGATTCTTACATCTCTTACCAAATCGTTAATAGAAATTATACTTACCTCATTATATTTCCTCAGAGGTATTTTAATGTAACTTCTACCCATTTCCATATGAATAAATAAATTATCTATTGTATGTAAGGTATATTGATAGTTTCTAAGGTCCTGCAATGCAATAAAAATAGATTAATCTAGTTCTCTAATTTTGAACCATGTGAGTAATTCATTACTACTGTTCATAATATAAAAAATACTATTAATTTTTATATTATGAACAGTGCTAATGAATTATCTGCAAAATAAGCTTAATTGTAATAAACTGGGTAGTTTCATAGCAATGAACCACACAATTCTAAGATTATCTTTGTTAACTCCATTTAATTTTTTTCCTTTCATGCATTTACTGATAGTTTCTATAATTGTATTTCACTGATATTTAAGCAGTATTAGAATGTTTGTAATAGCAAGCTTCATCTATTTTCTTACATTGCTCTTTTGGTATAGAAGATACTAACGAAATACAAGCAATAGCATATACTTACAACAAGTAAATCCATGACTGTATGGCCTATTTTTCCAAACAGTGGCTTTCTATGTCTGATACTTGTCATTGGAGTTGGATATACTAAGAAATAAAAAAACAAGAAATGCCTAGAGTTTACTGATTCTCTTTGAAAGTTTAAAAAAGTTTAAAGACTCAGTATTTGCATTTAAAATGGACTAAATTGGATGGATGAAAAGTATAGTATTTTAAACACAAGCCTTAAATGCATCATAGCAAATAAAGTCCTTTAGGAAAAAATGCTTAATGGAAATATTCTTTTTCAATAATACAGTGAGGATAATGGCAGAAAGTGACACAATAATGCCCAAACCCTTTAATGTTCTTTTGTAATGGGAAAGCCTGAGTAACATAAAATTTAAACTGTGGATCTATATAAATAGTATGACATATTATTTTCAGTCTCTGGTCTAGTAGTAAGAAAGAAATGATTGTACCGCCATAACCAAAATGACCAATGAAACAGATAAGTCTTTCAGACTAAGAGAAAGTATAAACTTCAGATCAACCCACACAATTTATCTTTCTATGAATATTCAATAGATTCAATATTGAATTCAATAAATAAATTCAATAGTTTCAATATTTAAAATTTAAATAAACTTACCCCCATATTCAGCTCCTAATCTCAACATCAGGCGAATAGGAAAAACTTTTGCCCAAGGTACTTCCTGTTTATGAATAAGAATGCCACATAAAAAGGGATTTGAAGGTAGCATGAGATCATCTAACTTCTGAAAAGTGGGTGTAACGAACAGAAATCCACCATGCTCTTTGCTTCCAAAAAAGTCTTCAGTGAATGTAATATTTTCCAAATTTCCAATAAATTTTCCTGAGAACAAAAGAACACATGAAATCAAAGGTATAACAAAAAGAGATGGAACTGAACCAAATTTCTGATGCAAAAAAGAAATAAACAGATGGCTCTTTGAAGGACATTTTTTAATCTAATAAAGGAGAATATCTGTAACCCGGGGTTTTAATGAGGGGTCCTTAGTGCTCTCTGAGATTGGCTGTTTTCTTGAAGACATTTCATTACCCCAAATTTTAGTTTATCTATTTGATACTATGAAGAATCTGTTCCTGTTGTGCTATCAGCTGATTCAAGACAAGAGATACATATCTCGGGTGCTCTCAGGTATGACCTTTAGTACAGGTAGTACTCAACTTACAGTTCAAAGTTATAATACCGAAAAAAGTGACTTATGACCATTTTTCACACTTACAAGTATTGCAACATCCTCATGATCATGTGACCAAAATCTGGACACTTAGCAACTGACTCATATTTATGATGATTACAGTATCCCGGGATCATGTGATTCCATTTTGCGACCTTCTGACAAGCAAAGTCAATGGGGAAGCCAGATTCACTTAACAAACGTTACTAACTTAAGAACTTCAGTGATTTACTTAACAACTGTGGCAAAAAAAGTCATAAAATGGGGCAAAACTCACTTAACAACTGTCTCAGCAAAATTTCTTAGGAACAGAATTTTTGGGCTCAATTGTGATCATAAGTCAAGGACTACCTGTACATAGCAAGACAAGACAGACATTACATAAGGAGGAAGAGATTTTTTTCTCATCCCCTTAAATCCAAGCCTCAAAAAGCAGTTATTTAAGTTCAGTGTTACTCTGCACTAACAAGACTGCCAGACCCAAAATCTAACCATCACATTTTTACTAGTTGCAGTTTCAGGATAATCCCACTAGAATATCTTGCAATAGTTTAACCAAGTTGTGATCAGGGTGCGAGTTACTGTCATTTGGTATTGGATAACATGGAAGAGGGTCCTCAGTCATGTGGGAACTATACTAGAATATTCATGGATTTGAGTGCTTTCCCCCATTATCGTTGACTGTGACTCAGGTAGGATAGAACCATAGCATGGCACCCAAACTGTCATCTGTTGCAAGTAACAAAATAACAAGAGTTGGAAGGGACCTTGGAGGGCTTCTACTCCAACCCTCTGTTCAAGTAGGAAACCCTATATCATTTCAGACAAATGGTTGTCCAATCTCTTCTTAAAAATCTCCAGTGTTGGAGCACCTACAACTTCTGGAGGCAAGTCATTGCACTGATGAATTGTCAGAAAATCTCTTGTCAGTTCTCTCCTTGATTAGTTTCCATCGATTGCTTCTTGTCCCGCCTTCAGGTGCTTTGGAGAATAGGTTGACCCCTTCTTCTTTGTGGTAGCCCCTTAGTAGCCCAGACAAATACCAGCACTGAGGCCAGAGGTCTAAAAGGACATACTTATCCAATGTAGGTCCCAGAAAGGCCATCCACCATAGTGATCAATGCCAGTTTTGTCCATAACTGGGCTTAACCATGACTGGAAAGATCAAAATAATCTGTTTCCTTTAAGATTCTCTGTAGTTGATTTACTACCAACTTTTCAACAATCTTCCCTAAAAAGGAGTTAGCATGTGTGATTAAGAATTTATTTCTGTTTTACAAATAACTTTAATATTTTTTGCAATTACTGGTAAATCTAGTGAATTATTCTTAACTATTTTGGGTGAAAAAATCACATTTAAGTGGAGTAGAAGTTTTTTCTGCATAGTTAAGTTCAGATATAAAAGCTGTTAATTACTAGAATATTGGCATAATTATCCTATCTTGAAAATGTTTCTACAAGTATAATTATCTTTAGGATGAAACCAGTATTTTTTGTCAGATGCGATCATTTTATAAAGTTATAAATTTTTAATATTGGTATATTTTAAAGTATATATTATTGCTGGAACTTGAGAATTCCCATTTTAATGGTTGACTTTGGATTGGATTTTCTCTTGATGTCCACAGTTCTCAATGTTCTCATTATCATTATGTTGTTTTGGGTCCAGAGGAGCTGCCTTCTTTTCCTCAGTACAGTTTAATACTTCCCTAACTCAACTGACATTTGGAAGACTATCCAAAATAGTGTTAAATAATATCACAGGAATCACAGTGAATGAGTACAAATTATCTATGGGCAGAAGGGGTGGGATTATGCCTAGCTTTTGAGGACCAGACCATAAATTTTTGGCCCAGTCAATTTTGGGAATTTACTGTAGTTCCCCCTGACCTGGCCAATACCTACATAGAAGAAAAGCAGATGAGTTATGGATCAGCAACATTTCTAGGTTCAACAATTTAGAAAGACGATAAATTTGATTAATGCATCATGCATAGCCTAATACCTCAGAATACTAGTATACACTGGTGATCAATGTCAGGCAAATCTACTCATTAAATAGAAAATCTAAAATGTTACTTCTCTCTTTCTTCTAATATCCAACACATACTCAATAAGATTTGCTTATGGGGTAAGAGGTGGGAGTTATGCTTAAATATGGAAACTCCTATAAATAAGGAGGGATAAAGTGACTAAAGTCATTTCTGAATATACAATTATATAAGAAAACTGATTTTCATAAAAGCAATAATCTAGCATCATCTACAATTTTCAATTTATTTTAAAAAAATATAATTAAAAAGTGCTAAGTCAGCATCCCTTCCCATAAATTTGCTATGAAAAACCTCTCTCTGTGCATATAATATTAAGAGAAACAGACCAAATTAAACACAGATTTAAAATTGTCAAGCATTCATTCTAATACATACTGTATTAGAAGTCTAGCTAAACTTCATACCTTTCATGGCATCTTTATATATGTTGATAAATAAATTGAATATTTCTTTAGGCATATCACTTTCATCTGATAAACAATGTAATAGTATGATAATTTCAGCTTGCCCCAAGCCATGCATTCCATTGGTGGAGAAATACCAGCATTTTTCTGAATTATCTAAATGACAAAAAAAAAAAAGAAAAGAGCATTGAGTTTTTTTTATGTTGTTAAAATATAGGTAGTCCTCGACTTACCACAGTTCATTTAGTGAGTGTTCAAAGTTACAATGGTACTGAAAAAAGTGACATGATAATTTTTTACACTTATGACTATTGCAGCATCTCCATGGTCACATGATTTACCGTATTTTTCGGACTATAAGACACACCAGAGTATAAGATGCACCTTAGTTTTTGGGGAGGAAAATAAGAAAAAAGCTGATTGGGGGTGGATCAGCATCCCGTAATTCCCCCAATCAGCTTTTCCTAGAGGTGAACTTTAGCAACAGATTCGTTGGTTGTGAGCTCTGAGCCTTGCTTTTTTTTCAGCCACTCAAACAGAAGTTTCAGAGGCTTTTTTCAACCTCTGTTTGAGAGGCTGGGCGAGGCTACATTTGGTGTATAAGACACACCCAAATTTTCACCCTCTTTTAGGGGGGAAAAAGGTGCGTCTTATGCTCCAAAATATATGGTACATTTGGATGCTTGACAACTGACTCACATTTGTCTGTCCCGGAGTCATGTGATCCACTTTTGCAATTTTCTAACAAGCAAAGTCAATGGGGAAAACAGATTTACTTAACAACTATGTTATTAATTTAACAACTGCAATGATTCACTTAACAAATGTGACAAGAAAAGTCGTAAAATGTGGCAAAACTCACTTAACAAATTTTTTACTTAGCAACATAAATTTTGGGCTCAATTGTGGTCATAAATTGAAGACTACCTGTACAAAAAAATTGAACTTTTATATCTTTTGCAATGTATCCATAGACCAATTCCAACCTAATACAAAAAGGTAATTTGGCACAGAACTGTTACTGTCTCAATGCATAAATTTATTTGTCTTGGAAAGAGCTCTGCCAGAACACATTATCACTGCCAGAAGTGAAATTGTAACAGTTCCAACCCTCTCTTGGTTTCAATGGCAGGGAAAGTAACTACTTAAGTCAACTTTGGTGTAATTTGACTCCTAGTACTTATTTGAAATTGAGAAGCTATAATCCAGTGGGTCCAAAGTCAACCTTTTCCATTTACATGTAAAGAATCTTAGTCAGGGATCATTCCCTAGCTAACATACTGAAAGAAACCTTCCAAATCTAGAAATACAATGAAGGAGTACATTGTAGCACCAATGTTGTTGTTAGTTGCAAAGTCGTGTCCGACCAATCACGACCCCATGGACAATGTTCCTCCAGGCTTCCTGTCCTCTACCATCCTCTGGAATCCATTTAAGCTCACGCCTCCAGTTTCAGTGACTCCATCCAGCCACCTCATTCTCTGTCATCCCCTTCTTTTGCCGTCAAACTTTTCCACCATTAGGCTCTTCTCCAGGGAGTCCTTCCTTCTCATTAAGTGGCCAAAGTATTTGAGTTTCATCTTCAGGATCTGGCCTTCTAAAGAACAGTCAAGGTTGATCTCCTCTACGACTGACCAGTTTGATCGCCTTGCAGTCCAAGGGACTCTCAGGGGTCTTCTCCAGCACCTAGTTCAAAGGCCTAAATTCTTTGGCGCTCAGCCTTTCTTATTGTCCAATTTTCACAGATATAAATTGCAACTGGGAAAACCATAGCCTTGACTATATGTACTTTTGTTGGCAGGGTGATGTCTCTGCTTTTTAGAATGCTGTCTAGATTTGCCATTGCTTTCCTCCCCAGGAGCAAGCGTCTTTTAATTTCTTGGCTGCAGTCCCCATCTGCAGTGATCTTGGAGCCCAGGAAAATAAAATCTGTCACTATCTCCATTTCTTCCCCATCTATTTGCCAGGAATTGAGAGGGCCGGATGCCATGATTTTAGTTTTCTTAATATTGAGTTTCAAGCCAACTTTTGCACTCTCCTTCACCCGCATCAAGAGGCTCTTTAATTCCTCTTCGCTTTCTGTCATTAGAGTGGTATAATCTGCATATCTGAGGTTGTCAATATGTCTCCTGGCAATCTTAATTCCAACTTTTGATTCCTCTAGCCCCGCCTTTCTCATGATGTGCTCTGCATATAAGTTAAATAGGCAGGGTGACAGTATACAGTCTTGCCGAACTCCTTTCCCAATTTTGAACCAATCAGAGGTTCCATGTCCAGTTCTCACTGTTGCTTCTTGACCCGCATATAGGTTTCTCAAGAGACAAATAAGATGGTCTGGTACTCCCTCTCTTTAAGAACTTGCCACAATTTGTTGTGATCCACACATTCAAAGGCTTTAGCATAGTCAATGAAGCAGAAATAGATGTTTTTCTGGAACTCCCTATCTTTCTCCATGATCCAGCGTATGTTGGCAACTTGATCTCTGGTTCCTCTGCCTCTTCAAAATCCTGCCTGTAGTTCTGGTAGTTCTCGATCCACATACTGCTGGAACCTAGCTTGTAGGATTTTAAGCATAACTTTACTAGCATGTGAAATGAGTGCAATGGTGCGATACTTTGAACATTTTTTGGCATTGCCTTTCTTTGGAATTAGAATGTAAACTGACCTTTTCCAATCTTGTGGCCACTGTTGAGTAGGGCCAATAGCTATTCTTTATCACATTGTGGTGAAGTTATTAAATTACGTAAACCTTATTATAAAGGTTAAACATATTATAATGAAATGAAACAAACTTTAGATTACCGCATCTAAAAATTTTATTTGGATTTGATATTACTTGATTTTTTTATACCACTATCTTTCCATTTAATTTAACCTAATAAAAAAATTGCAAAGGAGGGAATCCTGCACTAATACTCGATTTTATACAAAATATTAACCTCCTATTTTATATCAATTAAGGCAATTAATTATAAGATAGAAATAATTGGAAAATAATTTTAAAAAAATTAATTAGAACTGGCCAGTCAATGTTCATTGATCAGAGTTTACATTTGCAACTATAATTATAATATTTTACAAGGTTTTATAAGTTTAATATGCTAATACTTACAAGATCGTATCTGGACGTTCACTAGTAAGTTTGCATTTAGAATGAATGTCAATGGATTAGATTCTTCAAGCAATAAGGTAACTTGCTCATTAGAAGGATGTTCTTCTACTAAGGATTCTGAAGAAAATATGAAACAGTAAAAATACAGATAATTGCAATGTTGAATTTTGGAAAAAAATTCTTTAATAACACAAACTACATTGAGGCAACTGATGCTTGGGATGTAATCCAAATTAATAAAGTGTGAATGAACTAAAGCTAGATCAAATTAATGTTTTAATATTTTCTCTGTTCTGAACCTTTTAAAATATAGTTATGTAAATTCCTATTTGTGTTGGCAATGGTAAACATATACCATTGTCTCTTGAAGTTTACAATTTGTATGACCAGTGAACACATTTATTTTAACTTAGCTAAAATTAAATATATATGCAAAAAACTTCTATATGCAACAACCATAAGTATGATGGCCTAATTCATAAGATTCTATTAGGCTACACCAAGAATTGTGACCATGAATAAGGTTTTCTTTGACAATCTCAATGCATAAATTTATTTGTATTGGAAAGATATGAATCCTGAATCCAGTTCAGTCGCTCTTTAGCAACTAATGCAATAGTGTTCAATTAATTTATTTAGTTGCTTAGTTGCTACACTTAAACTAGCAATTACACTTTGAATTACTGCAGCTTCTAGACAATCTTTAAGATAGCTTCAAGTATACTGCAATAATATAACCATGAAATGGTAAGATATGGATAACTAGGAAATCCTCAACTTTTGAAGTCAAGCGTGTACCAATCATTGTGCATGTTAGAGATAGCTCTGGATTAGTCCCATCAAAAAAAGAACAGTCTTATGCAGAACATGCCCTATCCACAGCATTTCATTTTGCCAGTTTTGTATTTCAATTCATATACCCTAATCTAGTAGAAATGTATACTGATATCCAAATTTGTCTTTTTGTTTCATTATAACAACAACAACAAAAAAAATTTGCACAATAGCAGAATCACACTAATTAATTTTAGTTCAAACCCAATTTCTAAACTCAAATCCTTAGCCTAAGAATTGGCATATGTAAACCTTTCTGTATTTCATATTACATATTTACATTAAATGTATATTATTAGTATCACTACTTTGGGTTTCCTCAGAAAGTAGTATACTATAAAAGCAAAATAAATAATAATGGTGTATTTATATGATTTATTTTATAATGTTACACTTCTAAAGTGCAAAAAATTTGGAAGGGTAAGAAGCAATCCTACTTTTCATAACACCTTAAAAGCAAGACATTACCTTTACCTTTTTCTCCTCTTGCAAGCAGAAGAGGTGGAAATCCATCACCAGGAATAAGGCTGACCTCCTTACCAACATAGTTTTCAATATAACAAAGCATCCTATAATCTAATATACTAGTAGGGGTATCACTTGCTTGATCAGTTGCAGCAGGAAGAGGTTCCTTTGCTAGTTCAGAAACAGTAGGAACTTCAGTAACAGCTGCGGTCACAAAGTCAGAGTCACACAGCACTTCAGTTTGTGCAACGGGCAGACAGTCAGAATCACGTGATAAGTCAAGCTGCTCATTACTGGGCAATATGTCTTCCTGTGGAACAGAAGTGGAACCCCTTGCAATCCCAGTTTGTTCAGCTACATGCATTTCATCTTTTGACTTGGTATCAGTTGCAGAGACAGTTTCATTTGTTGGGCTTCCAACCTATGACAAAAGTTTTTCCATTAGATCTGACATGCACCTGAGCTCAAAATAGCAAAATTTGTAGCAATACTTTAACTTTGGGTTGAGAAAGCTTTTGCCAGGAAAACACATGAATAAAGATATTAATAAAACAAAATCAGGCACATTCTCAAACATACCCAAAAAAATTAAATGCAGTGAAGCAGAAACTATTACTTTATTGATTTATTTGATTTATATAACTGCCCATCTCACTTGTATGTGATTCTGGGCAGTCTGTAATAAAACAAAAATAAGTAATATAAAACATAAACAATAATACATAGAAGCTGGGCACAATCTAAACCGTTATGTATGCATTTAGCCCAAGAATGGTCACAGAATCAAGCACAAAGCCCAAATTTCAAAGGCCAACAGAGAGAGCATTGATCTAATCTCAGAGGCCATGATGTTCCATATCAGAAAAGATTCTCCTTTTGGGCCCTGCCAGCCAACATTACCTAGCCGACGATAGCCAGAGCATGCCCTTCTTGCCAGATCAGAGAATGGGTAGAAATAATTGTAGAAAGACAATAACACAGTACTAAGCCATGAAAGGATTTAAAGGTGACAACCAGCACCTTGAATTGCATCTGAAAGCATACCAGAAGTGAATGCAGCTCATGGATCACATATAGCAAATAACTGACACCAATAACTGTGTGCAATGCTGCATTTTGCATCAGCTGAAACTTCCGAATACTCAAGGGCAGTCCCATGTAAAATGCATTGCAGTGGTTCAATCTGGAAGTCACATGGGAATGAGTGACTTTAAGCAAGGCCCACCAATCTAGGAACTGCACAACTGACATAATGCCCTAAGCCAGTGTTGGCGAATCTTTTTGGCACCAAGTGCCAAAATGGGAGCATGCGCACGTGGGGGAGCACTGAAAACTGGAAGAGCAGTTCCCCGGCACACATGCGTGCTGGAAAGCTGAGCTTCCAGTTTCTAGCTTGCGCATGCACGCAGGTCACCTGATCTTCCAGTTTCTGGCACACAGGCGAAGACCAGCTGGCCGGCGTGCATATGCATGCCGGAAACAGGAAGCACAGCTTCCTGGTGCGCGCATCCGTGTCAGGGAACTACTCTTCTGGTTTCTGGCCCTCCTGTGGGCGCGAAGTCCAGCTGGCTGGCGCGCATGTGTGCACCAGAACCCAGAAAGAGCAACAAGCGACGGCTGGTATGCCCAGAGAGATGGCTCTGTATGCCACTTCCGGCACGCGTGCCATAGGTTCACCATCATGGCCCTAAGCTATGCAAAGGCACTCTAAGACAGAGCTGCCATCTGCTCTATTTTCTTATTAAAAAGACAAAACAGACTTTTTTGCATGACACATTTATCAACTAGCTAATTGTATTCAGAACCTAAAATGATAACTTCAGATAAAGTAGGCCTTACAGGTTCCTGTGGGAATCGCCTGGCTCCAGATGACAATTTTGTTGTGTCTGCAACTTCTCCATTAGGTAAAATTCCATCTGCAAACCAAACTCTTCTCTGGTCTTTAGGGAGTAATCCTGTAGGAGAAGAAACAAATGAGTACACCACAGATACTTGTTTAGCTAATACCAAAGTCACCTCCCTCTCTTCCCCATACAAAAATTCATTTAGAATCTACATGATGGTACTGAAATCTAATAAGTAGGTACAAACACAATGTGATGAATATCATGGTACCCCAAACACTGGATTTCTACAACTAATAATGTCAAGTAACTCCTGTATAATACTTTATATACAATTTGAAGATGGAGATGGATATGCAAATAGAAGAATTTCAAAGGAGCTAGAAGAGTTTACTTCTCAAGTCTAAATTATATAAGCTCCTTTTTCATTTTTCCCATCTCAGGTATGGAAGTGTTATTTTATAGATATTGAATAATTCCTTAAGGGAAGTTCCATTCTCCACTAACAAGTATTACAAGTTGTATGCTGAGCAAAAAATAATCGCCCTAAAAGAAATGAAAAAATTACATACCTAATAAACAATACAGTCTGCAAGTTTATTGTGCAACAATAAATATCTATCGTGTTTCTCCAAAAAGATGACCCACCTTGAAAAGAAGCCCTATCAAGTTTTTGAGCGCATGTGATCAAATTAAGGCCCACCTACAAAATTAGCCCTAATTAAGACCCTGCCCACCCTGGGGTGCAGGGGGTGGGGCGAGGCACACAGGTGAAAAATAAGTAGGGTGGGGATAGGGGGGTGGAGCTGCCCTACTTACCAGGCCTCGCACACCCCAACACCTGCCTCGCCTTCTTCTGCGGCCGCTTGCTGCTACTCACATGCATCACCCTGGCCTCCATTTCACCTTCAGATGCCTGCCAGCATCTGTTATCTGCAGCCGATAACAGAGCTCCGGATTGGTCTGGAGCTCTATTATCAGCTGCAGAGAGCTTTCCGGAAGGCATCTGCAGCCGATAATGGAGCTCTGGATTGATCAGGAGCTCTGTTATCGGCTGCAGGTGCTGTGATGACCCGGGGTGTGGCACAAAGGCAACACAGCCAGAGAATAAGGAGAAATCCCTTTATTAGCTCCAAACTTTGCCCCCAATGTCCCTTTACTCTCCGGTCTGGAGAAAAACTCTTCCACAAACCTGTAAGCAGACAAAACTTCCAACTATAAATCCAACAGGGCAAGATAAGGTAATTAATCTGGCAGGGCAAGCAAAATAAGAAGTCCAAACTTGAAGTAGCATGGCAGTAAATCAAGCCAGTTGAGAGTATGCCAGGAACTCAGGTAAAGCAGCGAACACGAACTCAGCGTTTATTCCCGACAACCGCCCCTCCCATTTGCCTCCCTTTTAAATTCCAGCTCCAGGTATATCTTGTGAAGGCGTCGGAGCCCTCTCTTCCCTTGTAAGCCATGCAATGCACATTGCTCTCTTCTCCGTTCTTCCCTGCGTGCCCTAGGATGAGGAAGGGGTGGGCCTTGGTCTTCATCAGAACCCCTTGTTCTACCTCTCCCCTGCTCTGCCCAGCCTGACTTTTCCCTTCCCAGTTTCCTCCACAGCCAACGGAGCCACTCTCTCGCTCGCTGTCAGCTGTTCCTCTTCTATCTCAGAATCAGACTCCGACAGGGGCATGACAGATGCCATCCGGCACGTATCTGAAGGTGAAATGGAGGCCGGGCGATGCATGCGAGTGGTGGCAAGCGGCTGCAGAAGAAGTGGGCCAGCAGCGGGCTCCTGCTGGGCAGGGCTGTTGGTGCCATCGCCACGAGATAAGTCAATAATAAGAACTCTCCAAAAAGAAGGCCTACCCATTTTTGGGGGGGTCAAAAGAAAATAAGACCAGGCTTGCTTTTTGGAGAAACACAGTAGGAATGCTTGGGCAGTAAATGAAGTGTACCTTGGGTGATTTCTTTAATTGATATGGATATCAATTGTGTGGTCTCTAGATGTTGAATTATAATTCTCATCATCGTTACCCATCTTTACTAGGCGGTGCAGTGCATCCAATTAAAATACAAATCTGGATGGCCACTCATGGCCCATTTCTGGTTTTTTTTCTTAACTAACCATTACTCTTTATTATTTATTTACATATAGTATATCTCATATTTCTAAACCACTCATGGGTGGTTGAAAGAGACTCTGGGTGGTGAAATAAGGCTAGATAATAACAGAATAAGAAGTACCAGATGTCTGGGTTTCATGCAGAGATGGAACAGCTGAAGATTCAGGCAATACAGAATTAGATGCTGGACCAGTTGGGATCATCATTTTTTCTAATGCCTGTGCTAATGAACAAAATTTAAGTTTAAGTGTCAAAACTATATACAAGAAATATTTCACAAATGTCTGCAGGAGGCAATATTCATATGCCTAATAGTAATCAAGGTGAGTTCAGGATATATTATGTACAATTTTGTTTTAACAAATCCTGCAATGTTTGAGATTTTAATATACAATTTTTAACATAATTTTCTTTTACAAAACATTCAATCTAAGTTTTTAACAAAATAGATTCTTTAAGTCTTCTGTTCTTTCTTGGAAAGTTATTTAAGATAATAATGACATTCCATAGTCACTGACACTTCTCATCCATGACTTTTAAAAGGTCACATTTAAATTGCAGAATTAGTCGGGAGTATTCCTGCAACCTTATTTGAAGAAAACCGATCTTCTTTCGGTTATTCTTGGTCCTGTGACATCTAGCTGGACTGAACTATTATACTGAATTATACATGGGCCTTATTTTAAGAACAGTTGAAAAATGTTAACTGAATGTAGCTTCCACAGGGAATGGGGCAATATGAAATTTGACAACTAGATTAATCAAATTGATATTCTTGAAAGAGCACCTTTATCTCTAAGATCTTCATGCATCCTGAGATACTACTTATTTGGTCCATTTTTAATACTATTTAGGCTGATGGCCACAAGGCAAAAATCTCTTTGGCAATAAACACAGAGGCCCCACCATTCTACAACATAAAATGGTTTCAAACATCCATTTATTTACTGTTGCTTTCTCTTAAATATGTTTTTGAACTATTTTGTAGATGATATTTACAATATATGTAATTATATTGTAGTTATATGTAACTATTATGCAAGGTATATTTATCCTTCCATTTTCACACAGAAGAAAAACCCTGTGAGATAAGTCAGACTAAAAGAGAGTCACTGGCCCTAAAAAAAAGTGGTTGTAGCCATAATCAAATTATCTGGTGTCAGTTCAACACTGTAACCAATATACCACAATTGGTTTTGTTATTACATTTTGTACAAAAATGAAATTGGAAATAACTATTGTTTATTTTGAAGGAGACAAGGTTTTTTTACTGAATGTGAGCTGCTTTAGTATTTACTGGCTTAAAAAAACTTTTTAAAAGTTTTATTTTTTACATATTGCAAGTATATGTATATCAAAACAGTTTTGAGTTTTACCCTACTTTTTATTTTTTTAAATAAATAAAAGCATTTGTGGAAGGCACATATTTATAGGTTACTAAAAATGCTATAGCTATAGACAATTAGAAACAATTTCAATGAATATATTTCTGCAGTACGTGTCACACTGATAACTTGGGTGTGGGGACTCATTTGAATAGAACATGCACAAATCCCATTCACTGCTGCTATAAACATAAAAACTACGATTATATAGATGTAGTACAATCTTAATTATAGCTTATCACTGAAATGAAATACCGAAAAATATATTGATACATTTAAACTCTTTTTCTCCAGGAGGACAACAGCAACTGTAGAATGAGTAATCTGTTATTTCCTGGAAAAAATTCCTACAATATCCATTAGCCATTGCCAGTATAAGAATTAATAATGCATTAAGCATACCAAGCATGGATCACCCATACATACATCTCTATAGTATCATTCAATGTAATATCTGAGCGCTCCCTTTGATATATGGTAAGGTAAACCTTAGTTTGTGATACTCGATTCTAGTTGCTTATTAGTTTGTCTCAGGGGTGAAATTCTCCTGGTTCGGACCGGATCACCTGATCCGGTAGCGATGGAGGTGGATGGTTCGGAAAACCGGTAGCAAAAATCCCTGCCCACCACCCCCCATGCCCAGCTGAGCCGCACAATCATCAGAGGCTTTTTCTTTTAATTTTTAAAAACATTTTTTCTAGAACCTCTTTGGCCAAAAAAATGCTTTTAAAAGTAAAAAAAAAGCCTCTGATGATCGTGCGGCTCAGCTGGGATCATCAAAGGGATCGTCAGCTGATGATCCCAGCTGAGTTGCCTAATCAGCAGAGGCTTTTTTTCTTTTAAATGCCTCTGATGATCCAAGCTGAGTTGCCTGATTGGCAGAGGCTTTTAAAGAAAAAAAGCCTCTGCCGATCAGGCAACTCAGCTGGGATCGTCAGAGCCTTTTGAAAGCATTTTTTTACAACCTCTTCGCCAAAGAGGTTGTAGAAAAAATGGTTTTAAATGAAAAAAAAAATGGCCACGCCCACCCAGTCACATTACCCCCTCCCCACCAAGCCACACCCACAGAACCAGTAGTAACAAATTTTAGATTTCACCACTGGTTTGTTTCCTTTTTGTGTTTTATTGATATGGCATGCTTCCATGGTTGTTTGGATATACAACTAGAAAGGTTCATATATTCAAGTTTCTTACCTAAAATTGTCATCTGAATTGTTCTGTATGATTTATATTCTCTTTTTGTTCAGGGGGAAAAAGATGGGATACACAGTGGACTCTCCTCCCATTTTCCCACAACAAAAACCCATCTAGTAGATTATGCTAAAAGAGAGTGACTAGCCGTAAGTCAACAAATAAGCTTCTAAGGATGGAATAAAAAGCCCAAGGAGCCCAAGGAGCTGCTGATCCAGTTCTACAGAAGAATTATTGAGTCTGTCATCTGCACCTCTATAACTGTTTGGTTTGGTTTGGTTCTGCAACCCAACAAGACAGACACAGATTTCAGAGGATAATTAGAATTGCAGAAAAAACAATTACTACCAACCTGCCTTCCATTGAGGATCTGTATACTGCATGAGTCAAAAAGAGGGCTGTGAAAATATTTACAGACCCCTGGCATCCTGGACATAAACTGTTTCAACTCCTACCCTCAAAATGACGCTATAGAGCACTGCACACCAGAACAACAGACACAAGAACAGTTTTTCCCTGAACGCCATCACTCTGCTAAACAAATAATTTCTTCAACACTGTCAAACTAGTTACGAAGTTTGCATTACTATTAATCTTCTTATCGTTCCTACTACCCATCTCCTCCCACTTATGACTATATGACTGTAACCCTGTTGCTGGTATCCTTAAGATTTATATTGACTTTCTAATAGGATTTGATTGCTTATTTGTTCCCTATCACTATCATTAAGTGTTGTAGCTTATGATTCTTGATGAATGTATCTTTTCTTTATGTACACCGAGAGCGTATGCACCAAGACAAATTCCTTGTGTGTCCAATCAAACTTGGCCAATAAAGAATTCTATTCTAATAGCTGAGTCTTCCCAATGTGCCACTATACCACGCTATCCCTCATAGTTATCGTGCTTTGCACAAAAATGAGATAATTATCACTTATTCTGAAGAAGACCTCCAGTACTTTTGGGTCACCTATAGCCAGTTGCCGCAGCCGAGGCAGCGGCTGGGAGGCTTCTTTGCCATCTGCTTTCCAGCAGCAGCGGCTGGTTGGGGGCCGCTGAAAACTCCGGACTCTGGACCAGCCGCCATGGGAGGTAAGCAGCCTGAACAAAGAGGCGGTGGTGGGGGAGGAAGCAGGGCTAGGGCCGGGGCTGCTAAAGGAGGGGAAACGGGGGCGACTGGTGAAGGGAGGGTGGGGTAGATAGGTGGAAATTTCAAAAATTTTCCTACCTTTTCCTGTGGGCGTGGCTAGGGGGAGGGTCATGTGACTGAGTGGGCGTGGGCATGAGTGACATCAAATTGGCCATGCCCACTCAATCACATGCCATGTCCATCTAGCCATGCCCACCAAACCAGTAGCGAAACTTTTTGAAACCCACCTCTGGTACCAGCATAACTTAGAATAGTCTCTGAATGAATGATTATAAACCAAGGACTACCTATGACTCAATCACAACGTATATAATGCATATTGAGGACAATTCCTTTGCTTAACTTTATTGGAATATTATATATATTACTTTTCAGGTGCATATTCTAATTTCTAACTGCACTTTGTTTAAAACTTTTGTGTAAGTATGGAATTGATTAGTCTTACACAATAACTAAAAAGATAAGTAAGCATTGTCCAATCAAGTGAAATAATTCATATTCTAATAGTAATTATGAGCAACAAATTAATCATTATTCAAATAATTTTAAACGATGCTCCCTTTTCAAATAGAAGATATGGAAACAGCCACTAAAGGGTTTCATATTTATTTCATCTTAAATATTTCACATCATGATGTTCACATTGGGAATACTTGTTCCAACATTTAAAAATTACTCTAGTTACTTTTTTTGTTTCTTCTAATTTTCTACAACTACATTTTACCTTTGTTAATGGACTCATAGCAGCTTATACAGACTCTTGCTTCTTTATCCAGATATTGGAGTTTGCATTTTCGATTGCAACAGGGAGCACAAAAAATCTAGATTTAGCACAAAAAGTGCATTAAGATTTTATAAGTATATGGATGGATATATTTTGATGTAGACAAAGGTTAAGATCACATAATTAGAAAAATCAGAAACTAGAGGAATAAAGGCATCAGACAACTATAATTTAGTACCAGCAGAGACAAAACTCAAGACAGTTTCAATAAATTACTTTAGCATAAAATTACTTTAGCATAAAATTAAAAAAATCAGTAAATATGGGCTTTAGAAAAATCACAAAATTTATAAAAATTAGCAAAGTGTATGTTTTAGCCAACATCCAGAAACATTTTCAATAAATCAGACCAAAAAAGTTTACATGCTGATTAAACTTGATTTTAATGACATAAAGAAAAACTATTAGTAAAGGGAAATATTTTTTGCAGGTCAAAGGGAAAAAAAAAAAAGAAACCCATCCCTTTCCCTCAGCTATAAATGGAGAATGATAAAGATGATCAATCAAGAAAATATGGTTTTGTTTACTTACTTTTCCGCAGGCACGACAGTGGTGTCTTCTTTTTGTAAATGTGAATTTGGCTTGACAATTCATGCACTTTGATGCTTCTAAGTCAGGAAGCCAGGATGGCTGCTTCTGTCCCAAGGCTGTAGCTCGTCCCACTACTTTCCTTGGCTCTGAAACCATAGGTAAGACATTTTCTTTCATGATTCCCAAGCATCTTTGTCCATCAACATTATTATGGCTAGCATCCGATTCAGGAGACATTTTACCATCAGAGACAAAGGTATTTGAGTCTGTGGAATTTATCATTTGAGATTCGTTTCCAGGTGTATTTTTACTGCTAAACTCAGAAGGAATTGGGGCTTTTGGTTGAAGGTTTAGCAGCTGCTTTGGTCTTGCTCCTCCACTGTGCACTGTTGGCTGGCCATTTAATGAATCTGAAACTTCATTTCCAATCTCAATTGCGTTATCTACAGTCTCTTGTTGAACCTGCTGTGTGTGTTTTTTCACTAGGATCCCTAAGCTAGATTCTGGAATACTGATAAAATTATTTTCATTACAGGCTTTTGCTTTCTTAAATTCCAATTCTGCTTGTATGCTGTCTCTATTGATATTCAGATTGCTTATATCCAGTAAGTTGTCATTTATTACATCAGATTCCAAAAGTCCACTGCTAGTGTCTTCTTTCAGAGGCTTTGAATTATTTGCTTCAAGACAATGTTCAGACAAAAAGGCATCAAGCTCACTATCACTAATGAGCATGTTGCTTCCAATAATGTCTTCTTCTAAAACTAGATCAACAAAAGGTCTTTCATCAACATCAATAGGCCAAACACTGCTGCACATTTCGGTATCTTTAGCCAAAAAGGGACTGGTAGTCACAACAGAATCCTGCTGTTGGAAAGGCTTATAATTACTAGAAACAACACCTTCTCTACTTATTAAAGAAGTTTTCTCTATCTCACATTCATTGGTTTGGTTTAGACTGCTCTCCTTTTCTAAAGTTTCTGGTTTTCCAAAAGAATCACCTTCTCCAAAGCTATTTTCACTGTGCAGTGCTATGTCTCTAATGCCATCTTCTTTCTGAGTAATCTTTGCATTTGTGTCATCAGTATTAACTAATGATTTACATATAGAAACTGCAAGTGGAAGACAGGATAGTGAAGTCTGTATGTCTTCAGAGATCTCTGGTACTGAAACCGTATTTAAAGTTGTATCAATATATTGCTGTGCTTTACAAAACTTGTCAGTTGTGCTATGTTCTTTATTTGAAGCTAGCACATTTTCTGTCTGAAGAGCAGAATCACATAAAGGTTTTTTGTTATACATTACATTGGGATTATTCACTTCATGGATCTTTGGCAAATGCAATGCTTCTGATTCATTTATGTCTTCTGAAATGCCTTGTTTGTCACTCTCATCATGTATCATTTGACTTTTTGAACTATTTTCATCCACTGGTGTCTCACAAGGCAGCTTTTCACATGTTGATTCATCTTTGGATCCAAGAACAGATGAAAGATGAATTACTGAAGCTGATACTCCATCAGTTCCTATCACTTGTTCTTTCTGGTCAGGTATTTTATTATTTTTCAAACATTTTGTTTTTTCTTGATCTTCACTAGAGTCTGTTATATTTGGTTCAAAAGAAGTGTCTGTCTTTAATTCCAACTGATTAAGTTCTCCTGCTGCATTATTTTGTATTCTGTACAGTGTTTTATCAATCTGTTGCTGTGTACCAGAATTAGAAATGTGATCAGCAACCACTGAATTATTAGCTTTTGTTGACAGAAGTGCTAAATCAAAGCCATCAATTGAAAGACCGTACTGAGACTCATCTGGCTGAAACTTTTGAATGCATCCTAAATTATTTTTTATCTGCTTCAAGCCACCCGTGTCACTGATAAGATCGCAGACAGGTATAGTGCATCCCTTCAAGCAAGACGACTGATTTTTATCTGAAGAATCACCAGCCACCATGGACAGAAGATCTAAACCAGTAACATTTTTCTCATTCTGGTCAGAGTTCAATTGTTCAAAATTTGCTACTTTTGTAGTTTGAGAAGATAATGAGCATACATTTGATATAGCACAACTGGCATTTTCTTCCACATTTGGCTCAAAGGATTTTGGCTGCTGGTAAGATGAATCTGACAAAACTAAGTGTTGCTCAGAATTACAAAGATTTATAGTGCTGTTGTTTTCAAGTTCATCTAAAAAAAGAAGAAGCATATTATTAGGAATTTCACCATAAACTTACTACATACACTGTTCTCTCAATTACAAATGCTGTCTACATTCTCTCTAATTATATTTTCCCCATTACCTTATTTGTTCATTGTAGATTTAAATTTATTTGAAAAACACTACATATCACAACGAACTGACATACCATAAGAGTATATTTTTATCTATTTTTATAGTTGCTGCTCACATACATGCAGAAGTCACAAAGAATGAACCAACCTGGGTGCTGTTCAAATTCATCAAGTAATTTGTCCAAATCAGAGACAGCTGCTTTAAAATAACTGTCCATTCTAAGATTTGATCAGCAAACTCTTTTTTCCTGTTGCACCTGTAGAGAACAATGACATGAATTAAGGCAAAAATACATGTATTTAAATTAAATTTTAAAAAATAGATGATGCACATCATTAACTTAAATTTATTCTTAAACTCAATTCCTTATTCTTAAGAGTGACTTTTCATAAAAAGAAATGTGTTTATAGTTCTGAATTAAACTGCCTGGAAGGACACTTGGAAATCAAGAATAAAGCTTAGCTTTAGTAATCAAAAAAATATCACACCATGTTCTTAGAAACATCTGAGTTTACATACCATATTTTTTATACTATAAGACACACTTTTCTTCCCCCAAAAAGTGGATGGAAATATTACCTATCGTCGCCGCCTGTTGTTGCGGTTGCCACTGCTCGCCACCACCGTTTGCCACCGCTGCCTATCGGCGGTTGGATCAGCCTCCCGGAATACAGCCAATCAGCTATTCCAGGCGGCAGGGATTGGCGTCGCCATTTGCCGGCGAACGGCAGTGGCAATAGGCAATAACCACTCTATAAGATGCACTTTTTGGGTGGCAAGTGGTGGCGATAGCCGGGAAACGCTTGCAAAGGCTGTAGCGTTCCCCAGCGGAGGCAGCAGACACAGAGGAGGCAGCAATAGCGCCGTTTCTGGTAAGCCAGCCCGGTAATTGGCAGGGCTATGGGAGGCCAGGCTCCAGCTGTCACTCAGCTGACCAGTGGTGGGCACAATGAAGCAAAGCCCTGATGAGCCATGTGCTGGGGCTGGGAGGCAGAGGCAGATTTTTTGTTTTCTTATTTTCTCCTCCAAAAGCTAGGTAAGTCTTATGGTCCAGAGCGTCTTATAGTGCAAAAAAACATGGTAAATATATTGCCTTCTATTATAAGCAAAAGTAATGGTACTTATTCATACCATTTCCCCTCAAAACAGGGAGATAGCAAATACTAATCCTTTTCATTTCTAGCCTGTTGCTTTTCAAAAGGCAGGACTTCAGGAACTGCCACAGTGTTCTAAGCCTGGAATACTCTGGTCAATGTAATGTAATGACTAAGTTCAAATTCCTGCTAATCCTGCTGGCAAACCCATGAACTATACTTTATAATGTGCGAACCCTGGCAATTTTGCCTTATTCAATAAGACATGATTAAGTAACCTTTGTTTAGCATGACTGGGATCTCAGCCATTATGGGAGGCTGAGTTTTGGACTTGAAAATCTTCTAGATCTTAAACTATGAATTCAGTTTTTCTAAAGTAACTGTGATTTCTACATTAAAGAAAGTTATTTAAGATTTTAAATAAACTAGATATAACAGTGCCCCAAAATTGCACTTAATGACACTTCTGTCATCCAAATGTAATTCAGAATATGAAAGGAGAAAAAAATAAAACTGGTTATTTCACTGGCTATTCACTGCCCATTCTTATCAACACATTGTAGTGATAGTTCCTATCCTCCAATAATTATTCAAGTAAATTACTCATTTTGTATCATTTTATTAAGGAATTCTGATCCATTGAATTTATACTATTTCTGTTTAGTTATACCTGAAATTATACAATTTTATATTATTTGAGTCATCTTAAAAACTATATAGGCTTTAAATAACAGTCTTCCTCTTACAGATTACGGATCAACATGTAACAGGATAGATAGCAATTTTTATCATCTACTATATAAGCATACTCCAGAAAAGGATAGCAGTATACTCAAAATAATGCACATTGAAAACAACACCAATAGTTGCAACATTAGAGTAAAAAGACAGCAACAACTTAACTTTTCTTCAAACATATTGTTGATAAAGTTCTAAAGAGTTGAAAAATATTGCTATGTTGTCATGATCAAACAAGCCATTTTGAAAGCTTTATATTAAACAATATGATTAAATATATATAATCACATTAATCAGCTGACTAAAAGAGAGTAGAATGAGATTTCCTACTCCGGACAAGAAAATCATGGAAGAAACAGAATAGTCATTAATAATCATTAATAAAGAATATTAAAATCAGTGTTTAGATACAACCCTCTAAATGACAGAATACTACAGGGAGAAATGAAGCAATATCCAATATAACACAATTTTTCTACCTTGATGTATGAAATGAAGCAGAAAGGAGACTAATGGAAAAAGAAAATATAAAAAAGATTGTGCAAATAGACAGAAAAAAACATATTAAACAATCTTAAAAGTTGATGATACACAAAATTCTTTGACTACTGAACTAAAGCCAACCATTCTTGATAGTAAAGTTAAATAGATTCCGGAAATATTGCTAACAAGAAAGCTGAAGGATTCAATGATGAAATATGAGCTGAATTGTTAATTACATCATCTTGTAATATTTCAAAGTTGTATTTGGGATTTGTAAGCATTTTTGAAAAACATAGCAATAACCAGGGGACTGGAAAAGATACGTTTATATTTCAGTTTCAAAAATGGACAGTGCTAAAGAGTTTTGAAACTATGAACAATGCTAGAAGAATGCTAGTAGAAAGTGCGAGACTTTGAAGTCAAGTCCTCAACAAAACATGACAAAAGATAGACTTACAAGTGGATTCAGAAGAGGCAAGAAAATCCAAGATCACATTGCTAACATCAGCTAATAATGAAAAAGGCAAAGAAGTTCCAAACCAACAGGTTTTTTTGCTTTAATTATTATACCAAGGCTTTTGACTGTGCAAATCAAAACAAACTATCACTAGCCTTTAAAAACATAGGTGTCTATTAAAGAAATTGTGTGATGATCAGAAAGCAACAATTACAAAAAAAAAACATTGGAACAATTAAATTATTTAAGCCTAGAAAGTGGCATGTATTTAACTCCATTTGTTGACTGTATCATGAAAATTTCTTGACTACATAGACATTAAAACTGCTGCAAGAAACATCTGTTGGAAGAAATGTCCTTCTGGGTTCAGTTCCAAGTGGGGAGAAAGACACTGGAAACATGGCGGCTGCTTGGAAAGATGGTTTTAATGGTGGACAGGACGACATGGTTTGAGATCCTGGGAAAAAGGAGGATCACATGCCTTGAAGCTCCTGGGTGAAAAAGGGAAGAGATGCTGAGAGTCCTTGGGTTTTATGCCCTCTCTGGGCTTTGAACTTTCTAGGGCACAGGAAGAGTATCCTGATTGGTTGCTGTCAGAGGTCATAGCTAGCTTTATAGGCTGTCTGTATCCCTTGCTATCTGATGTAATCTTCCCAGGTGCCATGTGGTGAGTTCTGTTGCTAGATGGGTAGAGGGCTAATCCTACCTTTGTTATGTAGAATAGACTGGCTCAGTCCTTAATGGCCCATTGACAAAGATGTGGGGGGGGTGAGTTTCTGTCTCCCTTTTAGGGGAAATATTCTGCCCTTTTAATATTTCCTAAAATATTTCATTCTTCTAGGAGAGGGGTGGGTGCTAACTTCCTTCACATCAATAAACCAAGATATTTTAATGATAAGCTTTGATGAGCTACAGGAAAGGAAGGCAAGATATTTTTGTGTTGACAGAAGAAAAGATATGAAAACAACTCCCTCTCCCCAAGATTATGTCAGTGGGCTAGTAGTAACAGACTTTAACTCTCTAATCTCAAATTCAATACTAAATAAAGTCAAATCAAAAGCTCACTACCAGTAATTAAGAAGCAAGAATTATTGGAAAAGACACTGAAGCTGGCAAAACAGAAAGCAATCCAAACCAGGCCAGCAGTTATCAGCAGGATATTATGACTGCTGACAGAAGCAGGAATTTAGAACTTCAAAGAATATTTATTGACAGTCTTGGTGAAATGATGCCCATATGTCTTTTACTAAATTTATATCTAAGAGTATACCAAATAAAAATATGCTTCTAAAAAAGTAGTTTTAAGCAAGGAATTGTCTTATCTCATTTATCAAATGTTACACATTGCTATATACTGTTTGTAATCTGCCGTGTTCTCATGCTTTTCTTTCTCAAAAAACCCCCAATATTATAAAAAGATGAAATAATTACAAAACATATTCTGAGTGGTAATTATTGTAACTCCCTCTCCCCTCATCCCTATCTAAAACTAAATCATGCAAAGTTGCAGTAACATATTTTTTACAATGGATAAAATATTCCCAATCCTAGTAGTCCAAACAACCAAGTATTTGGACTTTTTTCTAGGCATAGTATTAGGGCTACCTTAAGCGCACCACAAAAGATTTGCGGAGCACATTATAAGCATTGCAATTTTTGTTGTTTTGACCCAGTATTTGTATGTTTATAAAAAATCTGCCTAGTGAAAAGTGCAGGATGTGTGCAATACAACCATCATTTCAGGCAGATATATGATCATGCTGGATTACAGTGCATCATCCACAATCAAGATAGCACAATAATGAGTTGAAACTGGGGGAAAGTGACCTATGTATTATACTTACTTTTTTACTTTGCAGGAAGAAAATGCTCCTGAATGTAAGAAGAGGTTATCCTGTTATTTTAACCTTGTGCCTGGTCACCCTTCACTATCATTGAGCCTTTGTGATACAGCCCCAGAGATCCCTGATCAGAGTCTATCACAATCCGCTATGGCCAACTCACCACGGCTAATTCACCACAGCCAGCTTGCCACGGCCAACGCACTGCAGGACAACTTGCCATGGCCATCTCCCTACAAGAGAACTCGCTAAGTAAGGGATAAGAGTTACACTAATATCAAAGAAATGGTGGAACGAATCATGAAAGACAGGGTGCAAAAGTGGGGATAGAATGAAATGTGAATGGCAAAAATTAAAATTATTTTTATTAAAAGTGAGGATAGAATGAAATGTGAATGGCAAAAATTAAAATTATTTTTATTTATTTTAAATAATTAAATCGAATTGTTAAATTGACCCGCGGCCAGTTTTCCCCGTGCTAAATTGGCCGCAGCAAGTTGGCTGTGGCAAGTTGTCCCATTCCCTCCACCGGTCTGGCTTTCAAGCAGATAGAGACAGAGGAAAATCCCTCAGAGTCAGTCAGTCCGGGCAAAGCTGGGACCGGGTTTATATATAGATAGACACGAAGTTAGAGTCCGAGACACTTGAGGAAGTAAAAGCGAAGGACGAGAAATACAAGGGAAAAAACCGGAGTGAGATTCGAGGGAAACGAGGCGGAGAAAAGGGTTTAGAAACGAGGTTAGGCAGGATCGGGACAGCCGGCCCGGGCTTTCCAGCCACATTTTTTGGTTCTGCAACCAACCAGCTTTTTCTCCTCACCGCGGCGGTTTCATTCTCGCCTCAGCTCGCGGCGGAAAAAAAAAAAAAAAAAACCCCCCCCCCGCGGGGGCCCGCGCGGGGTCTCCACCCTTTCCCCCCCCCCCGCCCACAAGCCCTCCTCGCAACACGTCAGAAAGAAAAGCGCTCAGCCTTCCCAGGGTCTCCCTCCCTCCCCCCTCCCAACCCCCAGAAGGTGGCTGAAGGGCACAAAGGGGGGCCGCGCGCGAGCCCCCTGGTAAGACTGACACCTCAGCCGGACACGCCCCCTCCTTACCTTCCGTCTGTGCGGAAGCCGAACCTATTCCGAGCAGCCTCAGATTTGGGCTAGTTCCGCGCATGAGTGCCGACTCGAAGTCATTCTCCGAGCCCCGAGCGCGAAAGCATCGGCAGCACTTTTTCTAGACTTCAGTCTTTCCTGAAAACCAGCTCTTTCTCCTTGCTGGCCTTCCCACGCAAGCGCGCAGGAAGGCGGCCAGGCCACCACCCACTTGAAGGAGACGTCTGCTACCAATCTCCGGGATGGACTCATCTGCGGCTGCGCAGTTGCTATGCGAGGTTCTTCATTCCGCCTGCCTCCGCCACCACCACCCCTCCCCTCCCCGTCCCTCCCTCCCTCCGGAGGGTGTGTTCGGGAGAGTCTCGGGTGTTAATTGCGGAAGGCGGGGCTCCCGTGAGGAGTTGCGTTTCGGAGGCTGGTTGCGGTGGTACAGATGATGGAGGAGCGGATGTGATTTGTCTTCCTTGCTCCCCGAACTTTTTTGGGAACCGGGTTTTAGACTGCAGGTAGAAGGAATTCTGGAGCTGATTTGCGAGCTTCGGTATTAGCAGTACTCCACGTAATTACACAATTTGTAATAATAAATGGGCTACATCGCGGCTTGGCAGGAGAAGAAAGACGTTCTAAAATGTGGTTAGTGCATCCAAAGTTCCTAAGCGGTTTTGTTGAGAAAAGTAAGGAATGCTTATAGACTGGAAATCTCAAAGGTGCTTTTTCAAAAAAGCAATTGGACTGTTTGTCCTTGAAGACGTTTCGCTTCTCATCCAAGAAGTTTCTTCAGAAGGGACTTCCTTTGGGACAACCATATGGAGACTGAAAATCTCCATAGACACATAAACTGGAAAGTGCCCGGAACCTTGGAGCATGAAGCAAATAGAAAAATGCCTTTGTCATTGTTCAAGGTATTTTACTAATTTACATAAAGTTGTGTCATAATATGTTTGCAAAACACTTAACACAAATAACTCAACTGCAAAGGAGTCCCCAGCTGACTGGGTTTGGCCATTAAGGCCAAGTGGGTAGGGCTACACAACACAACTATGAGTGAGAAAGGCTGAAGTCACATTCCTTATGCTGTATAGTTGTTAAAGTGGATTTTTCTCCCTCTGGGGTAAAAAGGTTGAGAAAGTATCATTTTGGGAAAAGATACAACTATTTTAAGAGTTGCATGTAGGTGCTATATTGCACTCCTGAATTCTCCAGAGCACCTTTCAGAGATCTAAATTAGAAATGCTTCACAGTCCCATTACATAGGTGAAGGTAAATATTCCCCTTGCACATATGTGCTAGCTGTTCCCGACTCTAGGGGGTGGTGCTCATCTCTGTTTCAAAGCCGAAGAGCCAGCATTGTCCTAAGATGTCTCCGTGGTCACGTGGCCGGCATGACGAAGCGCCAAAGGCGCACGGAATGCTATTACCTTCCCACCAAAGGTGGTCCCTATTTTTCTATTTGCATTTTTGATGTGCTTTTGAACTGCTAGGTCGGCAGAAGCTGGGACAAATAACGGGAGCTCACCCCATTATGCGGCACTAGGGATTTGAACCGCTGAACTGCTAGCCTTTTGATCAACAAGCTCAGCGTCTTAGCCATTGAGCCACTGCGTCCCTTGGAAATATGTCCCATTAAATATTTCAATCCATTTATCTGGTTAATAATGGTGCTAATGTAACTCCTTAACTGGATAAAGCTGATGCAAAGAAATATATTTTGAAAATAAACTTCGTGGAGTGCACAAGAAACTTATTACTATGTACATCATTTCTAATGTTTTTGATTAATATTGCCTTTTAAAATATGCAGATAATTATCAATCATATTAATTACACAAATCAAGCTGAAATTCTGTGGCTCAGATAAAAATATTTATAATACTGTAGTCAGTATTTCAGAAGTTCACTAATCGGAGACCTAAATAATGTTCACTTAGACTGACACACTAGTCTCAGTGAAGTCAGATCATTACCCTTCTAATATTGGGTTTGATCTGAATGTTATATCTAAAAGGAATTTTACAATTCAGAGGTCCCTTCAGTTACCATTGGATTGAAAGCTGAGGTATATTGTGCTACACTAAAGATACATTTTCAGGATTTTTTTTCACTGAAAGTTAAAATGTTAATTGCTATGGACCAGCATTTTATTCTGAAATAGTTTGAAGAAAGAGATGAGGTGAATACCTTCAGGGCTACAGGAAGTATCAAAAGATCTGCAGAAAATAGTCTCTCACAATTTATTTTTGGTCATGCTTGCAAAGGAAAATATTTTGTGAATGGACAAGCCCTAGAGTGACAATCTATAAGAATTCCTATAGTGCAATCTAACATTTTCAGATATGGCCACTGTTCCAAAAACATTCTAATACCTTATTTTTCAGATTTTGGAGGAAAATTATATAATGTTATATTTATAGTGTTCAAATTATAGAAAATATTTAAAAAGCATTACAATAGAGATTTAATCAAATTATTGTGACAACATACACATGCAACATAATTATTCAAAGGCAAGATTTTCAAATAAAAAAATGATAAAAAAGTTTGGGTTTACATATCTGTTTGAGGTGAATTGGCAGTAGCTTAGTATGTTATGTGAATCTTTATTATGGCTTGTAAACTGTGGACTAAAATATGTCTAAAGGTGAACCATGGCTTAATACGATATGTGAACGTAGTCACTTAAAAAAATACAGAACTGTTTTTCCATAAATTTGATATTCTTAGCAAAAGAAACTTTACATCATATTACCTAATCACTTATACCAGTACGTGCAGTATTTGCCTGAATGCACTTAAGAGTCAGTGTGAACCCAACATTAATTTATATTGTGCACACATGTATAAGGTAGTTACAATTATTCTTCAACTTTCTGATAAGGAGATCTGGTGAAGAAATGGTCACATGCAGTGTTTTTATACATATGTAGTTCTAATCCAGCATACCTACAGTTTAATATTTTCTACCAGTGTAGATCAATGTATAAAAGACCTCCCATTTTCTAAGACAACAGGTTTTGTATGATCATGAAATCATTCTTTCAAATATATACATACATAAGGCAATTGATTTTTTATGAAGTTCTGGTTGAATCCCATTATGTCCTCTTTTTGATCAATCTACATGAACAGAGAATGATACATGATACCAATTTTTTCTATCTATGCCCTATTAAAATGTGGTCCAGAAGAAATGGAAATCAATAAGCCAGACATTTATCCAAGGGAAAAACATTTCAGCAATCATTCAATGCTGCAGAGAATTAGTAAATGATTGGATCTTAATTCAAATCCTAAAATGTTCCTTCATATTTAAAAAGGAACCTGAGCTATAAAATATATCAAAAGATGAGAAACTGAAACCTTTAATTTCCATCACATACAAATATAGTCTTTGGTGTCTGAAATTGACAGGACTTGAAGTCTAACTGCATCTGGAAAGTGAAAGGTACCATTTTTATGCTACAAAATAGCAAGGAGAGACAATTTAAGAGGGAATGAATGAGCTTTGATTTAGGCAAAACTTCTTTGTAGTGCTCCACCAGTGAGGAAGAACACTGATAAAAGAAGCTAATTTAAAAAAAAGGTCTTAAAAAAGAGAAAATGTTCTCTGCTGAAAAGTAAATAGCGTGCAAAACACTGAACATACGAATAAAAAATGTTTTCTATCCTACAGAAACACTCTTGACAACGAACTAAATTAAAAGGCCATCTTAGAAAAGAAAAGGGAATTTAAAATGGAGAACATTTTCAGAAAACAGCAGCAGGAGAGTGATAGAATTGTGCAGAAGGGGAATTAGTAGGTTTTGCTAGCAAAGCATTCTGTGAGATCAGAAACTGGAGGAAGTCTTTAGAAAAATGTAATTAAGGCCTTCTCTTCACAGACAAAGACTGCTGAATACAATAAATTATATATTTACTTATTTTCAATACAGAAATTGTAAATTACTTAAATGGTAAAGTTTCCTGAATTAAGGTTGAATTATAGTTTACTGCAGATATTCCACAAATACATAAGCCCTTGCATATTTTTAGCTCTTCCTTCTGCTTTCCATCAATAAGCAGCTTTTGCATTTGTATTTATCTGTGTCTCTGATATGGAAATTATGAAGGAGTCTTTTAAAGGTGCTCCTTTAAAAGTTCCTTATATTCAATGGAGCACAGACTGAGTTTAAGAGTTCTAAATTATGAAACAAAATGTTAAGGAAGTCGTCATTTTTTACACACAGATCTACATTTTCCTAAAAAGCGATATATTATTTCATATTCACTGTCTCTTTGAAGTTGTGATGTTTATTTTCTTTAGATCCTGTAAAGAAGTTGGCATTCTGTTGTGGTTTGTATTGGGAATCGAAGAAAAGCCATCCTGACAACACGAACATTCAGGAAAAATCCATTCTTGGGGTTTTAATTCTTTTTTGTATTGACTGTTCTTAAAAGTAACCTTTTCCTCTGAAAATGTACTTTCTTTCCTTTGCTGCAAAGCATTTTCTTTATCTTCCAGTGTTCGAGCAAGCATATAACTAACCTTCCTTTGATGAGCCAACATCTCCTCCTTATCGTTCAGCTATAACAAAAAAGAAAATAAAAATAAATATTGCTGTCAAACTGTCTGTCTCTCTTCCGAGGCATATAATATTATTAATATAGACAATGAAACCATGTAAGAGATACCAACCAGGTCTGTTAGTGTCCTAATGATCTCCACTGGATTATCCAGTTCTTCTACTTTCTTACTCTCAGGGCCAGAAGCAAGCATGCCCATCAGCTTTGCTCCCAAGCTTTTTCTTTTTTCTTGAAACAAGGAAAGAAAAAAATATGGGGGTAGATATGGTATCACCAGGAAAAAAAATCTAGATTTTGAAAACTTTATATATTTATATGGCTGCCCATCTGACCAGTGTGACTCTAGGTGACTAAAAGCAATTAAAATACGTTTGTATGTGCATTGAACAAGGAAGAACTTATCTTGATGAAATCAAGACCTTCTTAACAATCACTTATATCATGGTTCTTAATCTTTTTGTGCCATGAACCCCTTTGAAAGTCTGGTGAAATCTATGGGCCCTTTCTTGACTACATTGCAATTAAAAACTAGAGAAAATAAAAGTATACTTTTTTCAAATCTAAGTTTGCAGACCTGAAATCTTATCACCAAGTTAAGAATCCCTGACTTAGATGAAGCTTTTGTAAGTCACTTAAATTATGTACACCATCTCTCCATCTCTAGATACTATATTCTTAAACATATCCCCAATCCTATTATCTGTGTAATAGGAAATTATGAGTCACTGGAGCAGGGTGCCATTTCATTTTTTTAATCATCCACAATCCAAAACAAAGACTTAAAAACTTCTACTGGGGCCTTATAGATGACATCAGTTGCCATATCTACTGCAGTGCTTAAGCAGAACTAGGCAAAAAGTTGTAGCAACTATCCAAGGCAAAAAAGGCTGCTATGGCTATACTAATGCTAGAGAACAACAGCTGTCATTCAAAATTCTGAGACATACCCTGATTTGGCCATGCTATGTGAATTAATTCGTTATATTTTGTGGTAAGTTATACTTATCCTATTCTATTTGAGATACTTCTACATCAAATCAGTCATTAAATAATTAGATGACATGTATATGTGAATCAAGAACATATCTACCTCTGTAGTCAGAGTGGAAACAGGAATCCATTCCTTTTACAGCCATTTAATAATATTTTTACATATCTGCAGAGAACCCATTCAATGGACTCCGACAGACTTTCCAAAATATGCTTTAACTGAACAGATAAGTGTGATCCAGCCCAACGTCTGAGTCAGTCAACTTTCCAAAATCATTTCACAACATGGGTTTTCTATCCAGTATCTATACTCAATGGTCTCCTAGGCAAGGAAAATTTTTAAACAAAGAGGCCTAGATATTAGTGCTCAAACTGAGATGGAATCTTTGGCTTAAAATAGATCCCTAGGTTGGTAAGCTAAGAAAAAAACTATTTTTTAACCTGAAAAATACCTATCACTCTGTCACAAATTTTAAGAGGGGCTTATTTTAGAGCAAGATTTGAGTTGTTGGACTCCATGGTCAAATATGGGCAGTTTTATCACTTTCCACATTATGAGAGAACCTGAATATGCAGTAACTTACCCACGTAAAATATTTATCATATTTTGTCAATTATATGCCCCCATAAGGCTTAAATACTTATCCTTGTTGGAAAGGACATCCCACTGGTATCAAAATCATAGACTGTCATATTTCCTTCTGGGCTCAAATGTACATTTAGTGGATATAAAAAGGTTATACACCCTGTTAAAATGCCAGATTTTGGGATTAAAAATCAGACCAAGGTTTTTCAGAATTTTTCAGAATGTTTTCCATCTTTAATATACAGGCTTTACAACCCAATTGAAAACCAAACTGAAATCTTTTAGAAAGAAAAATAACAAATAAGCATGGCATTTTAACAGGAGTGGGTAGACTTTTTATATCCATTGTATTGTGCGCAGAACTGCTAAATTTATAACTAAGGCAGTGGTCCTAAGAACCCAATGTATTAAACAAATCGGAGTACCCTGTAAGGGACATTCATTTATCTGATTACTTACTCCTTGTATTAACATACATGTATTTTATCATTCTATTTCCTCCTATTTTATTCCAGAATTAGATTATTTACTATATTTTATTTATTTTATTCTATTGATAAGGTCACAAGACTAATCAATCAATAAATTACTACTACATATGTCAATCAGCTCTATCTCTCTTGGGAGAACTATGTCTCCTTATTGCTACGTTCAGTAAGGTGAACACTAATACATATATATTTCTAGATGGCCTTGGTAAGATCTTTGTCCTAAAAAAAATGGAAATAAAATAGGTGATAGTTACATGAATCATTTGGATAATGAAGGGAATGATTTCAAACAAAAGTTTAAATGCTAAGCAATATGGTCAATAGCGATTATTTTCAGTATCACTGAAATATATATATATATTTATAATGGAAAGAATTACCATCTTCTTTGCTGCTTTTCCACTTCACTGTTTTAGTTTCTTTTCTGCAGATCTTACTCATTTGTGCAAGCCTGAAAGCCTGGTCCTTCCTCCGCATCAGCTGCTGTTCAAAAGCTATTCTGAAGGCATCTGCCATTATATAAGCTTCTTCTTTACTCTTCTTCAGAAGTTCAAACTGTTATTTTTTTTCAATTAAGATAAATTTTATATTTTATTTTTAAAAGATGAATGAAATCCACATATCTATGGTTATTGGAAAACAGTAAGATTATTGCTTCCTCAATTTAAGTAGCAATCCACATAGAATTTGAGTATACTTTGCCCCCAAATGACACTTCAAAAAAGCTGTTGATAGTACAGAGAAGACAAAGTCATTTTAACAAATCATTTTTATATTGTAATTGAATAGTGTAGTTACTAATCCTCCCATTTCCTGGGCAATGTATTTAGAAAAAAAACCTGACGAAAACAGAAACATTTGCTTGGCTACTCAACACTTAGTTACCTACTAAATTTAACCAGTGTCTATGCAGTGTCTATATTCAGTTCTATTCTCTGTTGATTCCCAATTAATTTTCTTAGTAAAGCTGGAGTTGATGAATATATATATTTCATTACATGACCAGACCATGTAAATCTGAAACATTTAACATGGTGGAATAAAGAGGTAGAAAAGCAAAGATCATTATTAGGAGAACAAGGATTTTGCTATATCTGTGGTACATCTCTCTAATGTCTTTATACTTCCAACAGACAGTGTCACTCAGCTCACCTTCTGAAAAGGATTAAAGCTAAGTAAGGAGTTCATTGCTGAGAGGGTAGATACATTTCCTACAAAACTAGTTGAACTGGCTTCTGGCAAAGAGACTGAGTGGATGAAAGTATCTTAGCATAATTTGTGGCTGTATTAACTGATACTAATTCTGTTGGGTAACTGGAAAAACAGAAGTTTGAACAGGAAGTACCCTTTAGTGCCTGAAAGAGGGCTAAAAAGTGGATGCACAAAAGGAGGAGAGATATTGGTAAGATGAATGGAAATCTGTTAATTGCCCTCCATCAGTCTCAATGTGTTACATTTTCACGGGTCATCCATCTAAAACATAGCCATTTGAAAAATATTTTAAATATATAAACCTGGCATTATTTATCTAACTATTCCACTTAAAGCTTGAAGTAGGTCAGTAAGCTTAAAAACAAAATAAAAACATACTGATGTATTAGCAGCCTAACTATTACATTTTGACAACAGGAACATTTGACATTTTTTCCACATGACATGTTAGGAAAAGAATGCTTCGAACCCAAGCTCTCATACCTCTTGCTTGAGTTGAAGAAGTTGCTTTCGAGTTGCTGCTGACATCTTGGCACAGACACAGGGTTCTCCTTCAGGGCCATTGCAAGCACAGGCTCCAAGAACTGCCAACTTCCAATTCAAATGAATGCCAGCAGTTATTTTAAAATCCAGCTCAAATTGACAAATACACACCACATATTTGGAGCTTAATAGGATATACAAATTCTGTATCATGACTTTGCATGGATTAATCAGTATGGTTACTCAAAAATACCCTAGTTCTGCATTCCTGGTTTTCCTCCTCAGCTTGGACATTAAGTTTTATTTAAATGGACTGACACCTTATGATCAGATTAGACTGCATTCAAAAGAGCTCTTTTATGCTTGGTAAGGTTTTCTGTTGCAGGAGAGACTTTCAGATTGGTTACTCCTTCCAAGCAACATCTTACTGAAATATAAGCAGTGGTGAAATTCAAAAATTTTCCCTACCGGTTCTGTGGCCGTGGACATGGCTTGGCGGTCATGTGACTGGGTGGGCGTGGCTTGGCGGTCATATGACCAGGAAAACCAACTATCACAGTTTACACAAAAATAACACAAAAGCTATACAACTGACACACACACAATGCAAAAGCAGCTGGACTTCACAAAAAATGGCCCCTGCAACAAGCAGGAACCTCACAGAGTCACAGAGAGCTCAAAAACAAACTATCACACTTTACACAAACTATCACACTTTACACAAAAATACTGGTTCGGGCAATAAGTAGTAAAAATGCTTTAAAAAGTAAAAAGTTCCTACCATGGTGCGGCACAGCTGATTGTCATAGCTGATTGTCAGAACCTTTTTAAAACTTTTTTTAGCATTTTTTTTACTACCTATTGCCCGGTTGGTAATAAAAAAATGCTTTAAAAAAGTAAAAAAAAGTGTCGCGCGATCTTCAGTATTATTATTCTTTTTTACTTTTTAAAGCATTTTTTTTACTACTGCTTCAGGCGAATCAGTAGCATTTTCACTACCGGTTCGGGTGAACCGCCCCGAACCAGTAGCATTTCACTCCTGAGTATAACATTGTTCAGTTCCACTTTTTCCCCACCAACTCTTCTTACAATTCAAAAGAGGAATTCAGTGATTTCTGTTATTGATTAACAATAGCTGGCTAATTATCTGGGTGACAATTCTTGATACATATGCTACAATATTATCTCAATTAATCAAAACTTCATCTTCCGCTACCAGCCACATGGGAGAAGATAAGAAGATCCCAATGCTCTTAGTGTACAAGCCTGCTTCTTCATAATGGATGAAAAGAGAACCACAGTTGCTAGCTTCTCCATTCATTATGTGCACTGAAATCTAATGTCAAAATAAATCTGGGTATTTCTTACTTTTAATATGAACCATAAGAATCAGCCATAAGATCTTGCCAAAAGAAATAAGATTATTTTAAAATACATACTTCTAGACTTGTAACCTCAGTAACACCACTTTTGCTAAGAGAGATATTGTCCTGAACAAACTTCTGCTGTTTTACATCCAGCATTGCCACCATCTCCAAATGCTGTTGCTCTAAAACTGAAAAAGTTTGGGGAAAAAATTATTTGTAGCTTACATGACTTATCTAAAAAAATCCAAAAATTAGAACTTTAATTTCTCTAGAGGCTGAATTTTCTGACTTGAAAATATTCTTACTTTGTAAACCTGGATGAAAATACACACGGAGGGAAATGTTTATTGTTTGTGTTATGACTGCACATCATAGAAAGAATATATAGAGATTGTTCTATTAAGCCTTTTTCCATAAAAGGAAGTATTATCAATGCACACTATGAAAGCCAGTAATGCATAAAAGTATAGCCTAAGACTAATGATTGGAGGAGTTCAAGTTCCTCGTCTTAGCCAGTTTGGTTTAGTGCTTAAGGTGCCAGGCTAGAAACCAGGAGACTGTGAGTTTTAGGCATAAAAGCTGGGCCAGTCATTTTTTCTCAGCCCAACTCAATCCACAGGGTGCATGTTGTGGAAGAAATAAGAAGAGGTAAGAGTATTAATATATTCACTGCCTTGAATTTTTATAAAAATAATAAAGGCAGGATATAAATAAATAAAACATGCAAAGCACCAGACATAATCTTTACATTCCAAGAATGTAGCTGGGCTCTGTATATATCCCAAAGATATTCTTAGACAATAAAAGGATATAGATCTGCAACTCAGTACTTTATTGGAAAGTATGTCTAGAAAGAAAATATGATGATCTGAGTCAATAGAAAGCATTTTGTGAAACTAGATGATGTGTCATGGGAACAAAACTATCTATTTCCCTTTTGATAAGTGGGGGATGTGTGTGTGGGGGTATTACTGGTCTTGTCACCATGACACTTCTTTTGTGGAAGTGTCCAAAACATGATACCAGAATTTCAAATTTGCTTACTGCCTCAAAAATGCTGTGATGCCCTGGATAGTAATTCTATCTAATTCTAATATTAGATAGCAGAGCTTACTTACGTTGATTTTCAGATTTCAGTAGTTTAATTTCCTCGGTTTTCATTTTAAGTGTTTCTTTAAAAGCAGCATTTTCACAATAAATTCTGTTGACATGGGAAATAACACATTTCAATCACACCTTTAATATGCTTTCTGCCTGGCTGATTAAAAGAATATACTTTAATTTACCTTTCATATTTCTCTGCCCAGGTGTCATCTATATTTTTTAATTTCTCCTGATTAATTTTGATTTCCCACTGGAGAACATTTATTTCCTATAAATATAAAAGATTTTTTTTTCATATTTTAAACATTACATTGTTAGTGAAACTGGATTCAGTTATCTAAGATATGTATTATTTAGGATATTATACTGTTTTTGCTCTGTAAGAAAAGAATATTAATTCACAATGGAAGATATAGGGAATGTTTTTACTACAGCCAATTGCCTGGCAGAACAAACAAACGGCAAAAGGATTTCACCATTTTTCTAATTATGTGCTCACTTTCTCCCATTATGATTCCTAAGGCAATCTCAATTTCTGTTTAAAATACTTAAACTTTTTGACAATTCCTTAATAACATTACATTATTCAATACAATAAGCTTAAAATTACTGAATCCAGACACTTTCTCTCATCTAAATCCATAATCTTTGCATCTGCCAACTGGAAAATGCTGTGATTCACAGAGATCAATACAACCTTATCTGCTGTTTTTTCTTCGGCTCACTAAAGTATAATTAAATTGTTGCCAAATCTGCTGCCAGTTCTTCAGTAACAAAAATCCTCCCATAGCCAACACACTATAAAAAAGAACTAAAATAAATAAATAAATAACATTCCTCTCTCTTTGTGCGTAATTCATGATGTATGCATTTATCTGGATCTATGCAAAAAGTTCAGAGCAGTTGCTATGAAAGAAGCTTCCAACCACAAAATTGATCTTCCTCTTGCATTTCAGAGCCTCTTGTGAGCTGTGATAGTAAAATGAAAGTATGCTACATATTTTACAACTCTCATTTTCTGTGGCATACTTCTGTGGAGGTTAGAATGGGGAAGTGAAGAAATGTGCGAAGGCAGGCACAACAAAAAACTGATGGGTGTCCAGAAGCCAAAGTTCCTGACAACAGAAAAACAGATCACCCACAAGATGAGATGAATTCTGCAAAGAAACCAGTAGTTTTCCTCCAGTTTTAAATAAACTACGCAGAGCCAGAAAAAAAAAATGTTTTCATTCTCAAGACCAGCTGAGCTTGTTTGATAAGTGCACAGCTGGTTCCAAAGTAGTGTAAAACACATGTAGATGTTACCTCAATAATTAAAGTTAATTATGACAAAAGGCAAAACTATTTAGTAAAAAAATATTTCATTTCTATTAAAAAAACTAATGGATCATCTGGATTACATTGTTGCGTAGCCAATTAACTACATGGACTAACAAACCAGATCCCTGATGTATGAACTTAAATTGCATCACCATGTACATTACCTGGAGAAAAAAGAACATGTTCAAGTTTAGAGAATTATCTACACTTATCTTTGGGCTCTTCCTCACAGCCACAATAATGTGCTTTCTTTCTGTCTTTGACTTAGGAGGAAACCCCATTGACCGTTATAAAGGGCAGCCCCACAGCCTATTTTTATTCACTTCAGCCTGATCAACATTGCTGATCTCACACTGTAACGCAAAATACTTTTTAGGCAGTTGCTATATTCATAGCCATCCTTTCTTTTATCTCTTATTCAGTTTCATCTACCACTAGGAAATCCAACTGCCAACTGCTGTCCTGAATATGTGGCAATGCAGCTTTGGTGTTCCAACTGTCATTTTTAATATGTAATATAATACAAAGAATTATAGACTTCAGACATCTTTAAAACTAGTAATCATTGCTTCTGGCTGATGTTAGACTTTATAATTATTGCTGGACAAATCTTATTTGGTTCAGACTCTTCTAGAGCCGCCCTGAGTTTTCAGAGAGGGGCGGCATATAAATTGAATTAATTAATTAAATTAAATTAAATTAAATAGATGATAAACAATATCCAATTATTACCTGAGAAATCATGGTCCCTGCAACCAGAGTCAGTTCAATACTTGTTATCTATGTGCCAACACAAGCTCAGTTTCTTCTGAGTTTGTTAGATTTCAGCTGGTCAACTTGCCAGGGATTCCTCCCAACATTCTGATTTTTTCATATAGTTGGATACACATAATTTCCCTTCTTACATTTGACAGTTCTACAGAATATCTTAATGCTAATATTTATCACTTGGACTTCTTTGATGAGAGCTATACTCCCATGTCCAAAGCCCCCAAAAGAAATATTAGTCTGCTCAAATAAGATGTTCAGTCTTTCTCACTACTATAGTCAAAAAAGTCATGGACATACAGAGTCCAGCAATATCTAGAGCAGAAGGCAGCCCAAGAAAATACCTCCCATAACTGGAGCTAAGCAGATTAGCTGATCCTGAATAAGTCTTCCTTCTCCATATACCTAGAATGTCTGCATTGGAAATCATGTATTGAAGTAATAGGGAAGACACTACTTTCATGCTAGAACACTCTAGAATGATTTCAGCCTGCTTTAAGAACAAACCAGCTATGAAACCAAAGCTATGCCAAAGTTAGCAGGGTTCAAACTGTGGTAAGATAGATATAATGATGAATCCTCTGCTTGTAATAGGTTAACCAAAGTATATAAAATACCGGTACAAAATTCTGGGCTGTAATATGTAAAAACACAACATGAAAAGTATATCAGAGCATTCAGTGCAGGTCAATGGCTATAGAACAATACCAGCACGCTAAAATAAATGGACTTAAGTATGCTTAACTTGCAATGGTTTGTAATTTAATGCTACCGTCCTATGCAATACCACATTTCTACTCTTTTTCTTTTTTTTAGGAACAGTATTAGATACAGTCTTACCTTTTCTAAGGCTCGCTTTTGTTGCTCTGATTTTATAAATACTGCTTTAGTATGAGTGGTAGCTTTGTCCAAAACAGCCTGAGAAATATATAAAACAAAAATTGGAAATATTCAATATCAGATTGTCTTAAATGTGCAATCAATGCATATAAGTTAAGACAATCAACAAAAAGCTGTTGCTCTACCATAAAACAATAATATATATTTAAAAAGTTAAAACATGTTATTGCAAGTGCAATATTACAGACTATATGAAGACAAGAATACACTTCTTGCTTTGAAAGAAAAAGTATTATCAGGAAAAAAGAACCCAGATTTTTTGGGGGGAGGGGGAGAGATGCGAGAGATTGTAAAAGTGCAAGGGTATCAAAAAATAAAAACTAAGGATAACACTGATTTGTTTTCTGGTAAATGTGTGCTTTGTGACAATCTATCCCTCTCTGTGACAGTCATTTATGACAGCAGCAAAGGTACAATCCAAAAATTCCAGATGTTTTCACTGTCCCCAAAAGGTTGCCCCAGCCTGCTCTACATCAGGGTTTTTCAAATTGTATTCTGCCAAAATCCTAGTTTTTGCAAGAACTTGATTAGGTTTGATAAAAGACTAAGACAAAAAAACAAAACAAAACCCAGGCTCCTACGGTGTTCATAGCATTTTTTCTAAGGTACAATGGAAAAGGCAGTGTTTGTAAACTGACATTCAGAACTACTGTCCTTCCTCCCAGGGATGACATTTTACTGTCCGAGGGACAGTTTTAAAACTTTAGGGCTCAAATTAGACACAGATGAATCAAGCATTAGGGAGACTCCACTCTTTTAATGAAAGGTGTATCAGTATGAGTAGATAATATACCGTATTTTTCGGAGTATAAGATACAACTTTTTCCCCCCTAAAAGGGGGTGAAAATTTAGGTGCGTCTTTTACACCGAATGTAGCCCCGCCCACCCAATGGCCCCCACCCTTTGGCCTCTGCCTCGCAGCAGTTACCTTCTTGCAAGCAAACAGCAAGAAAAAACAGCTCCTTTCAGCTTTAGCACAGCCTAATTAGCACAAGTTGATTAGATCGGCCTCTCAACTCTCAGCTGATTTGCTCTCAGCTGTTTTGCGCAGGGCTCTGCTGCTTGCTGCAAAAAGGTAAATTGCTGGAGCAGATTTTTTTTCCCTTGTGCTAATCAAGCTATGATGAAAATGAAAATGAAAGTAAAGCAGGCTGTTTGCTGTTTGTTGCAATGAGGCAAAATTGCTCAGAGGCAGAGGGAGATTTCTTTTTCTTCTTTTCCTCATCAAAAAAGGTAGGTGCGTGTTATACTCCGGTGCGTTTTATACTCCGAAAAATATGATATATATATATAACAGTTAGTTTATATAGTTTTGACATAATATATTAAAAATTATGTTACCATTTCTTCATATAAAGAAAATAAACTAATGTACTGTTAATATTACATATTAGTTACAAATACTAATCTAATTGTTATAACATTTTGAAGTTTTGTTCAATTTACCATGCTCTGCAGAATTTTTAAAGCTTGTTCTTTGCCTTCAAGTTGCCTTTGAGATGCTTCCAATTCCACTTTTAAAATTTCTACTTCCTAGAGAGAGAAAAAATAAGTTTGGTTAATAAAAAACTAGTTATAAAGTATGGAGTCCCTTACATTAGTGGAAATTAGTTTTAATTGTGGGATTTAACTTTTATTAATTAAATATTAACAATTTTATTAATTATTAATTAAAAGTTATATTACTGTAATCATTGCTACTCTCAGTAATATAAAAAAATACCTCCTGCTTATAATCACAAATACAACCATAAAAATCAAGAATCATAAAAGTCCCAAAAAACCAAATCACACATAACTACATTTTGTATGTGCTATTAACTCAAAATGGTTTCCTGTAGTCCTTCAAAATGGTCAGTTCCTGGATGCATCCATAAATCTAGTCCGAAACCATATCAAAAAATGATTTATCTATTACATTTTATTATACAAAAATATTCTTTGTAGGCCAACAATATTTGGAATACAGGATGTCTTCCATGTCATTAAAGGCTGAAATGAAGAAAAAAAACACCTGAATTCAGTCTGAAACTGAACAACCCCAGAGATAAGCTGGGATACTTGCATGCTGTAACTCCTTTTATAAAGCAGTTGTGGAGAGTTTCAATTATCAGAGGAAGTAGAAGGAAAATGAAAGGAATGTTTTTCTGTAAGGAAGATCCACCACCAGCTATTGTCAGCTTGAAACAAACTTTATGTTTCAAGACACTTATCACATAATACTGTATGTATGCTATTATCTATTATAACAATACATACAATAGCTGTACTTTAGAAAGCAGAAAACACCATAATCTCTCATGCCAGTAAAATCAAATATGAATTATTACCCGCATATACAATTTCTTTACATTTTAAAAATAATACCCACAATAGCTTTATTTAAATTCATATATTATAAAATCATGAGTCTTTTTAACTTGATAGCAACCATTATTTTCATTTTCTGCTTCTTACAGAACTCTATAGGCCATCTGTATTGTTTTTATTTTTTCCTTCTGAAAGAAGAAGAGGATATTTTTTATGTCTAAAGAAAGGAAACTACTGTATTAGAGGCATCTGAATATTTTAAATTAATTTAAATATTTAATGTAAAAATAGTTAAAATTAAATTATTAATTTATAAAACAACTATTTTTTTGCTTTCAGAATAAACCCCCAAAACTAAACACAATGCTCTGTCTGTGTGTGTGTGCGCGCACATGCGTTTGTATTGAAAATAGTGACATTCAAAAGTCTAATACAGTACTAAGTACCTACCTCTAAAATTTCTTGGAGACGTTGTTTTAATTCTTCATTTGATGCCTCAGAATTCAACTCTGAATTACAACAGAAAACAAACTATTTGTGCATCTTTATTAAATTGGACAACAATTAGTAATTGGGAGGAAAACATAATCCTGCTTAATTGTTTCAGATGGCAGGAAAAAAATTGAGTAAAAAGACATAATAAAATAATAATAGCCCTTTAAAGGGTAACAATACTTGCTTATCATGACTGATAAAATTTACTGGCAGCAATATTATCATTGTAATAAAAACTAAGATCAAACTTGAAGGGCATATGCATTTTAATGCTTGAGATCAATATTCCTAGATTTATTTTAATATTAAAATAATAGCATAATAGTCAGTTCTTTACCTTTGAACCTGAAAGAAATATTAAGATTTAAAAAGCAATGCTTGATATCAGTGCATTTCAAAATTACTGCCTGTAAAATTTGCATGACTACTTTTCATACAAAACCCTATTTATCATGCAGAAGCAAACAATATTTTTTCCAAAAATCTGGAAATACGGAGTACAGTACTAGGAAAATGTGAATTTCCAAATTATGGATCAGGCAAAACTATTTCCTTGACTAACACTGTAACAGTCCAGCCCAGGCCTATTAAACTCTATTCATGGTGTCATCCAAATCTATCTTTATAGATATACATAGGCAGCGTTAACTCCTGGGTGCTTAGAATTTACAAATTTGTCCATATTTATTGGAGTCTTGCATCTAACTGGTTGAGTCAGTAAAAAGAAACTGCCCACTTACATGCCAGCTCTTATCACTTTATTACATTTTTTTTATTACTACTTCCTCTCTTATGATCCATTGCCAGGAAGGATAACTTGGAGGAGGTCAAGCTGAAAACCTCTTACCTAAAATATACTTTCTCAGGGAAACTAAACTGTCAGCTCAACCATAAAACATTTAAAGGGCCAAGAAATGCTGATAAACTTGGAAAAGGCAAGTGAGCTCTGCAAAATAAAATAAAAAAATAACTCCCCAGAAAGAAACTGAGTTCATAGAATACTGCCTCATTGTTTTTCAAAACTTGTATTGTCTTTGTATTCCTGCACCATTACTTCTAATTACATCCTAATTGACTCACTGATGTCACTACTGTAGATGCATGTTGGGCTACATCCAATCAAATACTTTGCTGCTCCATGCAGTTACTTGTATATTCAAATTTGCATGAGTCTATAAAGAGGGGCTGTTACCCCTCCCCTCTTTAAGCCTCTCTATGCTTTTAACACTGTGTCCCAGCCAAATGTTCCCCTGAGAAAATCTCCTAGAGTTCTCTCTTTTAAAGGTACAAATTTAGTAGATTTCAAATTCATAGAAATAGTATTTAATTGTATTTTTAGCCAAAATAAGACTGCTTTGTGTACTCCCATGCACATATAAAATGATGTATACCCAAATATTTATAATTCACCTATCACAGCACCAATGTAAGCCAAAATGGTACTTTCATTTGAAGAACATACACCTAGGTCAAAATTATTTCTGACACTAATGTATTATTTATTTTGCTTTGAACATATGCATCTGGAAGAATTGTAATTAAACTTTCAGTCACCAGTTTTAATCAAGGTGATCTAACAAATGGAACTTCCACATTTAATGTCTGCATTTAGGATCAAAACATTTACCAATATTAATTCTGTAAAACTTTAGACTTTAATAACATTATTAAAAGACTTACCAGAACTGGCTTGTTGTTTGCAGGGAGCAAATCCATTCCTTTCAATTTTTTTGACTGGCACATCATTCAAACTGTTACATTTTGAGCAATGAAAAAATACTGCATCGTATTCTTCTCCATCACTTGGCAAACTCTTCCTTGCAGAACCGCTTCTAGACCTAACTGTATATTTGTTGAAGCCTTCTGATTCATAAATACCATTATGTTTTTTAAATCCATTTCCTAAATCTCCATATATCATGTCATCTTCACCTTCTAAGGCATCACACAGTTTGTTATGCATTAGGCTTGCTTCACACATTGGCAATACAAATAATTTCTTATTCCAGGCTTCCACACTTTCTTAAAATCTTCAGATAAAGGTATACTAAAAAAAGAAGTTCACAAAAATTTAGAATAGTGTTTAGATTTAAAATGCCTCCAATTTTTAATTCTAACATGTTTACAGATATATTAGTCAGTAGCTTTTTATATTCAGGTTTCCTAATTGATCCAAACCTTCAAATTTAAAAATTATTTAGCTATGTAAAACATTTTGTTTTTACTGCATATAAAACAAAAATGATTGCAAATTTAGATTACCAAAGCTTATCACTATAAAACTGGGCTTTGCTGACATACACACACCCAGGCGCTTTGTTTACTTAAATCAGAGAAAAAACAAAGCATTGGTTTTGTTAACCAATTGTAGAAGGGGCACCAAGTTATATGTATCTAATTATGCTACAAATCATCCAGTTCTACATTTAAGTGCTTATTTTTTCTACAAAAGAAAATTTGATCATTGAAGTACTGTCAATAGTATGACCTAAATTACAAACTAGAAACACCCAATGCTTTTCAATACTTTTTTTCTGATAATTTTTTAAGTCAATCAACACCATCTCTTTCCCTTTCCCTTTAATTCAGTAAAACTATCCTTTTTCTACAAGTAATCACTACAGGAACCTAAACCATTATTAACAGCATGCATGCATGCATCCTCTTCATATTACCCCATACTTCTTACAACTTTTACTGAAAGTTTGATTTTTTGCAGATTTAAGCACAATTAAATATGTATTGATCAGTTAACAAACATTCATATATTACAGTTTATTAAATTGCCGCATTCACTGTTCTATATGCATTATCAGACTCTTTTCTTTTATCCCTGGATAACATAAAACCCATTTTAACATTTAATGGGCTACTACAGTAATCTACCATTAGAAAAAATTACCAGTACTGATTATATTGTCATTTCGGTAGGGTGCACCCATTCCGCTTCTTATACTATATGCATTTTTAAACCTTATTTGTTAAGCACAGTAGCGCTTCATTTGTTCGGAGCAGGGCTCCGCTGTATCTTATAAGCACCTTGCAACCAAACATTCAACAGGTGCAGTTTTCCCATCACCTCCACGATGACCAGAATTAAACCTGTTGCTTATTGAATTACTCGGTCAGGAAAGACAGCCAAACGCCCACTAGTCCAACCCAGTAGTAAGGTCCTGAGAGGTATGCAGAGCCGAGTGCATTTGAAGCCTCCAGCGGAACACGACACGCAAACTCTTCCACAAACTCCCTTAGCAGGCCTCCCAGAGGTTTCCTATTGTAAATGGACGGCAAGCTTCCACAGAGCCAAAGCCCCGGGCTTCCGCCTCAAGGTGCTCCTCGCCTTCTTCCTCCCCCTTCGACGATCCCGGCGACCCGGAGCTACCCGTCGCGGCTCCCACACCGAAGCGTCGGATCCAGCGGGGAGAACCAGCTCCCTCTCTCGCCCACCTGTCCGATACGGCTCTCTCCACTTCTTCCTTTGCCAGCCCAAATTCTGGTTTGCCCCGTGGGGCCCTCCCTTCCTCCTTCCGCAGGTTAGAGCTTCAACTTTCGCCCGGCTTTTGACCACAACGCCGCCGCCCCCGCGCTTCAAGGTGGAGCGCGGCTCACTTGGCTAGAGCCAACAGAGGCGGAAGCAGGTTCCTGCTCGCGAAGTCAGGGTCAATCCTCTGCCACAAACCACGTCAGAAGACGGAAACAAACGAACAAATGTCCGGATAGTTATTCCAATTTGATGGACTTCATTATGAAGGAAATATAGGCGGTAACTTTAAAAGAACTTAATAAGTCTTAAGTATAGCCGAGTATAGTTCGGCTCCATTCTACTGACTCATAGCCGGTCGATTTATCTCACTGACTGACAGCGACAATTTCCCCCCCCCTATTCTATCCACAGATGCTCCGGAGTTTTCCTACAAACTGTGCACCGAACTACTGTTATTTTCCGCTATACCGCATGTTTTAAAATAGTTTGCAGAAAAGTATTTAAGGCTTTCTTTTCTGATGGGGTGGGGAGAAGCAACATCCTTACCAGATTTCCACCAGGGAAATCAATAACCAAAGCTACAAACTTAATTCTAGATTTAATTATGTAATAGGATATCTGAAATTACTTTAATGGGACAGACTTCGCGACTAACAATGGTAGGTTACTGAAATCTTACACAAACTTTTCTTTAAATAATATACTAGTACTAGAAATAATACAGGTTCAGGCAGATGTCTGTGAAATAATGATTTTGTAATTAAGCCATAGTTATAAATTAAGTTATAAGTTTAAATTTGTATCGTATTACCGGTATGTAAGCCACTGAGTCAAACTGATTGCATTGAGATGGAAATGAAAGTTATTAAATCTTTGCCTTATGTATCTTTTATTTTCAAAAAACATATTTAAATCTTTGTTCTTAATTACATACAGAAAAATGTAATACAAAAGAATAAGATTTTGAAAATCATCTATATAATACAGTACCAAATAACAAAAAATGCATGATCCAAATTGTTTGCTGCTCAAAACATTATTCACTAAATACTGCAATATTTGTAATAATCAAAGACAAGGTTCCAAAAATCAGTTTAATATACAGAAGGTAAATTAAATCTTGCAATTGGCCAAGCATCTGCTTTTCAGGTAACATGAACACAACACCTAATAGAAGTGACTATTTTCAATCAGTTCAGTTGCAATCTAAAAATATTTAATGTTTAACTAATGGTAACTTTGTCTGAGAACTTTAGTTTCAGACAAATTAAGTACTCTAGGCAGAGTGACTAAAATTATGCTTCTTTAAGAGATTTTGAAAAATATTTTTTCAGGTAGTTCCCATTTAGCGATCACAATTAGCACCAACAACTCAAGTCATTAAGTGAAGCAGTCAAAAGTGAAACTACTACTATGCTTATCATCTTACTTCAGCTTTGGTTTGCTTTATAGACCTGTGAAGATCATAAGTATAAGAACTGGTCATGGTTACTGTTTCATCACAATCATAACTGCAGTAGCTAAATGACGATCATCTGTATTACTACCACTATAGGAATACTGTAAAGTAATATTATTGACCCAGTTTAGGAATGGAGAAGGAAGTATGTGTGACCCTATTTTAAATCCATCTCATGTTGATTAATTTAAGGGGGACTGGTAACCATTTTCAGAATGTAACCAAAATGGAAAACTGAAGGCAATTGTGCTTCTAATCAAGTCATTTCATTAATAGTACAAGAGGCGGAAGAGTCTATATCCACAAAGCTCCTCCTACACAATCAAACTCTGCTTTGGATCCTGCATGGGAAAGAGAAGAGAATCTGAATATGATCTTCTGCTGATATGCTGGATGAAATCCAATGATATATGATTATGATTATGATTAGGACTAAAGTTGTAACTTATCGATACATTTAATATCAAATTTGGGAGCTACTAAGAAAAATATATATACAGTATACATATATACTTTATGTACCTTATATAGGCATTTTTTACATGACAAAATGCACTTTCTCACCAATCAATATTCTTGTCTTTTCACTATAACTTCACTTTTTATTAAGTTACTCAATATTTAGAAAAAATTAGGATAATAAATGATGGTAATATTTATTATGAACCACGCTAGCTCAGAGAATAGAAAAATATGATACAAGCAATAGCATCAGACGCTTCTTGGATCACTGTAGTTATGGCCACATGTAACCTATTTACTTGTTTCAAAAATCTTGCAAAATGCCATCAGCATTTATTCAGAGAGAGATGAGTTCATGAATCTGGGGTTGAGGATGCCTTCTAAACTGAACAAAAACTGAGCAAAAAAGTAGTTTAACTAAACGACAACAAAACTTATAAATAACAAAAACATACAGATACAAATTTGCCTGGGTATTTACAGCATGTTAATAAATTAATAACTAAAATTATGTTCATATATTAAATTGCATGGTCCCACATTTAGAAATGAATCACAGAATATCCGCTGCATTAATAAAACTTTGTACAGGAATAAGATTTTGGCAACCGTATTAACTAGGGAACTATTCTTTTTCATCTTTTCAATATTGGACACCCAATTTAGTATAATTTCAGATTTTTAAATTTAAATTCTTTAAATTCAGATTTTTTAAAATTCTTATCTGATTCGTATCTTATTCTGTCTGATACCTGCTTTCATAGAGTCTAAAGAGAACAGCATAAAATAGAAAACTCAGTGGCCTTGTTAATTTTCACCTTGAAGGAACTATTATTGTTTCTTCCATGAATGAAAACACAACTTCTATTAATCATTGTAAATATGATTTTTTAAAAAATCAATTGTTGTCTTTTATCCACTGTTCAACCCACTGCATAATTTGATCTAAATTCCGCTCCATATCTTCTGGAGTATTACTAGGCAACTGATGTACAATTTCTTCTTTATAGGATGACATGGCTTCTTCATAAATTGTCTGAAAGATTTCGCATTGAATATTGTCTTGAAGCTTTTTTCCTTTGTAACCTCTAGAAAAATATAAAAACGTGAAACATTTAAATTATTTAGGTAAAAATATTGAAGTTTGATATTATGCATTAATAAGGTTTGTTTTAAACTTAAACTTAACTTTATTTAGTTTTGTGTCACTGACCTACCTGTTTTCTAATCTGTTGTACAAAAAAGAGTTTTCAGTGCGAAGCACAAAGACTATATTAAACCAGCGTTCAGGAAAAAAGTCACAGCTGTGATAATCAACTATGACACCTCCATCCTTCATCTTATCTTCCATTTCATCAATAACCTATATAGAAAATAATGCAAAGAAAACTAAACAATAGCTTCTTGGTTACAAAAATTGAAAATTGAAATTCATATTTCAGTTTAAACTCACTCTGTCTTCATCTAATATTGGGCATTCATATTCTTCATCAAAACCTTCGTACAGTTCCCCTGATTAAAAAAATGGAAACTGTTATTAATTTATAAAAAGCTATATTTATTTAGACAACTTATTCTCAGAAATAGTATGTTCTAGATGAGTGTTTTTCAAACTTGCTAACTTCATGAAGTATTCCCCAGCCACAATCAAATCATTTCAATTACAATAGTCAACTATTTAGACAATGAATTTTTCTTTCAATCCTCTGGAATTATAGAAGACCTTCCCTTCATCTTTTAGTGGTTAAACTTGGTTTTTGGGAAAAGATATATTTCTTCAGCTTTATTTTTTTTTCACTGATCATACAATTGATTTTCATATTTGCTTTTTCTCTCATTTGATGTACAGAATTCTACTTTCCAAGTAATTTTAGATATAATTTGTATTAAATTATATATAACATGTATCCATGTACATCAAAATTTGGGATATAAATGTTAATAAAATGGTAGATACTATGAAATTTTAAAAATTACCTTCTTTAGCCATATCCCCCACATTGATGTATGTAAAATCTGTTCTCAAGGCTATCTCTTTGCCTAGTGTAGTTTTCCCAACACCAGGTGTCCCTACAGAAAAAACAAGGCATAAAGAAACAATCAGGAAAGTACTGTAGTAAATATTAATATATAATAAGCTTCCATTGCAAAATTGACCTGAAAGACTAAACAAAGTACTTATTGCAACAGGTGCTTCTTTGTTTCTAAAAATGTGATCACTTTAGTCCTAGCATATAGAAACATATATGCATAGTTGCACACAAACACACACATCTGAGAAGTGCTTATTTATATAAGCCTTATTTATATAAGGCTTTCACATGCAAGAGGTGCTAATGTTTATGGAGTAACATAACCACTTCCAACTGAAAGTAGGTAATCGCATTTTCAAATGCTTCTATATATTAAATTTAACGCAAATAAAAAAGCAAAATGAAAGGGTACTTTTACCTGATGTTCTTGAGGGTGAAAGAGTGATGAATTCAAAATGTTGGGGAAGTCTGAAAGCAAAATTAGCTTGTTTTATCTAATTTTGCTTTCAGGTTTCCCATTTTGAATGCAAATCTCTGATTCACTCTCATGCCAGGATAATAACCCAGATCCCAATGCTGTCGCAATCGATGATGGGAGAGCAATAGAATTCTTTATTGGCCAAGTGTGATTGGACACACAAGGAATTTGTCTTGGTGCATAAGCTCTCGGTGTAAATAAAAGATACATTCGTCAAGAATCATAAGGTACAACACTTAATGATAGTCATAGAGAAACAGTCAATATAAATCTTAAGGATACCAGCAACCAGGTTACAGTCGTACAGTCATAAGTGGGAGGAGATGGGCGATAGGAACGATGAGAAGATTAATAGTAATGCAGGCTTAGTAACTAGTCTGACAGTGTTGAGGTAATTATTTGTTTAGCAGAGTGATGGCGTTCGGGAAAAAAAATGTTCTTGTGTCTAGTTGTTTTGTGTGCAGTGCTCTATAGCGTCGTTTGCTGTGCGTTATTCTGTTTGCTATGCCTTGGCTTACCAGCATAACGCAAAGCAAATGAAGCCTAACTTTTGCTCTCCCATCATCGATTGTGATCGCGGCAGCATTGGGATCTGCGTTATTATCCTGGCGTGAGACTGAATCGGAGATTTGTTTACGCTCTTTCAAACTCCCCATTCCTTTTGGAAAGCGCGACTGCGCTCGATCTAAAACTATACCAACCCGAACAACCTCCCGTTGTTTTTTCTCCTGTTTGCGGACCCTTTCGCTGCTGTTTTTCTTTTACCTGTGAGTAAAATGTTAGGCCTCTTCATAGCCGCTCTATTGCTCCTACAGCCACTTTCCAAGTTGCCATCAAGAAGCCACGTGCAGCAGTTCGCGGGGACCTGAGCCGTCCTACTCGTCTGGCAGCAGACTAAGACGTCAGAAGGGCCCTCCTTCCTCCCTTGAGGCCCAACGGTGGGTGGAAAAGCGCCGACTGGTAAAGCTTTGTAGGGTTTTTGTTTTTTTCCCACCCGGAAGCTTTCTCGGTCATATTTACTCCTTCTCGCAGGGCCTGGACTAAAAGCGGGAGAGGGGACAAAACAGGGGCCGTATTAAGGCGCTCGGCGAACAGCTAAGCGCCGAAGAGCATGAAAGGCCCCAGTCGGCATGGAGCTGCCCCGATGAGAGAGGGTAGGGAGAAAGAGGGGAGTGTGAAGGGCTGGGTGTGGTTTTTAGTGACGGAAATAAGTGGGCTGCAGCGTGGCAAGAGCTAAATGGTGCCCGTGCACTACATCTGCCGGATGGAGCCGCTTTCTTGGGGACGAGGCCGGGCTTCGTGTCTGAGCGCAGTCGGGAGAGTTGTTATTCCAAAAGTGCATGGCGGCTGAAGTCTTCTTCCACCTGGGAGGTGTCCCCTATAGAATAACAAAGCCTGCCCCCCCCCCGACCCCCACTTTGCTGGATTGCTTATTTATTTTATATAGCTGCCCATCCCACATACGGGGCTGTTGTTTATAAACCCTACCGCATGCCTGTTTCATAGAAAGGGTGGGGGGAGTTGGCTAGAGGAGCGCAGACATACTACCTATCCTTACCCATTGAATCTTGAAGACCTCAACAAGTACCCTGTCAATATTAGGTGGCCATTGGTTAAACCGTTACGTGTCGTGTGACCTGTATTAGATTTTTGTTACTTCTTTTGAATGCTTCTCCTTTAATTGTATACATGTTTCTTTTGCAAGTAATCATGATTTTTTTCATTAGCCGGATTCCCAAAGATATAACTAATTTTCAAACTTGTCAACTTTAAGATGGGTGGACCAACTCCCTGATTTCTGACTGGGGAATTGAAGTCACTATATCTTAAAAGTTGAAAAATTTGACAAACTGTAGAAATCCTTCAACATAATCCACGGTGATCCACCGAATCCACACTATGTGCAGTATTTGTCAGAGAAGGTGTTTGTCGCCTTCATTTCAGAGGTGTAATATAAATCATTAGAAACTTTGTCTTGCTATCTAAGGTGAACTGAACAATTATCTGTTTGTAATTCATTACAGGTTTTACTTATGTGTGCAAATATGTAATGGTGATACTATAAGAAGTAATGAAGTCTTGGCTGTTCTACTTTTGAATTATCAGGACAGTATTCTGTTTTTGACAATAAGCCCAATAGCCAGTTTTGTAGATAAATTGTCAGTCTGCTTTTGAATTTTTCTCAAAAGCTTGAAATTTATAGTTTTATCAAATAGGTTACAATGATTTATCCTGATTAGGAGCATGTTTAGATTAGAATTCCCTTAGCTCATTAGCTTCAAAATAAAAATAGTTTAATATACAGGTAATCCTCGTTTAGCAACTACCTCATATACCAACAGTCGTAGTTAAGTGGTAATAAAAAGTAGCTTTGTAAATATACTTCACAGGTCTGGAAAGCAAAAGAAAACTGAAGTAAGATTGTAAACTCAGTTGTGGTTTCGCTTAGTGACTGCTTCACTTAACAACTGAGTTGCTGGTCCAATTGTCACTAAATGACAATCTTCTGTACTGAAATTGTTTAAGTATATTCAGAATTAGAGTGGAGATAGATATAAAGCATTGCAATTTCAATGTCACAGGGTAATTTGTGTAAATTATTGTACATACCAAGACATTAACTCTTTGTGAAAAATTAAATATCCAGGTTATCCATGATGCATGTGTAATAGTATTATAATATGTACATTATTCTACTTATGGACTAAACAGATGTTGCTATAATTGAAAATTGTAGAACTACAGTATCTTTGTCAGACAAGTGTGCTCTCTTCAACAGAGGGCAGCACTTTAGGGACTTTGGAGGTCGTACATTCCTGTTCTGTAGCCATTAAGAATAGTTTTTGTTTTTTTTAAAGTAAAAGTAACAGCATGTAGAAAAGAAAAAAGAAGCTCTACAAATGAGAAACAAGACAGATGTAAGTCCTCTTTTAGAAATTATCTTCAGGGCTGCAGACTTGTTAATATAAAAGTTTTGTTATCTTTTAGGTACTTTATTTTTAAAGGCATTTAATCATACATTTTGGATGGAAACTGCAAAGGCTGATGATGTCAAAAAAATCTTCAAAAAGAAAGACACCTCCAAATAAAGTAAGTTATTTATTTATTCTCTTAAATTATTATTTACTGTATCATGTGTTTAATTCAGGCTGATGCAGGCATATCAAAACCCTTGTAGCCAAGTGGAGTATTTTGAAATCATTATAACTTTACACTTTTAATTAAAAGACTAAATTGTGTAATACTGAGTGTGGAGAAGAAAATCTGGGGATTTTTTGTTTGTTTAAATTGAATTCAGTCTGTTTAAAAATTGCACTAATTTTTTTATACTAAACAAGATTGAAATGTAAGAACTATTAAAGATAAGCAAAATGTTAATAAATGTTTGGAGGTGATTTATGTGTATTTAAATTGTTTTATGTTCAGTAAATGATTGCATTTACTGCATTCACATATATTGTATGATAGTTTACTTCATGTTCGCTTTATTAACTACTAAAATATTGGTTACTGTATATAAAGGCAGCAATAAAATAATAACTGGTTTAAGAATTGATAATTTTTGGGCTGCAATAATTTCTACATGCTTATATTATCAGGAAATTGACTGGGTGGAACCAGATTTCTGTGAGACTGCAAAACTGTCATCTAGTGTTCGCCATAAACAATTGCTCACAGATACTGACAATTATCACAAGAGCAAAGAGCATTTTCCTCTGCTTGAAAATTACAAGTGTGGGAGAAAAATAAAACCGTTTTCTGTAGATGAGAAATATAAACACTTCAAACAAAATCACAGCCAAATTGAACCATGGGTAGATAAATACAAACCAAAAACTCAGGTACAGTTCTATGCAATTTAATATATAGTGTATATTAGTAGTAGTAGTAGTAGTAGTATTTTATTAATATATACATATTAGTATATATATAATACAATAAGCTATTTTGCTTGTTAAAATAATATGTCTAAATAATTATACAAAATACTAAATTAAAGATTATTATAAAAATGTCAGGTCCTGATCATAAGTGTTCAGTGAAACTGTAATTTAATGGACCATTTGTAGGAAGGAGGATGTTTTATTCCCAATTGTCTCTTAAATTAGAAGGTGCATGATTTTTAAGTGATTGATAATGTACTGTCGAGTTAATTTTGACTCCAAGCAACCACATAGATTTTTTTATTGACAATGTATTCTTTCAGATCTCCCAGTAGTGCTCTCATCACCACTGTAATTTGAGTCCATCCACAATGCTGATGGCCTTCCCTTCCCTTCCCTTCCCTTCCCTTTCCTTCCCTTATAGATATAATTTTATTAAAATATTTATAAAAAACATAAACTAATGCAATCTAATACAGAGTTAAGGAAATGAAAAGAAAGAAATCAAAGCTAAAAGTGCAAGGAAGAAAGAAAAATAAAAATAGAAAAGAATACAAAAAAGTGGCTTTCTATCTTCTTTACAGCAGTTATAAATACAATTATAAATTTACCTCTTTCTCTAAAGTTACACATTGGTTATTCTACGTATTGTCATTTGGCCTTTCTTATATTTAATTTTAGTCTCATTTTTTCACTGTGTTCTTTGACGTTAGTACTAAGTTACTTAGTACTATGGCTTGCAGATCATTTGCATTTTCTGCTGGCTGGGTAGTGTCATCGTAGCATAAGTTGTTTCTTCTCCAACTTTAAAACCATTCTTCTCATCTTCCATTTCAACTTCCCTTATATATTCGGCATGTAGGTAAGATAAGGTATGCTATACATATGCTGTTGGTTTGCAAATGAACAAAATTATATCATTTGTATATCATTTTGTAAGTCAAGTAATTGTCATGGAGATTGGATCTTCCCTAATATTTTAATTTGTTTACATTTGGTATATATGCTAAGAGAATTCAAGTATAGATAATGCATAATTTAATATTTTGCTACATAACTATGGCTTTATGCATATTTTTGTCTGTCAGAGTGATCTTGTCATTCACAAGAAAAAAATTGAAGAAGTTGAAAGATGGTTAAAAGATCACATATTTCAAAATCAGCCAAGACAGGTAATATTATGAACTTAATACTTTTATTTTTGAAGCTTTTATTTAATTTCAATTAATAGTTTTATTTTTATTTTACCAATTTTATTTTGCTGAATAATTAATGAAGTGACATTAGAATATTATCAAAATCTTATATAATATAATTTTAGAGCAACATTTATTTAGTAGAATAAAATATATTTATTTGTCTGGATAGATAAAGATAAAGCAAGTTGCAATTATTTATACAAAGATTGCTTTGAGAGAAATGATTCAGTTTGTGTTTCTTTTTTTTTCTGAATATCCTGAAGTTTTATGTCTGCTTACTAAATGAGTGAACAGGTTGGGATTAATCTATGCCCAAGTTTCCATTAAGGAATACCTGCTTCCATTTAGAGAACATTTGACACACATTAGGCCAACTGAACTGCAATCCAAACAATTTGTTTGAATTAAGTTGTGTAGCATAAAGGAAGTGGGCTACTCTAATTACTGAGAATGTAACTATGGCTACTGTATTTATTGGAAATAGTAAAAAATGGATATTATTGACACCAAAGTTCTATTTTGTTTTATTAAGAAACCCATATTGTTTTTTTCTTTAAATATCGTACTCAGTTTATGATAAGTATCTTGTTGTAGGGAGGCTCCATCCTAGTGTTAACTGGCCCTCCAGGATGTGGGAAATCGGCAACTGTGGAAATATTAGCCAAGGACCTTGGTATTCAGATACAAGAATGGATAAATCCTGTATCGCTAGACTTCAAAAAACACGACTTTCAAGTTGCTTTCAATCATGGTAAAATTTTAAAATGTTCACTTCTTCATTGTTGAGCAATTAGAATATATTTTTTGGCATATCTATTTCTGGTAGGAAATAGATATGCCATTAGAGGTTAGCAAATTTCATTAAAATAAATGGAACTAACTTCTAATTAATTCGAAAGTCAGTTGCTGAGGAAATTCCAAAGGGTTTACACACAAAGCCTGAGAATAAAGGCATTCTTTATTCTCAGCTTCCTCTATATTAGGATTTCCTGTGTTTTAAAACTGCTGCACTTTAGACTGATAGGAGATTTCAGTCAAGTTGAAAATACAAGCTGAACTCAAAATTATAACTGCAGGCGGTGTCCAGGACTACTTGCAAGCCCTAAGTACACGTGCTCCTTGTTCTGTTTTCCTTTCTGCTAGTATGACTGCAAGGAAGTTCTAGCCATATGCCTGCATTATGTCTGAACCATAATTTATTCTTAGCTATATTTAGTAAGAAAAGCCAGTTCTGAAGATAGGGGATTAAACTTGGTTTGCATTCATTAAAAATATTTAAGATTAATTGCAGTTTATTTGATTTCAATTGGGTGATAAACTACATTTTGTCTAAAACCCAAGTGAAAACTTTGTTCTGCTCTAGGGATTCCATTGAACACTATTCTGTGTTCAGAATAGTGAACTCCATTCTGAGCTTCTTCCCACCCTATATGCAAAGTACCTCTTTACCTCCTACTCCCACTTAACACTTCCCTATAATGTTCCCTCTAATTTCTGCTATTCTGTGTGCAAAAAAATAAAAGGTTTTGTGCAGCTTGTTCCAAACCAAGTACAAGTTTGTACTTGGTTTGGAACCACAATATACTACAATATACGAACATGAATAAATTGCAAATGCATATAATAGCTATATGTTAAAATATGTTTTAGAAAGAGGCTCGGGGGTTCAGGGAAGGTCAGCTACTAATGCAAAGCTGTCTGCCAGCAGTCCTGGGAAAAAGGCGCAAGCTTGCTGCCTCAGCTTAATTGCAGTATCTAGGTCACTTGGTCCTGCTACAGCACAGTTTGAGAAGGAACTTCTGTCACATGATGCTCCTGCTCCATCCATACTAAACAATCTTTGTTACTGCAATTAAGGCAACTGGCTTGACTTCATGAGCCACAAGTCCAGAGTTTTATGGTGATTGGTGAATAAACATATTATTGTTTAATTTTTAAATATAATATTATCTATGTTTAATTGAATTTTCTTTTTTCTTAGTTTCTTAAATAAATTTCCCCGCTGTATTTTAATCAGGTTTAGGCTGTACCCAGCAGTGCTGTGATATATGGCCTGTGTGCTGACTGTTGACATCTGATCTAGAGAATATGACTGTTATTAACATGATGATTAATTTTCAGTAGATTTATTTTCAGTAGACTAGTTTTTAACCTTTCAGATAAAATTCAGGCCATTTTTTTTTTTTTTGGGCCAGAAATGTAGCACTATAACGATGGACAAGCCTTCAGTGCTAAAGCACATCTGATTTTTTTGAAAAATTGCAGTAATTGATTTATCTGGCCCATTGTTTCAAAATATATATTAATATATACTAAGGTCTCTGCCTGTACAGCTTGTCCAGTTTCTGTAATTTACATGCCAATTGATTTTGGACCAGTAATAATCCATGCAAATAAAATAATAACAGAATTCAAAACAATAAGTTATAGAATATTATCTCACTTTTCTTAGTACTTAGTGCATATTGTAAAATAAATATTCCTTTTTAGAATCGGATTTTAAGATACTTCCTTATCAGAGCCAGGCAGCTATCTTCCAAGAATTTCTTCTAAGAGCAAACAAGTATATCAAGCTTCAGATGGTTGGAGAGACCATGGAAACTGACAAAAGACTTATTCTTGTGGAAGTAAGTTGAAGTAGTTGAATTAACTCCATTAAGGTGTTTTAATAATTAAAATTAAATGTTCTATTATTTTCTCCCAATTTTTAAGTATAGCAGTTTAAGTTAATTAGGTTTTCCAAATTTAGTTGCTCAATAGTAAAATTTCAGTTTTTTATAATAATAACTAATAGCTTATTTCAAACAGATATACTGATAATCTTTGATAAAAAATGCTTACAAATATAAAACAAATATTTGACTTTTTTCAATTAAGATTTTAAAACTGCAGTTTTCAGAAAGTACAAAATAATGGCCTGAATTTTTTTTTCATTATGTTGAGCTTTATTTTATTGTCAAGCATTTTGGAAAATTTTGTAGTCTAATGGTAGAGCATTAGCTGTGAATGCTGGGTTCTAAATTCAATAATCAACATTTCTTGGTGCCCAAAATACCAAAGAGTAATTATTTTTGAATAATTAAATAAGGATATTCATAACAGTGGCATTTAGATTCTTTGTTCTAAAGCTAGTCATTGTGGGCAAAATAAATCCCATATCTATTTCTGGGGTTTCCAGATGCACTTTGAACTTATATGAACAAAAGTATCTACTCACTTATATGTTGGACTTCTTTTTTAGGCATGAAATAAATCCAGAATCTGTTATAGATAGATAAGCCCAAGGCATAGACTCTTACTGACAGATAAGTAGTTTAATGCAGATAATGCCTTTTAAGGCCTGCACAGATGTGTGTGTTTGTCTGTCTAACTAGGCTCATGGTGTTAAATCTATGCTTTTTATTTCCATTTTTCCAAGTTAAATATGATTTCATTGTTCTCTACAAGGCAATGAAAAACAGCTACAACTCTTTGTTTACATAATAACTTTTTCTGGCTTGAAAGTAGCTTTCTGCCTCTCCATCTTCAGCCTTGGCACCATATTGCATTATGGAATATCTCATAAATATTCCATGTTTGTAACATTTATACTTGTAAATACCCTTAATGCATAATATTATTGGCTCCAACAGCTTTTAATTCAATTTAGCAGATATATTAGAATAACAACATTGTATTTGCTTTTCAACAGGATATGCCAAACCATTTTTATCATGACCCTAGCAGTTTACATGACATTCTGAGGTATGTTCAATATCTCATTTTGCCAAAGGATCACTCAAATTAATGGGTATGGCTGGACCAAGCCTAAGGTTCTCCAGTGCAGAATAGTCCACTACCAAAATCCATCTCTTTCTTTTGCTGCTAAATTGGGGTGGTGAATGAGGGAAGATGGCACGTTGCAAGTTATGTACCTTTTGCATTTTTGCTAGTGCAATTCTATTGATTGCTGGTCAGAATTGATGCTGTTAAGTTTGAACTGCTCATTTTCAATTTTTCATTGTAGGAGTTTTTTGCGGACAAGCAGATGTCCTCTTGTATTTATAATATCAGACATTTTCAGCACAGGCAGCAGCCAGAGGTCTCTATTCCCAAAGGCAATTCAGGAAGAACTGTATATAACAACCATTAGGTAAATAAATTGACAGCTACATTGACCATGATGAAATTCTCATATTGACATTTATCTTGACCATTTTCTTTTTTCAATTTTCTCAGTTTTAACCCAGTGGCACCAACACTGTTGATGAAAGCCCTAAATCGAATAATCACAGGGGAGATCAGTATGGTAAGATAAATGAAATTACAATATTGTTATATATAAGGGATACAAAAAGCAAAAGTTGGTGATGGAAACATTATTATTACATTTCATCTGAATGATATCTTAGAAGTTTAAAAAAATGTGTATAATCATGGTTGGCAATATTGACCTCAACAATCTTTGCTTAGTTCTAAACATTAGTGAGAGATTCATTCATAATTAGCATTGCTCGTCCAACTTTAATATAAAATTGCTGTGAAAGTAAAATAGGGATAAATCACGGTTTTGAATGATTCTGTAGAAGTAGTGAAAATACTGAGTGATAAATGGATAGGAAAGTACAGCTCAATCTTTGGAACTTTTAGTACAAGGGAGAGATAGAAATGGAAGCAGGAAGCATCTGTGAAGTATTATTTTTTTAATATTTTATGTAGATTTACTCAAATTAGCTTTGGATTTTTTTTTGCAATTTTCTTTGTAGAGAAGAGATAAAATTGATGTTCCTGACAAACCCATCTTAGAACTGATTTGCAGTGGATGTTCAGGGGACATTAGAAGTGCAATAAACACACTTCAATTTTCTTCTCTACAAGGTAAGAAAATATTCTTATTAATTTAAATTGTGCTTAACACTAAGATTTAAAAATAATAGTAATCTTTACTCTTTCTTAGAATGTTTTTGCTTTTGAATTTGTCAGAAAAATATTTTATAATATAGAAAAAGCTGTTTCTTTTTAGCATTACTAATACTTAAAAGCGTGGGAAACAGTAGTGGATGAAAAAAAATAAGAATTTTGAAGGGTAAACCAGTTAAGGAATGCTTAATTTATATCTAGTTAGTTTTTAATTATGTTATTGACAAACTATCCTAATTGTTTTTCTGGATGGACGGAATATGGCCAGTTAAGTTCATTGAATTCTTAAAATTGCAGTGTTATTTTTATATTAACTTAGATTGATTTTTTTGCTATCATTTTTTCTTTCATCACTATTCTTGTTTATTTTTTATGTTTTCATTCTGTTTTAGCTAAATTCCCACATGGTATATTAATGTGGGATTCTAGTATTTTACACTTATTGCACACAAATGTCTTTCGGATATTACAAATTAAAAAAAAATATTTGTATTTGTTGCAATATTATTATAGCCAGTATCACGCCAGTATATTAGTAGGCTTTATTTATTACAATAACATAAATAATTCAAACAATGTAAGAAAGCATGAAGGAAGACTTTTTAATTTCTAAAAATTTTGAAAAGTCCTCTTCACATATGCAGTACATAAAAAAGTAATTAAAAGAATCAAAATCACGGATACATGGAATAAAAACAGTTCCCCTTTGGAGGAATTTCAAACTTTTGAAAAATTAAAAGCATTAAAAAATTTTTTTTACTAATCTCAAAATGTGCATGCATTTTTACCCAGAATAGAATGAAATAAAAGTAATACATGTTCTTTCTAGACAGAACTTTGCTGTAAAAATTATGTTGTTTCTTACTATTATTTTTTTTCTTTTTTTTCCTTTTATGTACATTGAGAGCATATGCACCAAAGACAAATTCCTTGTGTGTTCAATCACACTTGGCCAATAAAGAATTCTATTCTGTTCTGTTCTATTCTATTAAAGACAAATTTTTCCATTTTTCCTATTCATTAATTCTCTTGGGTTTTTTCCAGAGAGGCCATCAGACAAAAGCCTATGGTCACAAAGAAAGAAAAAATCTGTTTTAAAATGTGATACATCATCTAAAATAAAGGAAAAAACCCTATGCAATAATTTTTTAGAGGACCAAGAAATACCAGCTATTGGTAGCAAGGATGCTTCCATCTTCCTTTTCCATGCTTTGGGGAAAATACTTTACTGCAAAAGTAAGAGAATTTACTTGTCTTTATTGTATTATATATCTAAAAATTCTAACATTTATTTTATTAATTTCTGTATTTGACTGTATCTAAATATATGCATATATCTCTGATAACTTTTTAAAATTCATTTCAATAATAATTTTGGTCCTTAACTTGCCCTGTCATTGTAAGGAAACTCATGTAATTTGTATCAGTGAATCAAAACTTCTGACCCCACCTATCAATACCAGGTACAGCAGTTAAACTGTTCTCCACTTTACATTCCTGAGCAGATATATGAAGATGAACTAAGTAGATTCAATTACTGTATTTTTCACACTATAAGATGCACCTAACCATAAGACGCACCTAGATTTAGAGGAGGAAAACAAGAAAAAAAAATCAGATGGCGCCTGAGAGGACTACAAATAGGTGTCCTCTCATGTGCCAGCTCTGCCTATTGACTGCACAGAAGAGGCAGGCAATAACAAAGACAGACGAGGCTGGGTTCAGCACTATAAAAGGACCCGCTGCGGTGGCCCGGCTGCTATTCATCAAAGGACTGGCACCATTTCCACCCACTTTTTGGGAGGGGGAGTGCATCTTATGGAGCGAAAAATACGGTATATAGAAAACAAGAAAGCCATACATTTGAAGAAATTTCCATCTAAATCTTTCCATATTAGAAAGGTTAGTCACCAGTTTTAAGTTCAAGACTTAAAACTCTTCCTATGTTTTTGAGTCCACAGCCTAAAGCTATTTACTTTGCAGCTTTGAAGATTTCTGGCTTCTGCCCCTGATTTACAAAGCATTTTCTTTGACATTGCAGATCACTTCCTCACCAGCTTCAACTGTTATAGTATCTGCAGATATCCATAAATTAGCCCATGTACTCTTTGTACTAACAAGGCTTCCATGCAATAATCATATTCATTAGACTTTCTCAGGACCTATTGCTCACCCCCAACAGATGGACACTTTGGAATAGGATGTTGTCTAATTACTTTGTGAAGCTACTAAAAAAACAAAACCTATGGAAGTATAATAGTGAAAATCTTCAACAAAATAGAGGTGCTGCCTTTTTGATACAGGCTAATTCACCAATACATTACTTAGAATTTAGATAACAATATACATATTAAGCAGTGCAAACCATGTGAATCAGGATTGAACTAGAAACTATCTATTTCTGAAGAAATACCTGTCTTCATTCCCAAGATTCTGTTTTTTAGACCTCTGTTGTTTGATGAAACTGCAATTATCATTTAAATAATTTTATAGGAGAACCAGGTACAGAGATGGACTTTCCTCGGTTACCTCATCATTTATCAGAATATGAACGACAGCCCTTGCTTGTTCAACCTGAGGTAAACATGTTTGCTATTTCTATAATAATATGTATCCATATGCACTTAGCAAAATTCTTAATTTAAAGAAATACAGATAATTTTTCTATGTGGTATGATATTCTGTGTATATTTTCTTTTATTAGGATGTCATAGAAAAATCACATATGCCTGGGGACTTATTTAATGTATACCTTCACCAGAATTATTTGGAGTTCTTCTCTGATATCGATGATATTGTAAGAGCCAGTGAATATTTAAGTACTGCAGATTTTCTTTGCACTAACTGGGATGTAAGTTTTTAAATATATATATATTTAAACATGTGACATGCATACTATAATCTTTACAATTTGGAATCTTACGAAGAAATAAGACAGCATTAATTATATTTACTGTTTATAGTCTTATTGCTCTATAACTTAAGCAAGACACAGTTGCTGTTCGTTTATTTGTCTTTTATGACATTATCTCTAATAATGGGATAGCACTGTGTCTGGACCAGCAGGTCTACAGCTTTGGAGTCCTCCTGAATTAACAGGCAAATGGAAGCTCTGTCCAGGTGGGAGCTTTGGTTAGTGGAACAGTTGTGGCTAACATGGAGCACAAGGACTTTCTAACAGTAACTGCTGCTTTTGTCATCACTAAGTGAGACTGCTGCAATGAACTGTACACAAAATTGCTTTTGAAAATCATCCAGAAGTTTCAGTTGCTCCAGCATAAGGCTGTCTGCTGTGGGCGCCTGGCTCTCTATTTGCTTTTGAATACAATTCAAATTACTGGATTTAACCTATAAAGCCATACACAGCTTGAGACTGGTATATTTGCAGGATTGCCTTTCCAATTACCATGTCATTTGCAACATATAACGCCCTGAGAGAGACAGATGACGATCCCCCACCTTTGCAGGTATAGGCTCATATGTGCTATTTTCCAATAGGTGCCTGTCCGTTTTAGAACAGTTTTCTTCCATGTTCCTTTATTATGTGATTTTCTTCATTTGTTTATACTATGGCGCTTCATTATTTGTAGTTAACAGAAGGAAGAAAGCCAATAAAAAAAAACACTAAAATGATTATTCCAGAGGGAAATGATCTATTGAATCACTTTATCCAGAGTTTGATTCCCAGATTCATTTTTGTCAAAAATATTTTCCCTCATAATATTTATTCCACAGTAAAGCCCAGAGTTTATCAATAAACCTTTGATTATAGACAGGAAGTAGGTTTAGCTATGCTATTTACATATTTGTACATTTGAAGGTGAACTATTTTTCCATCATATAGTGCAAATTGGTTTATTTGTTTGATTTATTGGACCACCTGAATCCAGCTAGATTTGCACAGCTTTCAGCATTAAATAAAAATCAAAACAATTAATCTACAAATCCAAAACTAACAATGTTTAAAGCATGCCTTATATTGCACTTGGAAACCTACTACTGGTAGTAACCAACACTGCTTGTCTAATATAAGTGTAACATGGCTGTGTTATACTAAACTACTAAACACGTGTGCTATATTCTGGAGCAGATGAAACTTGTGCATTCTTCAAAGGCAGCCTCATATAGAGTGAATTGGAGTAAATTAATAAAAAAATGCCAATGGAGTGAATGTTCTTGGTAAGGCTGCAACTGGTGCATCAAGCAAAACTCTGCAAAAGCCTTTTCGGCTATAGTCTCCACCTATTCTTCAAGCAGAAACTGTGAATGCAGGCCTCCATATTGTAAATATGTGTTTTGCACTGTAGCAATGTGAATCCAACTCACAGCCCTTGCAAGTTCTCTAAAAGAATATTGTGGTCAATAGTACTGAAGGCCATTGAAAAGTCTAGAAGGAGAAATATGTCCATATCGTCTCCACTGAAGCCTTATCAAAGGTCATCCATGAGAGTGAGCAGTGCAGTTTGAGTCCCATACACATCTGAACCCAGACTGCCAAGAGTCCAGATATTCCATTTCTTCCAGAGTACAGGTAGTCTTCGAATTATGACCACAATTGAGCCCAAAATTTATGTTCCTAAGTGAAATATTTGTTGTGAGTTTGCCCCATTTTACGACTTTTCTTTCTATAGTTGTTATTGAACCATTCCATTTGTTAAGCTAGTAACATGGTTGTTAAGTGAATCTGGCTTCCCCCATTGACTTCGCTTGTCAGAAGGTGGCAAAAACTGATCACGTGACCCCAAGACACTGCAGCTGTCATAAATATGAGTCAGTGGCCAAGGATCTGAATTTTGATCATATACCCATGGAGATGCTGCAACAGTCATAAGTGTGAAAAATGGTCATAAGTCACTTTTTTCAGTGCCGTTGTAACTTTGGTCACTAAATGAACTGTTGTAAGTCTATGACTACCTGTAATCTAACCTTAAACCTCATCAATTTCTCAGTAACAATCCCTGAATTACTCAAAGGAGAAAAGGTTAGAAATAGGGTGATAGTTGTCCAGTTTGTTGAGTGTAAATCTGATTCTTAAGTTATGAGCAAACTAGTGATTCTTGGACCTCTGGCATTTCCCTGTCTTTCAAACAGGCACTAATTGCAAACCCGTCCAATTCCCAGTCCATTCCTTGTTGCTTTGGTTAGATGTGGGGCATGGGTTCAATCTCATATGCTGAGCTGAAATTCCAGAGACTCTGTCCATCTCCTTGGGATACAGAGACTTAAAAACCTCACAAATATTGGCACAGGACATCACCTCTGTCTTCACAGTACATTCTGCATGTCCAGCTTCCAGGTTGGAGTGAATGTGGGCAATTTGTCCATGAAATGTTTACACAGATAATCAAAACTTAGTCAAACATTGACTAAGTGTTCCAGTCCATCCTTCCCAAAAGGATCCAGGACATTTTAAATAGTGTAGTTGGCCAGGATTCTGGAGTAAGTACAATGATTATGCTTCACTGTATTTTATCAGAATAAGCTCAAACATAGACTCTTATTTTGTCCAATCACATTTGCTTCTTGTTTTCAGTCCGTATCCCTCCAGACATCTTTTTGCCCTGGTTGTTTCATGAAAATCTTCAGTAAGTAAAGAACTGCATGAAATTCCACAGGTAGACATAGAAGATGCTCTGCATGATCCTTTCATGTGTCTAGTTGCCCCTGTATTCCAGTAAATAAATTCCATGGAGCATCCATGAGAATAGTTGCTGGATTCATCAGATATTTGGGGCAGATAATCTTAGTAGGTCCCTCATCTCTGCATGGTTGGTGCCTCAGTTAAATCTACAGTTATAAGAAAGAGATTTGTCCTTGATAATGGACTGATGTAAGACACATTTTAGTGAGAGAGAAGTTCCCTGAGGAACTCCAGCATGAGTCCGATAGCTCAGAAGACTAAATATTTGGTCCTGATGACTGACCCAGATTGGATCCTGATGTAAAATTTCTCTGGAATCAGATCATAATACATCTGTTCCAGGATGAATTCTAGAACTAATACATGGTCAGCCATGAGTGTTGTGGCCTGGGAACAATCTGGGACCCACCCATAATTTCATAGCAGTCATGAATTCCTGAGTTGTCTCTAGTCCCAAGGAGGGGATGGTGCAGTCTGCCATTACTAATAATATGGACAGATTTACAGCTAGTCCTCCAATGATATTGACCAACTTGAGGAATGTGTTTATATAGCTGCAAGGATAGTACAATTGTAGCACCTCCAGTTTGTCCTTTCAGCCCAGCATCATAAACAATGTCTCACATCTGTTACCAGTGAAATAGCACTCCTTGCAACTGCTAGGGTCTCCTGGTATACAACTGTCATACCACTTCTGCCTTGGGGTCAGGACTGATAGAAAACTATCCTTTCTCTCCTTCCAAACAATGTTTACAACAGTTATAACAACAACTATAAGCATTGGTGGAATAGTGATAGCACTTAGACTTATATACCACTTCACAGTGCTTTATAGCCCTCTCTAAGCAGTTTACAGTGTCAGCATATTAACTCAAGCAATCTGGGTCCTCATTTTACCAACCTTGAAAGGATGGAAGGCTGAGTCAACCTTGAGCCGATGAGAATCGAACTGAAAACTGCTGAATTACTGCCAGCAGTAATGGTTTGGCTTATTAATAATGCCTCAATCTGAGTAATTCTATATTTTAAGAACTTTTAGCTTCAGTATTTAAAGATAACATGGGCAGTATCATCCAAGAAGTTTTGCCAGATAGTGTTCTGCTCACCATCTTGACATACTGTGCAGTATATCAGTTTTTGTCTGTTTTAAAAATAATTCTCAGTGTTAGACCTTACATTGTTTTTAATGACAAAGTAGAAGTTTGCTTTTAGATTTAACAGAACAATTTTTTCTTAACAATGGATTTACTTGGATTGTGTTCAGATGGGAAGAAAACTTGATGTTTCTGCAATCAAGCATATTTATGGAACCAAGATTTTGACTGGTTTATGGGATGTACAATTTGTTATTTCAACAAGATTTAATATATATCTGTAATATACTAGTAATTTACATCTGGTCCTCTGTACCTTGATTTCAAGTCTATTATGGAGCTCTTATATTTTATTCTACAAATTCCTGTAGGCACGAGCTACACTTCAAAAGTATAGTGCCTCTGTAGCCACAAGAGGTGTGATGCACTCAAACCGAGCCAGAGCTTTTGCACAATGCAAAAGAGGAATGGGCTTTAGACCTCTCCATAAACCACAATGGTTCCTAATTAATAGAAAGGTAATCGATAACAATTTACTTTTTCTCAGTTACTAATGTTATTTGCATCAGTTCTAAAACAGAATCAAGTAATTTATTTTTATTGCTCTCATGGCAGAATCAATAGTGAAGTAACATTGACTTAACTTTTGTATTTGCGATGAACATTATTACAAGATTAGGATTCATACAAAGATTTAGGCTTCAGTTAGAAACAGCCCTGCTCTTACTAGCACAGTAAGATATTTTAAATGAGTCAGTAAAATATAGCACCAAGTTGACTACAAAAAACATTTTAGAGAAAATATATTTATGGATTACAATGAAGCATTTTTTTGATCTGAGAAATATATCCATTACAGCAGGGGTGTCAAACTCGCAGCCACACCCACCCCCATTTTAGCGAAGGAAAAAAGTTGTGGTATGTCACATGATGATGTACCATCACAAGTTTGACACCCCTGCATTACAGTATCCTCTGAAACATTAAAATGATCTTAAACATCATTTAGATTGTATTACCTACAGGTAAAAATGAGTCTTATCAAAATTGGAATGCCCCACTTAAGTGATATATAGAAAACTAATCAACAGTCAGACAGAAAATAAATAATTTGAAGATTTAGGATCTTGCATTTAATTAGGTATTTATTACATCAGGCAGCAGCAATTTTAAGAACAGTTTAATAGAATCTCATTGAAATTAGATTGTTAAATGCAGATGATTAGGATATGTGCGTGTGTGTGTGTAAATAGAAATTCTGTAGTTTAATAGATAAAACTGAAAAAGTGCTTTTGCACATTAGATTTATATTTTCTGATTCCTTATAGTATCAAGAAAACTGCTTTGCTGCAAAATCCCTCTTTTCAAGTTTCTGTTTATCACCATTGTGTCTTCAGACTGAGCTAATACCTTATCTTACCATGCTGACTAATCCAATGAGAAACCAAGGTATATTTAAACATATGCAAAATGTTTCATATTTCTGTTTCTGCTTTAGAAGAGCAATTAGTCATAGAGCAGAATATTATTCAGTGTAATTTCTTAATATTTACTTAGAGGTCCCAGTGACAAATGGGATGTAGCAAATATTTTATACATATATTCCTTATATGCTGTACATTCCCTGCATCCTGTAGGCTGCTAACAATATAAACACATTAAACTCAAAGAAATCCCATACACATGTAAGTAATTTAAAAAAACAAAAAACGACTAACCAATAAAAATGTCTGAAAGATTTGTTGTTTCACATTCCTGACATATTTGGGGTCAAAATCCAAGGGTTTGACTTTGTATGTAATGCCAAAACCATAGATGTGTCTTTCAGCATTGTTCAAATGTTTCTGTTGGTGGGAAAAACAAATGAGCCCCATACACTACTCTGTTTGATCACCGTAGCCAGAATTTTAAGTAATATATATTACCTGTAAACTGGATTGCTTATATTATTGCTTGTGTAACTCATCATAGTACTTAAAAAGTAAACAGTATTTTCAATTCTTATGTCAGAAAGTATGAAATGTTTTGGATTGTATAGACTAACAGTATGTACAGCAGTTAGAATTTGACTCTCACATCCAGCTCAACCTTGAAGCCTGGGTAAATCTATTTTACCTAACAAACTTAACTCATCTCTTACAGTTGCTTGGGAGGGAAAAGTGGTAACTTTTATGCAGAATGTTTACCCTAGAAGAAAAAAAGATACTCATTTATATTTCCATACTGCTTTTCTTTCCAGAGGAAGAAAGAGGACATGGCACTGAATGTATTAAATATCTCTGCTTTAGAGAGAAGTACCATGTTATATTTTCAGTTATTAACATTGCAAATTGAATGTATTAACTAGGATCTTATATGAATTTAAAAAAAGCAACTACTGCCCAGTTTCCTTTCCCAGCAATGCCCCCCACCTCTTCAGACTGTCTGAGAATTTGCTGCTAGAAGAAAATAGCTTCTTTGCTTCCTGCAGCTGCCTAAGCATTTTCCACCTCCTTGTGTGTGTGGGTGGGATTGGCTTAGATCCCAGCAGGAATAACTAAGTACATTTGGGGTGGGGTGGGGGAGCTTTAGATTTCAATGCTGTATCAACTTACTTGAGAGAGTAAAACAAATTGATCTCAGTGGTACTGTGCTCACATTGATATGTATATAATTACTTTGTAAATGTTACTTACAACCTTCCTTTCCAACCTAATACATGTATTAGGTTGTTTTCTGAACACATACTACTAATCTGGACAACAACCTGATGGTATGTTTTGTATAGAATAATTGTGTTTTTTTTTAAATGTGATTTAATGGTTTTATGAAGCTTACGAATTCCAAAAGGATTTATATTTTAAAGTCTAAATCAGTTTTTATGATATATTATCATATATTGACTTTATATACCTATATAGGACTAGTTGTCCAGTCAAACTAGAACAGAAATATATTTAAAAATAGCTACAAAGTACATTCTATATATAGATTGAAATTACTTTTAGGAATAATTTTTGTTTGACTTTTTCAGCTCAGATTACCTTTATTCAGGATGTTGGGAAACTTCCTTTAAGAAATCACTTTGGAAGGTAACCTTGATATTATTCATAAAGCTTTATTGAATCCAGCCCCCCTGCTGTCATTCTCCAACTGTCAAGTAAATAAAGATCAAAATGGCCCCTGACATTGATTCCTAAAGTGAAAACCTATCCATCTCTTAAAACCAGGGGTATCAAACTCGCAGCCTGCTGTTATAACTTAAATGTATACAGCATTTGTTTTCTCTGTCTTCTACTGGGATCTGTCTTTATACAGAAAAGACTCCACTGATCTTACTGTAAGAAACACCAGTTTTGAATTTAAACTGTACTAGTGGTCTGATTTGCACAACACACACCAGTTAAAGTGGAGGCTTTCTTGAGAGCCATTGTTTCACTTGTCATTTCAGGTTTTGTTTTGTTTTGATTTGATTTGTCAAGCATATATAAGATTACAGATATAAGTATAAACATGATTATGAATACATGAAATGGATACGAATAAATGGGGACATTAGGACAGGGACGGTAGGCATGTTGGTGCGCTTATGCACGCCCCTTACAGACCTCTTAGGAATGGGGTAGTCAGTCTAAGGTTAAAGTTTTGGGGGTTTGTGGAAGAAACCACAGAGTCAGGTAGTGCATTCCAGGCATTGACCACTTTGTTGCTGAAGTCGTATTTTCTGCAATCGAGTTTGGAGTGGTTTACCTTAAGTCTGTATCTATTGTGTGCTTGTGTATTGTTGTAGTTGAAGCTGAAGTAGTCATTGACAGGTAGGAAGTTGTGGCAGATAATTTTATGTACTACGCTTAGGTCAGACTGAAGGTGGCGTAGTTCTAAATTGTCTAAGCCCAAAATTTCAAGCCTGGTGGCATAAGGTATTCTGTTGCGAGCAGAGGAGTGGAGGATTCATTTCGTGAAATATCTCTGGACTCGCTCAATTGTATTAATGTCCAATATGCAGTGCGGGTTCCAGACAGATGAGCTGTATTCGAGAATTGGTCTAGCAAATGTTTTGTATGCTCTAGTTAGCAGTACAATATTTCCAGAGAATAAGCTCCCAGATGGATCTGTGGAGTGGAAAAGAAGTAAGACAATGGATACCTCCTTACAAACTATACACTGATTCTGACATAGATGGGTCCAATGGGAGAGCTTTTTTTTCTTTAGTTCTTTTTAAAGGAACTGGAATAGGAAATACCAACTTCCCTTACACCGACTAGGAATGTAAACATGGTTGAAGCTCAGAAGACACTGCCATTTCATATCACAAGTTGCTGGCACACACACGTGACTGAACTGATTGGCAGACAGAATTGCCAGGCAGAAGGAGGAAAATATGCTATGCTAACTCTTGAGTTTCATCTATTTACACAGAGAAGTGTACACAGCAGAACAGATCCCAAAGTTGTAATTTTCTCAACACTCTCTCTACTCTAGTGTTCTCCCCTGAGAAAATGCAGCATGTAACAGTTAGTTGCTAGAACCCCAATAAAATGAATTGTCTGAGCACTAAGTAGTGACTGGAGTGCCTTTTTTGTCCAAACATTCAGTGTGATAAATTATTATGAGAGAATTGGGTGTCTTGGTTCACTCCAAAGAAGAATAAATTTCTGATGTTGTATTGTTGTTTGCAGGTTGAAACTTGAAACTCTTACTGATAAGGATTCTGCAATACAAATCCTGGACAATGATGATGAAGAGTTTTCTGAGAAGCAGTCTACAATTCTGCATATCCAAGGAGAGAAAATAAAAAACAGTGAGGAAAATGAACTGGATGAATTCCTTCCTGCTTCTAGTCAGAGTAATGAAAATGAACTACCAGCCAGTCAACCTCAGCCAGTTGCAGCACAAGCAATAATGGAAGCAGATGACCTAAATATAGAAGAATATGACAGTGAATAACATAAATAGCAATTCCAAAGCTGTGATAATATTTAAATTATAATTTTACTTTTGTTTCATATTTTATATCCAAATGTACAGGAAAGATAGAAATAGCTTTGTTATTTCTGCAAGCTGTTAAAATTTGTCATGAATAACAATTAATATGGAGTAAAATGAGTACAGAGTCTTTATATTTTTAAGCCTATACTGAAAAGCTTCAGTTAAAACTCAAGGTTTCAATTCTCATCCATACAGAATAATGGAAATAAATGAGAAGAAATATATTTACTTTGATATTTTATACTTGTATTTATCTTGTAGATACTGAAGGCATTGTCAACTATTTTGTTATTGTTTCACAAGTTTAGATATAACTTGCGATGATGAAACATTGCACAAAATGTTTAACCTGGGCTGTGTAATATTTAATATGTAAATAAGTCTCTGAATGCCTTATTAATAAATTGTATCATTATAGTTTCTGAAACAAATTTTTTTTGCTTCATATGTTTTGGATAATTGTAACTTGAAAAGTATTAACACTGATCTAGGAGAATAACAGAGTTTTTAATATTTTGTAAAGTTAATTTTGAACTTTATTTTCAAATCATTCGTTTTTCTACTAAGTTATTTTTAATAATTTTATTAAATATTAGAATTTCAATAGTAAAAAAAAAGGGAGGGAGGAAGGATAATAAAGAAATAGAAAATAAACATATAGCAATAGCACTTAGACTTATATACCACTTCACAGTGCTTTATAGCACTTTCTAAGTGGTTTACAGAGTCACAATATTGCCCCTAACAATCTGGGTCTTCATTTTACCAACCTTGGAAGGATGGAAGGCTGAGATAACCTGGAGCTGGTGAGAATCGAACTACCGAGTTGCTGGCAGCTGGCAATCAACAGAGGTAGCCTGCACTACTGCACTCTAACCACTGTGTCGCCACAGCTCTTATAAAGTGACTTTCAATCTTCATCACATGTATAATTTTAGTAACTTTTCATCTCTTAATTTATAACCAATGATTTCTTCATCACTTGTCTCATCTTAGATAGATAGATAGATAGATAGATAGATAGATAGATAGATAGATAGATACACACAAATCCATGAAATATCATTTCAGCCCTGGTGTCAGCAAGATAGCTATTGCCTTGTCTCTAGGCTAGACATTGGTCCATTCATAAGTTGATTTTGCATGTTTATAAGATATGGCAAATTCTGCTTTTGTATTTTTTTCCAGAGATATCAGAACTTTTATACAGATGGGAGTAATGTGGATGGGGTTTTTTTTGTATTGCCGAGTTGTCTGTTATCACTATCACCCTCCTGAAGTTTCAGAATCATTTCTCTTTCCTTCTTTAACCACCTTGCTAGTTTATTAGCAGGTTCAAAGTTCTTTTGTTTAAGCTGGTTCAATTTATTCTCTAGTTTTCCAACTGTACATAGATAATTGCTGAAGAAGTTTAATTTGATTTAGAATATTTATCTTTGTAGGTGATGTCTTTAATTCTTTTTCTTTACTTTTAATTTCCTATAAGATCTCACAGGTTTTCCCCTGGACTTTCTTTTTCAATTGATTGAAGAACATTGAAGATACTCTCATCTTGTTTGTGTATTTGTTAGGCATGTGATGATGCTGATTGTGTAGATGTGGGGGCAGAGTAGACATCTGAGTTTGTTGCTACCATAGACTAACTGTAGGAGAGGCAGAACCTGGGAGTGGAGTCAAATGAGGAATCAGCCTAAAATCTCTACACAGCCACAACAGATTAAGTCCAACCCCCTCCCCCCAATTCCATTAATCCTTATCTTGCACCAACTAACCATTAGTTTAGTAGATTCCTATGCATAGGCATGAGCAATAAATCAGTTTTAATTACACATGTCCAAGTATTCATAGCTAACATTGACACAACTCCTTCACAGTGTGAAGGAAAGTACCTGCCTCTGCTGTAATCTGTATTGGCAAGAATACTATCAGATGCACTAATTGCCTAAGTTTTATCAGTTTGCTCTCTGCAAAACATGTATTTTATGACTGACTGCTAGGTCTATGCCCGTGATGGCGAACCTATGGCACGGGTGCCACAGGTGGCACGCGGAGCCATATCGGTGGGCACGTGAGCTCAGCTCCGGCATGCATATGTGCACCAGCCAGCTGATTTTCAGGCCTTCTGGGCCCACCAGAAGTCAGGAAACACACTGTTTCCAGCCTCCGGAGAGCCTCTGGGGGAGGGGAAGGCCGTTTTTGCCCTCCCCAGGCTCCTAGAAAGGCTCTGGAGCCTGGGGAGAGCAAAAAACGGGCCTACCGGGCCCACGGGGCCATCATGTGTCAAAAGTGGGGGGAGCCCGGGGGGGCACATAGAATTATGGATGTGGATACACGTGCATGTGTCCCCACCGCGCTCCCCCCGCTTTTGGCACGCACTGGTCTATGCAATGCCTATAGGGCATTTTATTTCAAGCTACCTTTTGGCAAAGCACTTTGCTGCATAAAATGAACTGTAAGTGATGCAGCAGATATGTTACAGCACCAGACAAAAGTAGGCAAATCACTGACCACAGCTGTTATCTGTGCCCATGCCCTGAATACAACCAGCCTACCTTACTTGACACTTTGATTGAAAAAGTATCTTTACTTTTTTTTTCTGTGACAGGTACTATGCACCAATAATTAGCCTCAACACAGCTCTTTGGCTCAAAATTTGACAATTTTAATCTTTTAAATAAGATATATAACACAGTCTATAATTCATAAGTAATGATAGATTGGAAAAACTAATATCTGACATTTTCTTGGTTTACTTATTAGAACTTTATTTTATTTTTAAAAAAATGTGTTTTATACTCTCTCTGTGTAAAACGTCTAATTAATTTTTTTTAAACCTCTGTTTCCTACCACCACCAGCAGGATCTGCAATGGCAAAACCATTTAAATAAACTTCCACGAAGTTGGAGACACTTTTGGGCGAGACTATTCTGCATCCTATTCCACTTCGCATTTCTTGCCAACTGCTAATTATTTCTGGCCGGTAATAATAACCCAAGTCTTTACCCACATTTGCCACTAAAGCTGTCCTGCCTTAACAGTCGAGGGCTTTTTTTTTCCTTTTGAAACTTGGACGACGTCTTTTGAAACAGATTCGTTCCCCGCGGTGTTAAAATCACAAAACCGATTAAGATTTGGAGGGGACGGGAGGATTCCACGGGGTGCGCAGCGCAGAAAGCGCAAGCAAGCCACCTGAGTCGCCCTTATCCAGGCCTACCTGGAGCCAGGGAGCCAGGTAGGGAGGGCAGCGTTTGCAGCCCGAAGGACTTCGCGCATGACCAGATGGGCGGAACGATGAGTTGCGGCTGAGACGCCCCCGAAAGTAACGCCTCCGGGAAAGGGAGACGGAAACGGGATTGTTCTTCTGGCCGTTGCGCCTCCGTCCGTAGCGGGATATTTCTGCCCGCCCTTTTTGTCTGAAAGAGTGAGTGGGGCATTTTATTGTCGGAGGGGGTGGGTAGGGAGTGGAGTGGAGGTAAATCCGGTCCCAGCAACACATCGGGCGTGGCTGGCGGGGTCGCGGGCAGAAAGGCGGCGCTTTGTATCCCGCTCGGGGCTTTGGGGTGAAGGCGGAGCGGGCGCAAGGTGTGGTAGCGGCAGTGCGCGCAAGTTGCGTGATTTGCTGGGACCAAAGAAATGGGAAGCAGTGCGGAATTGGGTGGGAATTCGTGTTTCTCGGACGCTTCTGGCGACATCCTGTGGATCTTTCCTTGGAAGTAAGGCCCGCTAAGTTTAATGGGATATGTAGGTCTAAGGTTGTAGATTTAAAAGTGCACTTTGATGCTGGAAAGTAGTAGCTACGTACGTGTGGGGTATCTCCAGGCTTTCCCCCTTCCCTCCCGTTCTCTAGGCAGTACAAACTTTGCTCAACAACCTGTGGATAAGAGCAGGGTTTCTTAAATCTTTTTTTTTTTTTTTGGCTTATTTACTCTTTATAAACCCTTCAGAGTTGCTAGCTGATCCGGTGGTTAGCTGGGGGGAAAAAGGTTCAGTTTGGTTTTCTATCCATACAGTTTATTAATCTAAACTGCATCATATAAAGAAGGTGAACTTTTAGAAATATGGTATGACATCTGGGGAGGGTGATATATAGCCCACATTGAAAATCACTGGAATACCAGGGAATTAGAGCTTGTGGACATTTTCTTTTCTAAAATATGGCCACTGTGTTGCTTTTTCCTGTTTATATATATTGGATTCACTCAAACTATCCAAGCATCACAGTGTAGCAGTCTGGACTTTGAACTCGTACATGAGGCATTAAACTTTTGCCTTCTTTACTGGTTTCACAGACTCTTTCACAGTTTCACAGAAGAAATTCAAGCATTAAATTATGATAAACCCAATATCAAACTTAAAGCAATCGAAGTGTCATGGCAGTTCTGAACTGCCTTACTATGGAAGAGGATTTATAGCTCAACAATTGCATGTCATATTTTTTTTCCTGGTTCTGAGTGCAGAAATTTAGTTGGTTTTCCTTTTTTAAGGCTTCACTTGAACTATTTGTCCCCAATTTTCAGGTTTTTTTTTAATTATTTCTGAAACAGGGGAAGAGGTCACAAATGTCTTCAAGGAATACATCACTGGAGCACAGAAGTGGGCAGCAAACTCGTTCTGTCCATTATGATAAAGTGTATGTGGAGTCCCCAGAAGATGCTGAGGAGATATTAAATTCGGAACCTTTGGCACCGCCTCTTCCATTACAGCCACCATTTGGACCTGAATTTTATCCAACTGACGATGAAGAGTCGGCTGAAATGCCTGATCTCAAACCAGTGAGAAAATTCATTCCTGATTCATGGAAAAACTTCTTCAGAGGAAAACGAGGTGATCCTGAATGGAATAAGCCAGTATCTGCTATTTCAGATGGAACTCAATGTTCTCCACCATCATCTCCAACACTTACTCCAGTGAAAGCAGACCATACTTCAACACCAAGTTCTTATCAAGATCCATATGGAGGATCAGGAGGGACTTACAATTCACGAAAAGAAGCTGAAGGTATTCTCCCCACAGATCCATATGGCTCTCTGGGAAGGCACACTCAGGCTCTGACATACAGTGAGAAAGTAGAAGCTTTTAACCTGAGATACTCCTACATGAAATCTTGGGCAGGATTGCTTAGAATCTTGGCTGTTATTGAACTGCTCTTAGGTGCAGGTGTATTTGCCTGTGTCACAGCTTACATTCACAAAGACAATGAGTGGTACAACATGTTTGGCTTTTCACAACCATATGGCTATGGTGCAAGCAACATGTATGGTGGTTATTATTACAGTGGACCCAAAACTCCTTTTGTTCTTGTTGTAGCAGCACTTGTTTGGATAGTGACTATCATACTTCTAGTACTTGGTATGTCAATGTACTACAGAACTATTCTTCTGGATTCCCACTGGTGGCCTTTAACTGAATTTGGAATCAATGTGGCCTTGTT